CAAATAAACAAACATTACTCAACGTTGCCCTCTAAAGGCGTCATTAACAAACATCAAATAAACAAACATCACTCGCCGCTGCCCTCTGAAGGCGTTGTTAACAAACATCAAATAAACAAACGTCACTCGCCGCCGCCCTCTAAAGGCGGCAATAACTCACATCAAATAAACGTCTCTCGCTGTCATTATCACACATTAAATAAACAAACATCACTCATCACCTCCCTCTAAAGGCGTCACTAACTCACATCAAATAAACATCTCTGAAGGCGTCATTATCAAACATTAAATAAACAAACATCACTCGCTGCCGCCCTCTAAAGGCGTCAATACCTCACATCAAATAAACGTCTCTCGCCGCCGCCCTCTAAAGGCGTCAATACCTCACATCAAATAAACATCTCTCACCGCTGCCCTCTAAAGGCGTCATTATCAAACATTAAATAAACAAACGTCACTCACCGCCGCCCTCTAAAGGCGTCAATAACACACATCAAATAAACGTCTCTCGCTGCTGACCTCTAAAGGCGTCATTATCAAACATTAAATAAACAAACGTCACTCACCGCCGCCCTCTAAAGGCGTCAGTAACTCACATCAAATAAACGTCTCTCGCCGCCGCCCTCTAAAGGTGTCAATAACACACATCAAATAAACGTCTCTCACTGCTGACCTCTAAAGGCGTCATTATCAAACATTAAATAAACAAACGTCATTCACTGCCGCCCTCTAAAGGCGTCAATAACACACATCCAATAAACGTCTCTCGTCGCCGCCCTCTAAAGGCGTCAATAACACACATCCAATAAACGTCTCTCGTCGCCGCCCTCTAAAAGGCGTCAATAACACGCATCCAATAAACGTCTCTCGTCGCCGCCCTCTAAAGGCGTCAATAACACACATCAAATAAACGTCGCTCACCGCCGCCCTCTAAAGGCGTCAATACCTCACATCAAATAAACGTCTCTCGTCGCCGCCCTCTAAAGACGTCAATAACTCACATCAAATAAACGTTGCTCACCGCCGCCCTCTAAAGGTGTCAATAACAAACATCAAATAAATAAACGTCGCTCACCGCCGCCCTCTAAAGGCGTCAATACCTCACATCAAATAAACATCTCTCACCGCTGCCCTCTAAAGGCGTCATTATCAAACATTAAATAAACAAACGTCACTCACCGCCGCCCTCTAATGGTGTTATTGCATCTGTTATAAGTTTCACATTTAATGTTTTCTGCTTTCTTTTCTTGTTTTTATATGAACCTTGCACTGAGGAGTGCAAAATCTTTTCAGAATCTTTTCAGCATCATCTTCATTCTAGCCTCCACAGATTGCGGTTCATGAGCAAAGAAGCATGAACTGATCTGTCTTTGAGTGACAGCCATTCAAGTGTCTCTTTTAAACTCTCGGCACTCCGGGTTAGTTGTCATGGCAACGCACAAATGTTTTTGTGTTCTTCTTTTCATCTACGACGTGAAGATGCATGTTTCTATTTGGAGGAACGTGGATGGAGAACCTTCAGTGAATGTTGAAGCTGTTTTTAAACCTCAGCTTTTTAAATGGCATTAATTAACATCATCCTCCAGTGATTTCATGCAATTCATGCACTGCTGAGTGTGTGGAAGATGCAGAGTGTGTTTCCTGCCAAAAAAAAGGGGAAGAAAAGGAAATTTAGGCTTAAGCTGACATGTTATTGACTTCACCATGACCTCTTTTCAATTTTGTTGGAAATCCCTTTTTATGCTGTCTGTGGTCAGATTGTGAAATGTGTTTGATATCGATCGAACTAAATCTCTGCAAAGCTGTTCTCTCTTCAACCTTTCGATAGGAGAATGAGGGAGAGATTGAAAAAGAGAATGAGAGTGAGAGGGATAGAGAGAGAGTGAGAGGGATTGAGAGAGAGAGAGAACCGAAAGCGTTTTTCTTTAGCAGCCCAGGTGGACTAGAAGGGCAGATTTGACAGCTGTGTAAGCCGCCTCTCTCTCTCTTTCTCTCTCTCTCTCTCTCTCTCTCTCGATGGCTTGAAAGTATGCATCTAATGGCAGCCTGCCAGGCTGAACAGAGAGAAATGTTTGATGTGAAGATGGGCGTGCAGGTAGAGAGAGAGGGAGAAAAGAGTGAGAGAGCGAGCCCTGTTGAAGCTGAAGTTGAATGAGGGCTAATTACAGTATCAGAGAGAGTGAGAGAGATAGGGAGTGAGCAGAGAGAGACAGAGACCTTCCGGGACTGATAAAAACCTGCAATTCGGTAAAGAGACCAACAAAACATCAGAGTGAATTTTGTTGGGTTCAGGCTGGGATTTGTGGAGTTTCTGCCGGTTTGAGTGGAATTTTCTCCGGCTGCAGTCAGTTTACATGGATTTTATCAGACTGATAAAGTCTTGTCAGAGCACTCTCTGTCCGGTTACAGTTGGGTTTGGAGTTTACAGTTGGGTTTGGAGTTTTCTTGGGCTACAGTCGGATTCGGGTGGAATTTTATGAGTGTTACAGCTGGTTCAGAGTTTGTCGGACTACTGTGTTGTTTTGGGTGGGATTTTTGTTGGATTAGTGTTGGGTGGAATTTTGTTGGGTTAGAGTTGTTTGGGTGGAATGTTGTTGGGTTGAGTTGGTTTGGGTGGAATTTTGTTGGGCTAGAGTTGGTTTGGGTGGAATTTTGTTGGGTTGAGTTGGGTTTGTGTGGAATTTTGTTGGGTTAGAGTTGGTTTGGGTGGAATGTTGTTGGGTTGAGCTGTTTTGGGTGGAATGTTGGGTTGAGTTGGTTTGGGTGGAATTTTGTTGGGTTAGAGTTGGTTTTGGAGGAATTTTGTTGGGTTAGAGTTGGTTTGGGTGGAATTTTGTTGGGTTGGAGTTGGGTTTGGGTGGAATTTTGTTGGGTTGGAGTTGGGTTTGGGTGGAATTTTGTTGGATTAGTTGTTTTAAAGGAATGATGTTGGGTTGAGTTGGTTTGAATGGGATTTTGTTGGGTTAGAGTTGGTTTGGGTGGAATTTTGTTGGATTAGAGTTGGGTTTAGGTGGGATTTTGTTGGTTTAGAGTTGGGTTTGGGTGGAATTTTGTTGGGTTAGAGCTGGGTTTGGGTGGAATTTTGTTGGGTTAGAGTTAGGTTTATGTGGAATTTTGTTGGGTTGAGCTGTTTTGGATGGAATTTCGTTGGATTAGTTGTTTTGATGGAATGATGTTGGGTTGAGTTGTTTTGGATGGGATTTTGTTGGGTTAGAGTTGGTTTGGGTGGAATTTTTTTGGGTTAGAGTTGGGTTTAGGTGGGATTTTGTTGGGTTAGAGTTGGTTTGGGTGGAATTTAGTTGGATTGGAGTTTGGGTCGAATTTTGTTGGGTTGGAGTTGGTTTGGGTGGAATTTTGTTGGGTTGGAGTTGGTTTGGGTGGAATTTTGTTGGGTTGGAGGTAGGTTTGGGTGGAATTTTGTGGGGCTAGAGTTGGTTTGGGTGGAATTTTGTTGGGCTATGGTCTGGTTTGGCAAGATTTTTGTCAGGATCCGGTTGGGTTAAACCGTTTATTGTTGGACTACAGTTGGATTCTAACAGAATTTTGTTGGGTTACAGTCAGTTTTGATGAAATTTTGTTGACTACACTTGGGTTAAGATATAATTATATGGGGGTGCAATTGGTTTGGAGCGAATTTTATCCGACTACAGCAGCAAAAGAGCATTTCCAAATTGTGCTCATTGTGAAATCTGTAAATTGCACATTACATCACTTCCTATGGCTATTCACCAGTGATGAACTGGAGGAAAATGTGGTAACAACTGCAGGAAGCACCATTTCTGCCACAGACGCCTGTGTGTGTGTGTGTGTGTGGCACAGTGGTGTTGAATGTGGGTCAGTGTGTTTCCTCTTGTCTCAGTCTGCTGTGTGTGTGTGTGTGTGTCTCATCATTAATTCAGTCGGGTCCACGCACTCGGACTCTGTTCTGCATTTTTCATTCCCTCAGAGTGGACGGTCAATATTTCATACAGAGCCTGAGCTGACCAAATCAAACCAAGGAGAAGAAAAACCTTTACTCATCTGTTCCTCTGCTCAGATCGTCTTGTGTTAGTAATTACAGCTTCACCTTGAGCACACCTGTGTGTGTGTGTGTGTGTGTGTGTTGGGCAGTAAGACAGTATATCATTATTGTGTGAATTTTTCTGTACTGAGCCTTAAACGCTGGATGTAATGTGCCAGCCTGCCAGTTAGTTGTGGTCGTGATGTCACAGCATGTGGGTGTTTGGTTGCTTTACGCCCTAACAGTGACTAAGGCCAGCACTTTTTCACCGCTGAACATCTGCATGGATAATAAAAAACTGACCATTTATGTAGACCAACAATAACCAGTGAACAGTAAGTGAATAGGAACCAGTAGCTGATTGGATGGCAGCCCACCGCAGCGTCATCTTTATTTTATTCTTTTATTTGTATCACTTGTTTTTTATTTTTTCCTTTTGGTCACTCATAAATAGTTTATTTTCTCTTATGTAGAATTAAAAAAACTATTTACTATTATAATATGTTCCATTTTGCTGCTAATTTCCAACTGGTTTACAAACCTCAGAAAAAATAAATGTTATGATAAATGTATATCATAAAAATGACTTCAGTCATGTTAATGTTTTTGCCACAGCATCTAATAGAACAAAACAAGTGCTGCTTATACAGAACATTTCACATAAAACACCTAAACATGCATTAAAAATAGACAAACAGTCCGTAGTTCAGTTTAGCAATGGTGTTATTTGTGTAACAGGGCAAAAATAATATTACTGTCCAATGTCACATATATTTTAATAATAATGACAATAATATTAATCTTTATTTATATAGCCATTTTCATTTTACTTAAAGCGATTTACAAGATTTTCTATAAGATCATCTTAATCCCACAGTACTCATGTCACTCTGATGTCCATACTTGCTCCGAACCTGATCCGTTTATTATGAAGCGCTTTGTGAGTTGAGTATTGCTAAGAATTTTGTTCTGATGTCCGTTTCTCTTCCTGTGTGTGCAGTGCTGCCCACCTGCTCTCCTCTGGACTTCCACTGTGATAATGGGAAGTGTATCCGGCGCTCGTGGGTGTGTGACGGGGACAACGACTGTGAGGACGATTCGGACGAGCAGGACTGCCGTGAGTTTTAACCTGATTCTTAAGCCTTGCTTTTTAAAACATACGTGCACACCAGACGTCTGCCCACATTCGTTTAAAGCATTGGTTGTGCACATTCTTCAAATTTATTGGGACGCATCCACAAGATTCAGTGCTTGCATAAACAGTAGGGGCAGAGTACCGAAATATGCACTGTGATGTCAGTAGCACTCTGAGCAAACCATGAACTATGGCTGTCATAGTGGAAACTTTTGTAGTGGCTGATAGAGCTTATCTGGAACCACCTGTATTTCTATGGTATATTTATACGATGTTGCTCCACAGTGATAAATATACTTGCCAGAACAGTTGATGTGACATTGCTGTCGCCTTACAAGTAGACATGAAAACTTAAATAGGAATTTAAAGTTGCAGTGGCGTATCGAGATTTATTACCCCTAACTGCTCACTAGGGGGCGTCGGACTCTTAATCCTACAGTTAGACAACAGCTATGTGAGTGAGTAGGTGAACAGTGCTGCTTGTACACACTTTAAAAAAAAAAAGAAAAAAAGATGGTTCCTCAAGTGTTCATTTGAAAAGAAAATGGTTCTATAGGATCATGAACACTCAAAGAACTATTTGCATGATCCAAAGGTTCTTTGCGTCATGAAAGCGTTCTTCAGATTGATAAAAATGTGTGGGAATGTGCTATAGATGGTCCTATATAGAACCACTTTAAAAAGGGTTCTCTATAGCACTCAAAATGGTTCTTCTATTGGCATTGTAACAATAGAAGAACCCATTTGGGTGCTATATAGAGCCATTTTCAAAAAGGTTCCATATAGAACCATCCACAGCACATTCTCTATCAATCTGAGGAATGCTTTCACCATACAAAGAATCATTTAAGCATGAAAGGTTCTATATACAACTCATGGAGCTATATAGGAATATAACCATTGCTTTACTAAAGAACCCTTGAAGAACCATAAATTCTTCATAGAACCATTTATGGCAAATTTTCCATCAATCTAAAGAACTGTTTCACCATGCAAAGAACCATTTAAGCATGCAAATGGTTCTATGTAGAGCACATACAGCACATTCTCCATCAATCTGAAGAACCTTTCACCATGAAAAGAAAAATTTAAGCATGCAAATGGTTCTATGTAGAACTAAGTAAAATCATTGCCTTTACTAAAAACCTTTGATTTGATTTGAAATGATTTTTATATAGAGCCATAGACAACACATTGTCTATCAATCTGAAGAAACGTTTTACCATGCAAAGGACTATTTAAGCACGAAAGGTTCTATATAAAAGTAATGGTTCTTAATAGAACCAATGTCTTTACTTTAAGACCCCTTGAAAAACCATGAGTTCTATATAGAACCATACAAGACACATTTTCCATCAGTCTGAAGAACCATTTGACCACTCACAGAACCATTGAAGTATCAATGGTTCTGTATAAAAGGCGTGGTTCTTAGTAGAACCATTGCTTTTACTTTAGGACCAAACCATGTTTTATACAGAACCATATACAGCACATTCTCCATCAATCTGAAGAACCGTTTTATCATGCAAAAACCCATTTAAGCATGGTTCTGTATAAAAATCATGGTTCTAAATAGAACCATTGCCTTTACTAAAGACCCCTTAAAGAACCATGAGTTCTATATAGAACCAGATGCGGCACATTCTCCATCAATTTGAAGAACGCTTTCACTGTGCATAGAACCATTTAAGCATGAATGGTTCTGTATAAAAGGCATGGTTCCTAGTAGAACCATTGCTTTTACTTTAAGGGCCCTTGAAAAAACATGTTTTATATAGAACACTTTCACCATGCAAAGAACAACTTAAGCATGCAAGTGGTTCCGTGTGCCTTTACTAAATAACCCTTAAAGAACCATCTTCTGTAAGTGTAAACTTTTGGGATAAGGAGGCAGGAACTGTGTGAATTAGGTTTTTGGCTAAGCTCTCGCTTTAACCGGTCACTATAAGCAGCTGGACGGCAACATCTGGCCGCTCAGTGGAGGTGTTTGTGTTTGAGTCGGAGTGATGGGTTTAGCAGCCCTGGGCGAACATGTGACCGCGTCCGGAGGGGAGGCGTCGAGGGGTCAAGGTTGCCGTGGAAATGACACCTGACTTAGAGGAAATTTAGGGAGCGACCTTTGACCCCGCGGTTTACACGCTTCCTCTGGGCGCCTGCGGCAGCACGTGGCGAGAGTGTGTGGGATTGAAGCGAGCTTCAGTGAGACCTCAGGAGGCCGAACCCCAGACCGGGGCAGTCATGTGCAGAAGTTTGTGCGCCCCTGGTCATATTTTATGTTGTTATTGATTTCAGTGCAAATAAGTGAACGCATCCTCTGCAAAGACACACTTCTACACCTTTTAATGCACAACTACTATTTATTTAATGAATTTAACATAAACATAAAATGTGGCTTGTGTGAAAGTTATGGCGCATTTTTATATTTTATTTTTTCCAGCATGTTAAACTCAGCAAACCAATAGAAATTGCACACTAAAAATTAGCAGACACGTCATATTCAAGTGTGTTCTCTGTAGAGGATGTGTTATTATATAGTTATTAACACTTAGAAAATCAGCAAACGTGTCATTTGACCAGGAGCGCACAAACTTTTGCATAAATCCGTACCTGTGTGTAGCTTTGCTGAAAGTGTTTGTCTGTGTTTGTTGTCTCATCAGCTCAAGTTTTCTTCTGTGCTTTTACTTCATACACACTTCAAAATGATGGTTCTTCAAAGGTTCTTTAGTAAAGAAAATGGTTCTATATAGAACCATGAACACTCACAGAACCCTTTACATGATTAAATGATTCTCTGCATGGTGAAATAGTTCTTCAGATTGATGGAGAATGTGTTGTATATGGTTCTATATAAAACCTTTTTGAAAAGGGTCCCATATGGCACCAAAAAGGGTTCTTCTATAGTTACAATGTCAAGCTTCACACTTAAAAAAGATGGTTCGTCAGGGGCTCTTTAGTAAAAAAAAAAAAGTGTTAATCTTTATCAGTCTGAAGAACCGTTTCACCAGGCAAAGAGCCCTTTAACCATGCAAACGATTCTTTTCTAAATAGTCTTTACTAAAGAACCTCTGAGAAACCATCTTTTTTAAAAAGTGTATTTAAGATAGCTCTCATAAGATTTATATTCTTATAAGATAATGGTTCTTTACACGGTGAAATGGTTCTTCAGATTGATAGAGAATGTGCTGTAGATGGTTCTTAAAAAGAGTTCTATATAATACTGAAAATGTTCTTCTATAGTTACAATGTCAAGCTTCATACTTAGGAAAGATCACAGGTTCTTTAGTAAAAAAAAAAATAAGGTTCTATGTAGAACATTGAACTTTTTTTTTTTTTATTGTGAAAGCGTTCTTCAGACTGATGGAGAATGTGCTGTAGATGCATCTATGTAGAACCTTTTTGAAAAAGGTTCTATATGGCACCAAAAAGGGGTCTTCTATTGTCACAAGTTTGACAACGTAACAATAAAAGAACCCTTTTTGGTGCTATAGAGAACCACATACAACACATTCTTCATCAGTCTGAAGAACTGTTTCACCAGTCAAAGAATGCTTCAACCATGCAAATGGTTCTTTTCTGTATAGAACCATTGTCTTTACTAAAGAACCTCTGAAGAACCATCTTTTTGTATATAATAGATAATATACACATATTCGTATAAGGGTTCTTTGCATGGTGAATGTGTTTTTCAGATTGATGGAGAACGTACTGTAGATGGTGAACCTTTTTGCAAAGTTTTCTATATAGCACCAAAAAGGGTTCTTCTTTTATTATAAGCTTGACATTGTAACAATAGAAGAACACTTTTGCAGTCCATGTTGAAAGTTCAAGAAATGCCAGCAGACGGAACCTCCACATCTGTAACCGCATCTGCAGAATTCCTGTTCAGATCAATACTGTTTAAACGTCCATCTTTCGTCTTTGTTTATTTCATTTCCAGTCAAAACTGCCATTAAGCACAAGCAGAAAACAAATATTTAGAAGGTAATTCTACCAGTTTTTCTGATTTCTACAAAAATCAGTGATGGAGATGTAAATAAAAGTCATTGAGAGTGTTTTTGACTTCCACCCAGGTGTTTACAACACAAATATAGACATTTTATTTACCATCCAGTGAAGTTTTATATGGAATGTTGATTATGGGAAAATAGTGGAAAATCTGAATAAGTTTTCTCTGGGGACTATTTTGCCTCAGAACACCTTGCATGCATCCCTCCACCATGAATGGATTAAAATAAGTGAATTAAAATACATTTTAAACCAAAACATTATCACAAAACTATCATAAAGCAGTGTCTCAGACATCAAACAGTGTATTCATAACCATTTTCATGTAATAACTTTTTGAGAGAGCTTTTAGGGTTTGTTCAGACTGCCAGCCCAAGTCCAACTTATGGCATATCTAAATTGTATACAGATTAGAAAAAAACACATGAAATCTAAATTTGCAAATTGGATCCAAACCGCATTTGGAGATGGTTTGAAATGGATGGATGGTGGATTTTTACAGATGCGTCTTAGTCAGGACACTTAAATTGGATTTCAAAGTGTCTTTTGTGTCAGTCACAAAACGACAAACAACAATGATGTCAAATCCAGAGTGACGGAAGTGCTGGGATTTAAGAAGAGCTCCAGAGATTCATGTTTATGAAGAGCATTCTGAAGAGTTTGAAGGGTGAGATGATGCTCCTCCATCTCTCCTGTATCCGCGTTTGAAATCCGTGTCACCAGCATAGCTGCATAGTTACTGATGTCTATGTCGTTACTACGGCAATCCATGCAGATAGGCTGGTGATGTCTGGACACACAAATCCAATCTGACAGTTCGCATATAACAGTGCAGACCGTCGCCTCAAAAGATGTCGTTTGAGAATTAAACCCAATTTGCCTGCAGTCTGAACACAGGCTTAGAGGTGGATGTCTGGTTCCTATCACCAGCACTGTGAACAATTCAGACTCGCTAAGCTTCTCTAGAACAGAACGTTTCACACCAAAACACTCTGAACGACTCTGTTTACATCTTAACCGTTTAATTCTCAAGTAGAATTTTTGAAAAATCGTGGTGATTTCTCTTTAAATCACACAGAAGCCTCAGCAACCAAGTCTAATCTCAGTGTGTTCACTCTTTACCTTTATTACAGCTTCCATTCTTTTCAGGAAACTCACTTTCAGTTTCTCAAAGAAATCTGCAGACATACCTCCAAAGTTCAGTCTTAGAAGCTGGTTGATCATTTTCTGAAGCAATCAAACACATTCAGTGATGTTGAGGTCTGGACTCTGGGGTGGTCAGTCCATTGTTCAGCTTCTTTGTTTGATGTGTCTGTGTCCTTTTCTCAGTGAGGTTCTTCTTGACAGCTACACATCCTTTCAGACCCATAGCGCTGAGTCGTCTTCTCACAGTGGAAGGATGGACAGAAACACCTGTGGATGTTTTCAGATCTGAAGCAGCTTGATTTTCTCCTCTCTCTCAAAGATGAAAGCTTTAAGTGCTGTTTATCTGATGGGGACAGTTTTGTTGTCTACCAGGTCTTCCAGGTGGTTGTTAGGAGCCCCATTTTCTCTGTAGCTTTTAATCAGTTTTTGAACTCCAGTTTTGGAGAAATGTCTTCTTGCATGACAAATTAAAACCATTTATTAATATTCTAATAAATGACAGTAATTGAGGCTGTGGTTTTCGGCCGTACAAGAGGAGAGGCTGTGCACTGTATGACTCTATATTCTACACTGAGTCTGTGATGGCCTTAATTATTACCTGAATAAGACATGTAAGAACAGGAAAGATGTGAAGCAGTGCATGAGGTTGATTATGGTGTATTAATGTACCTCCTTTTTTTGTCTGCTCTATCAGAATCAGCCATTTGAACTCATCATCACTCCACAAATAAGCAGTGTAATGAGTGAGCAGCCTGACAGATCAGAAACGTTTGTGTCTGCAGAAGACTGTCTGAACGATACTCACTCTGTTAATCACAGTAATTAAGAATCGCAATAATTAAAAGCCCATAATTACTGTTATTACTTGCTGTGATTATGGCGCCCACACAGCCGCCGGCTCTCCTGTGTTATTACTTACTTTTTTAACCCATTAAACTGCAGGCCTGTTATTCAGTTATTAATCTAAAGAGATTATTCAGTATCTATTATAAAACTCTTTGTGTTCTACATGAGACTGAGGACCCACATAGACTCTGAGAGTTTAAAGTGTTAAAAGAAGAACAACTTAGCAAGTTGTATCTTTGGATAGAATGATATGAACTGCTGGGTTATTATGTACACTGTAGTTGCACTCATTGGCCATTTTATTAGAAACACCTACCTTTTATCTGCATTCATTGGCCATTTTATCAGAAACACCCACTTGTAGCTATACTGAGTGGCCATTTTATCAGAAACACCTACCTTGTAGCTACGCTCACTAGCCATTTTATCAGAAGCACGTACCTTGTATCTACACTCACGGGCCATTTTATCAGAAACACCTGGGCAATAAGTGTATATTTTATATTTATAGTACAGTGGCAATTTTCCTCACAAAGAGAAAGAGAGAGAGAGAGAGAGAGGAATAAACAGAGAATTAATGTGAGAGTGGGAGATAAAGAGCTGAACACTTGGTGTCTGACCTATATTTCCAGGTTTTGGCGTCTAGATGTTGCGGGGGGTCTGCCTGCGGTGGGCTTTTCATCAATTTTTCATTCAAGCACATTGTGAACTCCCTCACCTTTATTATTTAATGCTCTCTCTTTCTCTCTATTAATTTTTATGGTATTATTTAGAGGGAGGTGTGGGTTGTTTATGCTCTGCTGAAGCTGTCTGAGTGTCAGACTTGAAAAAATTAACAGAGACCAACGAGAGACAGAGCGAAGGAGAGAAAGAAGCAGGACGAAATAAAGGAAACACTTCAGCTTGTTCCACTCCAGAGGAGCCACTTCAGACACTTTAACTCGTTTCCTCTCTTCGCTCTTCTCTCGGAGGGCCGGTGCTTCATCTGCCTCACTTCAGCTGATTAACTCCTCAGGGTCATCGTGACCTCTGACCTCTCCATGTGTTCTGACCTGTTTGGGGGGGAAGCAGGAGAGGAGCAACTGATATCAGAGTTTCTGGAGGCAGGGGGGGAGAGAAAACTGGACATAGACAGCACACATGCTTTCTTACTTGTGCTATTTTCCATCCATCCATTCTTTTCATTTATCCATCCATCTATCCATTCGTCCATCCATCCATCCATCCATCCATTCATCCATCAGTTCTTCCCTCCTTCTATCCATCCATCCATCCTTCCTTCTTTGCTTCTATCAGTCCATCCATCCATCCATCCATCTGTTCTTCTCTCCTTCTGTCCATCCATGCATCCTTCCTTCCTTGCTTCTATCAATCCATCCATCCATCTATTCATTCATCCATCCTTCCATCCATCTATCCATCCTTCTTTCCATCCTTCCATCCGTCCATCCATCCATCCATCCTTTCCTTCTTCCATCCATCCATCCATCCTTCTTTCATTCATTCATCCATCCATCCTTTCTTCCTTCCATCCATCCATCCATCCATTCATCCATCCATTCATCCATCCATCCATCCATCCATCCATCCATCCATCCGTTCTTCCCTCCTTTCCATCCATCCATTCATCCATCTGTCCTTCCTAAGTCAGTATATTTGTGTGTATTAGGAGGGTCCATTAATTATTAATCCCACATTGCATTGACTATTAATTCCCCCCTACACACACACAGACACACACACACGCACACAGACACACCCTGCCCAGCTACACACCTCAATAAAACATAATCTACAGTCTGGGGACGGTAGTATTATTATTTTTATTATTATTATTATCAGTAGTAGTAGTAGAGGTGGTAGTAGTAGTAGTAGTAAACTCAGCCAGGCTCCATTGGGTGTCTGTAGAGCTCAGAGGTGGAGACCCCTCAGTTTGGGTCTGTTTCTCTGACAGTGCTGTCTGAGCTTGTGCTCACTGGTGGATCATGAAGATATAGAGATATATTAGATAGAAACCTGCAGAGAGAGAACGTTCTAAACTCACCCGCCGCCTTTAGAGAGAACAGTGAAGTACAGTGACAGTGCTGGAACCATCTGTTTAAAATCAGTGACTCTTGGTAGGACAGTTTGTTTGCTAAACAATGAACTTAATTTATTTTTAAATCTTTCAGGGCTAAAAGTCATTGTATTCATTGGTTTTGACTGTTTTTTTAATGTGAGACGTTTGATTCTTTTGATCTGTCCATCTATCTACTACTAATTCCAGCTTTTCTTGCATGTAGAATGTGTAGTTTAGAGATCACGAACTCTGGGGTGAAAAACATTGTTACTAGACTAAATGATGCCGAATTGTCCTCGTGATTTATCCACGTTCAGTTAAAGGCTTTTTTTAAGAGTCTTTTTTTAACCGCATATCATACAAAACTATTGCTTAATTATAGAAGGAATGAAGCCACACATTACTGAGGGAAGAGCTGCTGGTAAACCTTTTAAATGAAGAAAGCCTCAATCCAAATCATGTAATAATTAAAGAGTTTTATAATCATAAAAGCTGAGTGGGAGGTTTTGAACATGAAGCCAAATTAAATCTTTTCACTTTTGCTCTGTTTTGGTCTTCGAGGCCAAATCTAATTAAGACTTCAGCAGCTAGTCTGGATGAAAGTTTGAGAAGCTGAAAAACAGAAGATGTTTAAATCTGTGATCATGTGTTTGTTAATAAAAGTGACTATGTGTGTGTGTGTGTGTGTGTGTGTGTGTGTTTGTAGCTCCACGCGAGTGTGAGGAGGACGAGTTCCACTGTCAGAATGGTTACTGCATCCGCAGCCTGTGGCACTGCGATGGAGACAACGACTGCGGGGACAACAGTGATGAGCAGTGCGGTGAGTTTTGTGCTTTTTGTGCTTTTAGGTGCTGCTGCTTTTCCTCAATCACAGCACGAATGATTTTAATAGTTCTTAAAGGCTAAATAATAACTAAAATTAGGTCACCAATAGTTTGCATCGTTGATGTTGGCTTAAAGCAGTATTCCAGCAAAAGTACAAACAGTGCCAAAACTTTTACATATGGCTGGGCTTTTTGGGACTTTTTAAAAAAAAAAACCTGCAGACATAAGGGAGCCAGATGGCTAAAGTTTTTGCTAGAAAACGATCACATATAAACATTATAGAGCATTATAGAGTGCTTTTTAAATGAAACAACAGAAACTATATCGCCCCCTACACTTCCTGTAGTGCATTACCGTCTGTCAGAATGACTGTGTGGATCATATGAACATTACAGAGCATTTTTAAATGAAACAGTAGAAGCCATATCGCCCCCTACACTTCCTGTAGTGTATTACAGTCTGTCAGAATGACTGTGTGGATCATATGAACATTATAGAGTGCTTTTTAAATGAAACAATAGAAACCATATCGCCCCCTACACTTCCTGTAGTGTATTACCGTCTGTCAGAATGACTGTGTGGATCATATGAACATTATAGAGCACTTTTTAAATGAAACAGTAGAAGCCGTATTGCCCCCTACACTTCCTGTAGTGTATTACAGTCTGTCAGAATGACTGTGTGGATCATATGAACATTATAGAGCACTTTTTAAATGAAACAATAGAAGCTGTACAAAAGAAACACCTACCGTTGTGTGCAAATGTTTGTGAAACCCTGGTCAGATTACATATTTTGTTGATTGTCTAAGTGAAAATAGGTTAACAGAAAAATGCCATGTGTGTTCTCTGTAGAGGATGTGTTAACTTATATTTAACTAGAAAATCAACAAAAACATGTATTTTGACTGGGGGTTTTTAAACTTAACTGCATATAACACCTACACAATATAATCACATTTTCTCTATAATCAGTTCCATGTATGTTTTTTCTCTGTGCATGTACAGATATGAGGAAGTGTTCTGATAAGGAGTTCCGCTGTTCTGACGGTAGCTGTATAGCAGAACACTGGTACTGTGACGGAGACACGGACTGCAAGGACGGAACGGATGAAGAAAACTGCCGTAAGTCTGCATGAGTGTGTGTGTTTGTGTGTGTCTCCATGAGAAATAACTGACGTCTGGTTCCTATCACCACTACTGTGAACAATTCTGACTTTGTAAGTTTCTCTAGAACAGAGCGTTTCACACCAAACCACTCTGAATGACTGTCATGTGAAGATTTTTGCCAATCCGATTGAATACATTCCGATTATAGAAGAAGACTGAGGTGTTTATGCTTACTGTACTCAACAATCTGATGGAAAATCTCCGTTTACATGCTCATTACAAGTAATCAGATCAAAAATTATGTGCATGCGTAGAGAACCACTTATTGTAGATGTTACCATGACAGCGAGCCTCACGTGAGTCCAGTCAGAGTGAGACGAACAGCAGTGGGCAGTGCTTGTTTTTTAGTAACTTTAAAATGATGTCAGACTCAGGAAAACGTAATTCACATGCACTTACTAAAGAAGGTGAGAGGAAGACACCATGTTCTGAGACACATATGCTGGACCCCTGTCACACCACCGTCTACTAAAGATCAAAGCATAAACTTTGTCTCTTCTGCAGACCAGATTCTGCTCCCGCCATGTTGAACGTTGTAAACTATGACGTGACACACATGCACAGAACGTGCTTAAATTTTCCGATTGGGAATGTAATCAGATACAGGCATTTACACGGATATTATTCTTCTATTTAATGGATTATTTACAGGATTACCCACCTTGTTTAATCTGATGGAAATTGTATTCCGAATGGCCTCAATCGGACTAGACTATTCTGATTGAGGTGTTTACATGGATGTATTCTATTTTGATTGAGTTATTAGTCGGATTATTAATGGATTATCAGACTGCATGTAAATGTGGCTGTAGCACGGCATGTGCTACCCCGGGCTCAAGGAGGACACGGGGGGCAGTATTCAGTGTTGCAGCAACCATGTTTTAATTCACACACTAAATAAACAAAGCAAAAAGAACCAATGAAAACAAAACCAACGCTATGCTGGCCACTTTTCAGTGGCTTTAGCCAGCTAGAATTTTCAGTCCTTTATCACTTCAGCTTTTCAGCTCTTCTCTCTCTCTGTTGCTGCTGTTCGTCCCTCTCTCTCGCTCTGTTCCCTCTCAGCTCTTTTTAAAACAGCCAGCAGCGTGAGCACGTGAGCCGAGAGGGAACAAGAGCTTGCTGCTCCGCCTCTTCGTCACCGCCCCTAGCTCGCAGCTCGGATGCCCGGGTCAAAAGTGAGGTGTAGTGAAGCGGCCTTGCTGTGGAACAGGGGGCGGGGCCCAGGCGGCGGAGCTCGGGACTCGCTCTTTGCCCTCGTGCCTCTCGTGGCCGGCATCGACCTCTTCCTCCTCCCGCCGTCACTCACGTCCCTCTGCGAAGCTCGGGCTTTGCGCTCCGTCCCCCACTCACTTGCAGTTCTCCCCCCGCCATGTTTGCGGGGCTTCGTCCTCGCTCGGAGGACGCATGCCACAGTGGCTAATAACTTTGTCTACAGGTTAATTGTTCAATAATGATGAATCTTTTAAATTTTGGTGTAGTTCCCCTTCACTATAAATGTATGTAATTGTGTATATATAGTATACACTGACCAGCCATAACATTAAAACCTCCTTGTTTCTACACTGTCCATTTCTTCAGGTTCACTGACCATATAGTGTCACTTTGTAGTTGTACAGGTACAGACTGTAGTCCATCTGTTTCTCTGCAAACTTTGTTACATTGTTCTTCAATGATCAGGACCCCCACAGGACCCCCACAGGGCAGGTATATGGGTGGTGGATCATTCTCAGCACTGCAGTGACACTGATGTGGTCGTGGTGGTGTGTTAGTGTGTGTTGCGCTGGTGCAAGTGGATCAGACACAGCAGTGCTGCTGGAGTTTTTTTTTTACCTTGTCAGTCCACCTTGTAGATGTAAAGTCAGAGACGATAACTCATCTGCTGCACAGTTTGTGTTGGTCATCCTCTAGTCCTTCATCAGTGGTCACAGGACGCTGTTAGCTGGATGTTTTTGGTTCTCAGTCCAGCGGCGACACTGAGGTGTTTAAAAACTCCAGCAGCACTGCTGTGTCTGATCCACTCGCACCAGCGCAACACACACTAATGCACCACCACCATGTCAGTGTCACTGCAGTGCTCAGAATGGCCTACCACCCATATAATACCTGCCCTGTGGAGGTCCTGTGGGGATTCGCACCATTGAAGAACAATGTTACAAAGTATGCAGAGAAACAGATGGACCACAGTCTGTAACTGTAGAACTAAAAAGTGAAACTATATGGTCAGTGGAGCTGATACAGTGGACAGTGAGTGTAGAAGGAGATGGATTTAATGAAGTGGCTGGTTCAGTTTTTAGACATGTTGTAGCGGTTTGAGGTTTGTGTGTGTGTGTGTGTGTGTGTGTGTGATGTGTAATGTGAGCTGCTGTGTGTCTCTCAGTGCTGTTAATAGAAACAGCAGCTGTGATTGGTCCTGTATGTGTTTGTTTTTGGGAACGACAGGTATTTGTGCTTTAACAGGACAGCAGTAGCAGCTGTCATGAGTGTGTGTTGAGTTCTTATGTATGGACCTCTGTACACAGTTCCTGTCAAAAGTTTAGACCCTCCTGACTGAATGTCTGCTCTTTATAGTCATTTTAAAGGGCCCATATCCTGGAAATGTCAAATAAAAGAATTGAATGTAAACCTCTTAAGTCCATACAGTCCATGTTTGGTAACTAAGCTGTGAAAACAACTTGTTTTGAATTCATTGTTTTTATAATGTCACAAGAACTAACTCATTAACATCACACCCGCCTATTTAGCCTGCAGAGGTTTAGCCCCGCCCACTCACACTAACGTTATTAGGAGTGTTTCAGCTCTTAGTGCTCTTTGAATAAGGCACAGCCAGTCAAAACTGAGCTCATTTACATATATCTGTTTTAAAGGTGCAGGGACAAAAACAGCCTGTTTAGTTCTGGTAAAAAGCATTTGTGAAAATAAATTATTACCATTTTTGGTACATAAAAACTTACAGATGTTATAAGTGGAGTTCAGGGAACAAAATAAGATTTAATTTAATGTTTATGCTTTAATGTTTAAAGTTTATTTCTAGGACACACAAAAGATAGAGTTGGTGCCTGTGTATGAAAGAAAAACATTTTATATGTAAATCAGATATATATTTGAATTATCCATGGAAATCTCTGTGTGTGTGTGTGTGTGTGTGTTCAGCCTCAGACCTGCTGACGTCCACCTGTAGTGTAGAGGAGTTCCAGTGTGCGTATGGACGCTGCATCCTGGACATTTATCACTGCGACGGAGACGACGACTGTGGAGACTGGTCCGACGAATCAGACTGCTGTAAGAGGCTCTCTGTATCTCTGTATCACTTTCTCTCTGTCTCAGTCTGTCTCTGTCTCTCTCTCTCTCGCTCTCTTTCTGAATCAGACTGCTGTAAGAGGCTCTCTATATCTCTCTATCACTCTCTATCTGTCTCAGTCTCTCTCTGTCTCGCTCTCACTCTCGCACTCTCTCTCTCTCTGAATTAGACTGCTGTAAGAGTTTCTCTGTGTCTCTCTCTCTCTGACTGCTGTAAGTCTCTCTCTGAAACGGACTGCGCTGTAAGGCTGTCTCTCTCTCTCTCTCTCTCTCTCTCACTCTCTCTCACTCTCTGAATCAGACTGCTGTAAGTCTCTCTCTCTGTCTCTCTCTCTCTCTCCCCCCTCCATTCAGCTCAGTTGTATATCAGATTAATGAACTCATGCTATTCTGACAGAATTATAATATTAATGTATTACCATCTCATATACAAAGAGCTCCGCCCCCTCCGGATGTTTTTTCAGTCTTTTTCATCCCTCCTTCTCTTTGCATGTGTCACTCTATTCTCCTCCACCTGTTCTGTTTTTCTTTGATCGCAGCAAGAGATCGCCGTTTCGTTCAGCTCCGCTGTTTACCTTCGTCTTTAATTCACTCACTTCTTCTCTTCTAGAAGCTTCTTCAGAAACTCTTTCTCTTCCTTCCTCCACTTTCTCTCTTCTTTCTTCTATGATCTTGTTAATATATCTTGTTTTGTGAATGAATGGCAGTCATGTCCATTAATGAGTCATATGTGGTTATTTTTGTGAACTTTAACATTTTTAAGAGGACCTTTACAGGAATACTCCAACTGCATTCTTAAAAACATGGTTCTTCAAGGGTTCTATAGTAAAGACAGTGGTTCAGTGTAGAACCATGAGCACTCAAAGAACCATTTGCGGGGGCTCCCGAGTGGCGCAACCGTCTAAGCGTTGGCCCTATCATCAGGAGATCGCGAGTTCGATCCCTGGTGATGCTACAGCCATCCGTAGCCAGGAGTCCAAGACAGCACAATTGGCCTCGCTCTCTCTGGGTGGGTAGGATGGCCCCTCCTTCTGTTAGCTGACGTAACAGATCTGGCGGTTGGCGCTTTCCTCCGAGCGCGTTCAGCTGTCCAATGACATTGTGTGAGCGGCAGTATGAAAAGAAGCGGTGGCTGGCTTCACAGGTCTCGGAGGAAGCCTGTGTTCGCCCTCCTAGCGTTGATAGTGTTGTGTGATTGGGGGAGTCCTAACTAGTGGGTAGAATTGGCGACGACTAAAATGGGGAGATAATTCGGTTAAAATCAAAAGAAACGTTTGCATGTTTTAATGGTTCTTTGTGTGGTGAAATTGTTCTTCAGATTGATGGAGATTGTGTTGTGTATGATTCTACATAGCACCAAAAAAGGGTTCTGTCACTGTTACGATGTCAAGCTTGTATGTGATAAACGAACCTTTTTTGGTTCTACATAGAACCATTTTCAAAAAGGTTCTATTTAGAACCACATACAGCATGTTCTCCTTCTGAAAAACGATTTCATTATGCAGCAAATCATTTAGGTGTTCATGGTTCTATATAGAACTATTGTGCTTACTAAAGAACCCTTGAAGAACCATCTTTTTTAAAACATGCTTCCACAGTCATGTGCAAAAAGTTGTGCGCCTCTGGTCCATTTCCATGTTTTTATTAAAAAAAGTATAGTATAAAATGTGGCCTGTGCAAAAGTTATGGTTTATGTTTTGCAGTGTGTTAATTTCAGTGAATAGATAGAAATGGTGCACTGAAATTTGCAGAACAATGTTATATTTAAGTGTGTTCTCTGTAGAGGATGTGTTAACTTTGTTTTTTTTACATAAATATATGTATTTATTTTTTTATTTCTTTAGATTTCCTTTTTGGAATTTTCTTTTACATTCCAAGTTTCTCCTGCTCGTTCTGTTTTATATTTCTCTTTTGTGTGTGATCCTTTAGCTGTAACTTCTTGGCTGTATGTTTTATGGTTTGTAATAATGGAGTGTTCAGAGAGAATGAATTTATTTCTCTCCTCCTCTAAAGCAGTCATGCTTGTCCTCTTTTCTCACGCTGAGTTTTTTTAAAAAACTGCCCCAGTTTTTGAGATATTTAGCATTTTTTGGAACCTTGAACCAGCATCAAAGGGAGCAGGAGGCTCACAGTAATGTGTACGCGCTCTTCATCATTTCAGCTGGAATACTTTGGCATGAAGCTGTGCTTTGTTAGCATAAAATAGAAAAAAAATACATTTGGCTAGAGTCCTGCTGTCCAAGAGATGAAACAACCCCGCCTGTGTGGACAGACTGATTTTGAGTGTGTGTGGGAGATGGACACAATTGGGACTGATATGTAAGATCCAGCCAAAGATTGGAGTGGATATTAAAGTAATAGTTTTGCCAACAGTCTAATTTACAGAACCACCACCCCCCGATTTCATGAATCAGCCAAGACATGTTTAGTGTCTAAAGTTTGCTCCTTTAGTTTTAGCACTGGAGCTGCAAAGCTAATGTTGCTAAGAAGTAATGGAAGTGTATACCCCACCAATTAGCATAGTGCTAACTGCAGGACAAGTCGTCACCCACTTGTCTTGAAGCGTGTGGAGGTGTTCAGTATCTCTAATAGACTTGATTATGTCGTGGCTGACACTGTATGACCCATTTATCTATAACATGGACTAAAATACTTTGACCAAGTTGCCTTTTGAAACAGTTTTCATACAGAATGTTCAGATAGTTCACGTTACTGCCACAAATGATGTCACAGTGGACGTCTCTCACACTGACCCTTAAACACGTTACATACATTTACATTCTTACTAGCAACCACTTGGAATACCGTAGCAACCCCCTAGCAGCCACCACAGATACCATAGCAACCACCTATTAGCCACCACAGATACCACAGCAACCACCTAGCAGCCACCACAGATACTATAGCAACCAGTGGTGGACGAAGTACACAAATCATGTACTTGAGTTAAAGTAGAGATACCCAAAGTAAAATATTACTCCCTTTAGACCTCCACTTGAGCAAAAGTACAGAAGTATTTGCCTTGAAATGTACTTAAGTATTGAAAGTAAAAGTACTAAAAGATTAATTATGACTCAAATGTCCTATTATCATTTTTGTAACAAGACTCTTGCTTCATTAACTAATTTTAGGTGAAAATACTATAGTGTCACTTTTGGTAATCCAATCTTTTAATAGATTAATTAGTCTGACACTGATGTCTATTAAAATTATCATAAGCACAAAAGACTGAAGACAAACAATTTCCATTAGGTAGAACCAAGAGGCTATGAAATAACTTTTTGCAAACAAGCAAAGTTTCAGTTTAAGATTATTTGCAACTTAGTTACAAGTTTAAGTTTAATAAAAACTTGCTTTATCACAGGTTCACAAATGAGTTTTCCTTTACTATATTGCATCTGTAGGTCTCTGTTCATAAACATAAACTAGCAAAAACAAATTTACTATAAAATGAAATGAAATAGTGTTTGTATAAATTCAGAAAAAAAGACACATGCCAGTCACAACTGCATATGTGTGCATATTTCTATATTGTGGTCTATTTACACAAAGTTATGATAGTTCCATCATTTATGTAGGAAAAGGCACTCCTGAAATTTTACGCTGCTGCACTGACCTTGAACCGTATGCTTGCTTTGGGTCGGTATGTCCAACAGGTCAAAATAAACTCAAAACAAGGTGTGCGCTGTACTCTGATTGGTGTTCTTGCTTCACGCTTCGTTCATTTTGATGTTACGTTTTTATACACATAATCTCTAAAAGGAACGACAGATTTCGTATGATGTAGTGTAGTAAAAAGTAAGATATTTGACTTTGAAATGTAGTGGAGTGAAAGTAAAAGGTCACCCAAAATGGAAATACTTCAGTAAAGTACAGATACATGAAAAAACTACTGAAGTACAGTAACAAATTACATTTACTTTGTTACTGTCCACCACTGATAGCAACCGGCTAGCAGCCACCACAGATACCATGGCAACCACCTAGCAGACACCACAGATACCATAGTAACCCCCTAGCAGCCTCCACAGATACAATTGCAACCACCTAACAACACCTTAGCAGTCTCCTCCAATACCCTAGCAGCCACATAGCAACACCCTAGCATCCACCTAGAATGACACATGAACTACATAGGAACACCTTAGCTACAACCTAGCAGCATCTTAGCAGCAACCTGGGATAGCATAGCAAACACACACCCACATCCCAGCAACAACCTGACACACTATAGCAACCACATTGGTTACCCTGGCAACCAGCTATCAATACTGTAACAGTGACTTAGCAACTACCTAACAAAGGCCAAGCAATGTCTTAACAACAGTCTGGAATCACATAGCAGCACCATAGCAGCACCATAGCAGCTACCTGAATGCCTTAGCAGCCACCTAGTATACCTGATTTATAAAATAAATGATCATAAACAGTGGCCATCTGCAACTGCTTCAACCTTTTTGAGACATTTTTAGCTGACTTTGCCAAGCCGACCCAAAGTTCGTTTACAAGCTTTTCTCTTCAAGTTAACAATCATCCTTTGTAGATGGTTGAAAGGAAAATAATGAAACAAAATTTACTGACACTGTGTGTGTGTGTGTGTGTGTAGCGTCTCACCAGCCGTGTCGCTCTGCTGAGTTCATGTGCAGCAGTGGGATGTGTATTAACGCTGGCTGGAGGTGTGACGGAGAATATGACTGCGATGACCAATCAGATGAGACCAACTGCAGTAAGTCTGTGTGTGTGTGCAAGTTAGGGATGCACAAATTGGACGAAATACAAATATTGCCATTATATTTAAACAAAAAAAGGAATCTATGTATCTAGTAAATGAACACCATGATTTGTTAGAGGCTCATTTTCATATTGCAGTCTTCTGCTATATCAATATAATAATAATAATAATAATAATAATAATGATAATATCTGTTCGTGTGTCCGTAGCTATCTCTATGTGTTTGGCGGATCAGTTCCGCTGTGCGTCTGGTCGGTGTGTACGGTTGTCATGGCGGTGTGATGGTGAGGATGACTGCTCTGATGGCAGCGATGAAGAAGGCTGTGAAAAGACTGGTAAAGACACACAAATACACCCACACCTTTGTCTTACATTACTAGTGAGGACTTCCATTGATTTTCATCTTGTTTTTTTGTATTACTTTAACCAAGTATTCCTAAACCTAACCCTGACCTTAACCTCGTTATCCAAAGGGCAACTTTTCTGATCTTTTAGTTTTTCCAAAAAAAGGTCATTTGTGGTGAAAACATGTGCTCACGTGAGGACCAGCAAAATGTCCTCATGTCAGCAAAAATGTCATGTGGTTCTATCACTGTGGGGACAGGGAGTCCTCACAAGCATAGCAAGACGAGCGTACACACACAGTCTTTTTGTTTTTGTTTTATTATATTATATTATAGTATATTATATTATAGTATTATAAATGATCTTTAAAAACGTAAACTGTTTTTATGATGTTTTAATAATGGTAGTAATAATAATAATAATAATAATTGTTTTTTATTATTACTATTATCATTATTATTATTATTTTACAGATTTTGTTTGTCCTCTCTCTGTTGTTCAGGAGCTCCTCCGTGTGCCTCTGATCAGTTTCTGTGTGGAAACGGACGCTGTATTGGTCAGCGCAAAGTGTGTAATGATGTTAACGACTGTGGAGACGGAACAGACGAACATCCACACCAGGACTGTCGTGAGTACACATACACACACACACATGCACACACATGCACACACTCACAGACACACAGTTTTGTCTTATATTCCTTGTGAGGGCTCCCTTAGGTTTTTGTGTTACTGTAACCAAATACTCACTTGAGTAAAAATGTCATGTTGTCCTGTCACTCTGGGACATGTAGTCCTCACAAGGATAGCAAGACATGTGTACACACACACGCACACACACACACACACACACACACACACACACACACACACACAGTTCACTGTAATCCTGTATTAAAATGAGGCTGGTGGTCTGTATGGATCAGTTGGTGCTACAGTGTGATCGTCTTTGTGGAGGGTCTCTGTCAGAGCTCACTCTCTGATGAAATATCCCTCCAATGTCAGACTTCATCTGTGCTGTCTGTGACTCTTTCTCAGGCCCCAGGCCCACTGAGGGGAACTGTAACGTGGGTAACGGCGGCTGCTCTCAGAAGTGCCTGATGAGCCGAGGGTTAGTCCAGTGCTCCTGTCACACCGGATACAAGCTCGCAGAGGACGGAAAGACCTGCCATGGTGAGGGGGCTGGGGGGGACTGGAAAGTTTGAAAAACTAGTTACAATGCTAATGTAGCTAACAAGCAATCAAAGTTTACGCCCCACCAATTAGCATGGTGCTAACTATGTGCATGCATCATTATATGCTGGCTTCAAACTGTGTCAAGTTGGTGAAGGGAAATTTTACCAGTTTTTCAAAATATCTGCAAAGTTATTACATGAAATGGTTATGAATACGCTGCCTGATGGCTGAGACATTGTTTTATGATAATTTTGAGAAGATTCATCCATTACAATCCATTAATGGTGGAGGGATACTTGCAGAATATTATGAGGCAAAATAGTCCCCAAAGAAAACTTATTGTTTCAGATTTTCCACTATTTCCCCGTCATCAACATTCCATATGAACTCAGAAGACTTGTGTAGGTTCACTGGTGGTTTTGGATAGTAAATAAAATGTCTACATTTGTGTTGTTGTCATGGCGACCCCTGGTTCCTATCACCACCACTGTAAAGAAATCTGAACCATTTCACACCAAACCAAATCTGTTTACACCTCACATACTTAATTATGCAGACATTTTGAAAAAATTGTGGAATTTCCCTATAAGTACTACTTTAATATCACAAAAAAGGACTGAATGGACTGAAAACTCTCATCACTTCAGCTCACACATACACCAAGGCCCAGCCAACTGCGTGTGTTTCCGGGATAGGCGCTCAGGTTGCAGACTGACTGAAGCTGTGCCAGCAACAGCAGCAATCCTTTCTTCTTTTCTTTCTTTTCTTTCTTTTCTTCTGTCTTTCATCTCTTCATCCTCTGCTCGGTCTGGCGGGAATGCTCCTGCTCTCACCACAGTGGAATCCTGGCACACTGTACAGCTCCTGTATGCATGTGTGTCTGGGAATATTTCTGCTCCATTGTCTTTTTTTGTAGTTTGCAAAAGCCTCAGGCTGCCAAGAAGTGTTTATAACTTTTAACCCACTGTGGTCAGAGGTCATTCTGTCAATTTAAAGTTTTCCTCTAAAGGCTCTTCATATAACATGATACTCATATGTTTCATATCAAAATGCTCCGTTATCTTCATCACTACTGTCCAAAACCGCTGCAGCAACTTCAGCAGCTGTCAACTCTCTGCACGCCATTTCACATCTGTCTCCAATGTGGACTGAATGAAGAATGAAGGGTTTCCAGGGTGATGGTCAGTCCTTAGTGATTTCATGAGTGTCCATTGGTCAGTTTCACACAGAATTTAGATGGACACACAAATCCACCAGTTCCACACGGTGGGAGGCAGATGACGTGTATCTCAGCCCCTCTTCATAGCCTCATAACTCCAGACATGAGTCACATACAATCTTGTGATAAGAGAGCACAATAAATTAAAATCTTTTTATTTTAGCTTTTCTCTAGTTTTATATTATTTGTTCTATTGTGGTTTATAGTTTTTTTTTATATATATATTTTTAAATGTACTTATGTTTGATTAATTTCATTTTTAAAATTTGTTTTTAAAAACAAGTAAAAACATGAAAACAAAACATTAAATTTTGTTTTTAATAAAAAAAAAAAAATTTAATTTAAATTTTTTAAATTTGTTTTTTTAAAGAACTTTGAAGTTCATTTCAGTGTTTGAAAAATGCTATGTTAATAGTTTATAATTATAATAAGTTTATAGTTTATTATTAAGATTAATAATTTAATAATAAGCCGAGAGGTTTAGACACTCAGGAGGTTCATATTTCTCTTTGGAATGCTTTCTGATCACTTTGCTGACCCTTTGTTGTCTCTTGTTGACCCCTTCACCTCCTTCTGCTCGTGTGGATGTGTCCAGATGTGGATGAGTGTGCAAATGAAGGCTACTGCAGTCAGGGCTGCACCAACACTGAGGGGGGCTTCCAGTGCTGGTGTGTTCAGGGCTACGAGCTCCGGCCCGACAAACGCAGCTGCAAAGCTTTGGGTGAGTGAATGCGGCGATCATCTCTCAGCGCAGTGACTCGGTCCTGATTCATACTGATATTTTGACTGACTTTGAACCTCGTTGATTCATTTTGATTCACTTTGATTCACTCTGATTAATTTTGATTTGGTCTGATTCATTTTCATTTACTTTGATTTGCTTTGATTCACTTTGAATCATGATGATTCAGCCTGATTCCCTTTGGTCAAAGATGGTCAAATTCTATGTTTTGTTGATTAACAAAAGTGTAAGTTAAGTGTAAATGAATTACAACATGCTCTACAGAGACACACTCCTGCACAATTTAATATGTAATTATTGTGTGTGTGTGTATGTATGTGTGTATATATATATATATATATATTTATATATATATATATATATATATTTATATATATTTATATATATATATTTATATATATATACATATATATATATATATATATATATAAATACATACACAGACCAGCAACAACATTAAAACCACCTTTCACTGTCCATTTTATCAGCTCCACTGACCATATAGTTTCACTTTGTAGTTCTACAGTTACAGACTGTAGTCCATCTGTTTCTCTGCATACTTTGTTACCCTGTTCGTCAATGGTCAGGACTCTCACAGGACCCCCACAGAGCAGGTATTATTTGGGTGGTGGGGTGTCTCAGCACTGTGGTGACACTGATGTGTTGGTGATGCGTTAGTGTGTATTGCAATGGTGTGAGTGGATCAGGCACCAAAAGGTATTTTATATATTTTATTCAATATTTTCAACCATGTATAAGTTGATAAATATGAATGATAAATTATTTACTGTAATGATCACCTGCAGTATTTTTTTGTCAACTTATCTGTTTTTAACCACTGTGTCCACTCACTGTCCACTCTATTAGACACTCCTGCTTTGTTGGTCCACCTTGTAGAGATGTAAAGTCAGAGATGATAGCTCATCTGCTGCTGTTGTTGGTCACCTTCTAGTCCTTCATCAGTGGTCACAGGACGCTGCCCACAGGACACTGTTAGCTGGATGTTTTTGGTTTTCATTCCAGCAGTGACACTGATGTGTTTAAAAACTGCAGCAGCACTGCTGTGTCTGATCCACTTGCACCAGCGCAACACACACTAACACACCACCACCACATCAGTGTCACTGCAGTGCTGAGAATGACCCACCACCCTAATGATACCTGCTCTGAGGGAGTCCTGCGGGGGTCCTGACCTTTGAAGAAGAGGGTGAAAGGGGACTATATATATATATATATATATATATATATATATATATATATATATATATTTCCCTCTGTTCTCTGGTATGTTGCCTCATGTCTATTCAAACCCACATTGTGCAGGTCACATTGTACGGGTCAGTATGGGGTATGTAGCATGGCATGGGGGCATTTACAGTGGGAGTCAGCAGCAATTTTATCTTTTTGGTGTTCTCAAAATATTCTCTCTGCTGTTTATTTTTACTTTGGTGTTTTAGTTTTACCTCATTGCCTTTGGCTGTGTGGCCCCTCAGAAGTGTTCACTGTAACATGTTTCTCATGTGTGTTTGTAATGGAAGGACAAAAATTTTATAAACTTTGTATGAGCTTAACCAAGTTGAAGGTTTTTTGTAATTAAATTTTCTTCAATATTGTGAAAGTCCTAAAACCTACATACTGTGAAAGCTGGAGAAGCACGTCACCTTGAGGGAATGGCTGGGTAAATTGTTATGGACACGTTGCTGTACTGCTTAGTTAGCATAGCCTAAAGCTAAGCACCATGATTACTGACTGTGGGGTAAAAACTGCAGAAGATGAAGGAGTGCAGTAAACAAACAGTACAGATCGGAGGGAGGCAGCCTGTCAGGAGCAGGAGAGTTACTGCTGTAGACCTGTAGCCTCAGGCTTTATGTATAGACAGAGAATAGAGGGGTGGAGAAAGAAGTGTGGACCGAAAAACTTTCACTAAACTCATCAGATTTCTGTTAAAAAGCGGAGCAAGTTTAAGCAGCACAAAAACAGCTTTACTGTATGGTGTTGCCTTGTCGCAACAATAACTTTCTTTTAATGTTTTGCTCAGAACAGTATAATACAGTAAATCAAACAGCGTCTTTATGTGTAAAGTGGTATACTTTCTTCTGATTTCCTTTTTGATTAATTATAAGTTTGATGCTAAGAGTAAGGGTGGGCAATGTGGCAAAAACATTTTACCACGGTACTTCAAGACATTTTCATTATAGACGATATGCATCACAATATTTAGTTTTTCTGAGATTTAAGTTGGAACAGACATAACCTGCCAAACATGCCAAAAATATAAAATAATACTAACAATATCAATAACAATAATAAATAACCTAAAACTACAATGATTTTTATTCAGTGTTCACACACTGAACTGCTCTGAACTAAACTAAACAGGCCTAATTAAGCTCACATTGTAAAATTATGTAGTTAGTCAGTGTTCTTGAAATACTGATGACATCCACGATTTGTTGCAGTGTAACTTATCACGATAATAATACAATATTGTCATATTGTCCACCCCCAGCTAATGGTTTTATATAAAATGATAAAAAATATACTTGTTGCCATATGGCAACAGTATGCCACAGTAGAACTGCAATCTGCAGTGTGTATAATGGGAGTAAATGAATACACTGTCACTGGACTCTATTATTTTTTTTTTCTCTCTCAGGTCCGGAGCCTGTGTTGTTATTTGCGAACCGGATTGATATCCGTCAGGTCTTGCCGCATCGCTCCGAGTACACTCTGCTGCTGAATAACCTAGAAAACGCCATTGCGCTGGACTTCCACCACAGTAAAGAGCTGGTCTTCTGGTCAGATGTCACGCTGGACCGCATCATGAAGGCCAACCTGAACGGCAGTAACGTGGAGGAGGTGGTGTCCACAGGACTGGAGAGTCCAGGTACAAATACGGCTTGTTTTTCTAGATTTTCACTGATTTTAAGGTTTGCTTTTTAAAAATTTTTGTTGGTCCATTCAGCATAACATCATCGCATGATGTAAAGGTTACATATTTTAGTACAAATGATGATGTTTTTTATGTCAAGTTGGAGTAACTTGCACTCTTAAAAATGATGGTTCTTGAAGGGTTCTTTAGTGAAGAAATTGGTTCTATATAGAACCATGAACACTCAAAGAACCCTTTGCATGATTTAAGGGTTCTTTGCATCATGAAATTGTTCTGAAGATTGATGGAGAATGTGCTGTTGATGGTTCTCTCTTCTTGAAAAGGGTTCTATATCGTACCAAAAAGGGTTCCACTATTGTTACAAGCCAAAGAACCCTTCTTTGATACTGTATAGAACCCTTTTTGCTAAGAGTACATATTACAGCTTAACCTGTTCATCTTTTTAATTTTGCTTTAATTTTAAATTCTAGCACCAACCATTGTTATTACATTTTACTTTCTTTAATTTATCATGGTTTTGCTTTTATTTTTTAACCATTTAACCGAATTAAGTGTATGTTTATACATATCATAACTAAAGACATATTAATCTGCCCAGCTAAAACAAAGATAGGTCATAAAGAAATGCCTGCCCTGCTCATGTCCAACTATTTTGTACTTACACTTATTGGCCATTTTATTGCCAATTACCTTATACATCTACATTGTGTTTACAGTTACAATTAAATTGCAGTTAATTAAAGTTACTCTGTGTAGGTGTAAGTTATAAACTGTCCATTTCCTCTGGACAGAGAAACATCAGATTTATTGCCTACATTTGGATATTTTCACTTTTTTACACCTCTCGTCATCTCTCATGCGTTTGTTCCAGAGTAGTAAAACACGGCCCACTTTAGGACTGAATCTGCTGCAGGTTCTGTGTTTTATGGTCCGTGTCCTGAACCTCTTCTCGCTGCCCGGTGCATCTGGACGGACGCTGTAAAACTGAAAACACTGAGAGTCGTGTCTCTGGAAAGCTTTTCAGGTTTAATAGCCCTTTTCGCTGTTTCAGAAATGAGGCACAGATGGGATCTCACACATTATAATACCTGACACTTGTGTGGTCGTCCGTTTTCTACTGACCTCATGCCGGCTGGAGCGTCCAGACTCTCTAAGATTAGATTCAGCAGCGGTTTTCTCTCAGTTGCTCTTAGAGACGCTGTTAATCCTGAACTAGTGCTTCAGATCGATCACTTATAATGAAAACTAGCAGAGCTACTGAAATGAGGACTGAAATATCATCTGTGTTAATTTTCAGTTTAGGGAAACTTAGTTACTGTATTCAGTAGAAATGGACAGAAGATAAGTCAAGAATGATGAGCAGAGCTCTAGAAGATTCTAAATGACAGAGGAAGCTGTAGAACATCCAGAACAATAATATATAATAAAATGTATATTAAAACGAAGCTTCAATGAAATTAACATCAAAAATTAAGTTAAGTAAGCTAATAAAGTTAATATCCAGAGTGACGTTCCGATAAAATTAACGTCCAGAGCAAAGTTCTAATAAAATGAACGTCCAGAATGAAGTTCTAATAAAATTAACGTCCAGAATGAAGTTCTAATAAAATAAACGTCCAGAATGAAGTTCTAATAAAATTAACGTCCAGAATGAAGTTCCGATAAAATGAAAGTCTGGAATGAAGTTCTAATAAATTTAACATCCAGAATGAAGTTCTAATAAAATTAACGTCCAGAATGAAGTTCCGATAAAATGAAAGTCTGGAATGAAGTTCTAATAAATTTAACATCCAGAATGAAGTTCTAATAAAATTAACATTCAGAATGAAGTCCTAATAAAACTAGTATTAAAAATGAGGTTCTAATAAAACTAATATTAAAAAATGTGGTTCTTATAAGATGTTCTAATAAAATTAATTGCAAAAAAAAGCTCTAATAAAATTCAAATTAAGACTTAATTTGTAAATGGTTAATATTAAGTATCATATCAAAGATACAAATAAGTTGACAATGTATTGCAGGTGATCATTACAGTAAATTATTTATCATTTTTTAACTTCTACATGGTTGAAAATATTGAATAATATATACACAATACCTTTTGGTGTCTTTCTTATAATCTTTCAGTCCACATGTGTTTATTATTCAGTTGACTTTTCACTGAATAAAAATCACATGCAGTAGCGCTGATTGTTGTGAAGATATCTGAAGCATGGTCTCTCCTCACCCCCCCTCCTCTTTCTGGCTCTCTCTGTAGGTGGTCTGGCCATAGACTGGATCCACGATAAGCTTTACTGGACGGACTCAGGGACGTCTCGCATCGAGGTGGCTAATCTGGACGGCACTCACCGGAAGGTCCTGATATGGCAGAGTATGGAGAAACCGCGCGCCATCGCGCTGCACCCTATTGAAGGGTAAGAGTCTGCAGACATCTGATTACATCTGCTGATTACTTTTCCTTCTGCAGAGCATGAGAGTTTAACTCTGTGAAGGAGTTTAGGTCCTTTAGTAGCAGCTGAACACACATAGTGGGTATATGCAGTATGTTAGCAGCTTTAGCCTAGACACCAAATAATACATGTGGTAAATGAAATCACAGCCTTTTAAAATGCACTTTAAAATGAACTCTATTAAAAAGCCTGTATCCTGGAGAACCAACTTTTTCATGCTTTGTTTTTTCAATTAGAGTTTGAAATAGTACATAAACACTGTTGAAGTTTCCAAATTCCCAATCACTCCCCAGTCCACGTAAAGTTTGTGGTTGTGATGTCACAACTATGAATTTGTCCCATTCTGCCTATAGATGTTTAGCCCCGCCCATTCGGCATACAGCAGTTTAGCCCCACCCATTCGGCCTACAGCGGTTTAGCCTCACCCATTCAACCTACAGGAGTTTAACCCTGCCCACTCAGCCTATAGCCGTTTAGCCCTACCCACTCAGCCTACAGCAGTTTCATCGTTCAGTCTATTTAATTTTAAGGGATAAAGGAATTGTAAAGATGAATGATGACTGATTTGTGTGCATAAAACAACACAAATGGGTATAAGTAGACCTCAGAGGAAAAAGTAGCCCTAAATGATAAATACATTCTCTTAAAAACTCTCAATCATGTGCAGTGAAAAAGTTAGATCAACACTTCACATAGTCACTGTTGAGAAAACTCATAATTTGGCTTCAATGTTGTTTTTGCTGTCTGTGTTTTAGGAAGATCTACTGGACAGACTGGGGAAACACGCCTCGTATTGAATACGCCAACATGGACGGCTCCGGTCGCAGAATCATCGCAGACACAAACCTCTTCTGGCCCAACGGACTGACCATTGACTACGCTGGACACCGCATGTACTGGGTGGATGCTAAGCACCACGTCATCGAGAGGGCCGACCTGGACGGAAAGAACCGAAAAGCCATCATCAGCCAAGGTACTGCGCCCCTCTCTCTTATTCAGCCACGCTGGGTCAAGTGTTCAGGGTTGGGACGTAATTCAATACAAGTATTGGAAATTTTCAGGATACAGAAATGAAGTATCTGTATTCAGTCCAAGTTACATTTTATAAACGCAGAATTCAGAACACAGTTACTTTTTACGTTTGTGGGAGAATAATTTAAGAATACTCACCAACTAAATAAGAAACATCCTTGAATAATGACCAGAAATCTAGAAGGTTCTAAATGACTGAGAAAGCTGTGGAACATCCAGAACAACGTTCTGATCAAATTTATATAAAAAATGCAGCTTTGAAAGTGTGATCATTTATAAATCTGTGCTATTACAATGTAATTACTTTGCTTATTATATATTTGTTACATAGGAAATTACATTTGCATTCAGTTGGCACTCTGTACTGACAGGATTGACTCTTACTAAGAGTCATAATAAAATGTCTCCTTCTCTGCTTACAGACACTATTGCAGTCTGGATTAAAAGTTTAGAATCTGCACTTTCCAAACAATTTCTCTGCTTGTCTCAGTGAACTACGAGTCAAAAATGTATAAATTTATAAATTAAAATAATAAATAAAATTACAGTATGATTTTGATATCGCTGGCCATACCGGTCACCTAAAAGGGTTAAAGACAAACAGTGGTAAAAAACTGAGAACAACTAAATCTTCTGAAATGAATGGAAATCATATGTGCTGGACAATATGATGAAATTCATGATAAATTATGTTACAATATGCTTTTCCAAACTTATCATGGATATTGCCAGCAATTAAAGAACGCTAACACACTTTTCATACAAAGTGAGCATAATTACGCCTGTTTAATTAGCTTTAATACAGTTAAACATTGAATCATTGTGGTTGTAGGTGTATTATTAATATTATTAATATTTTTATTATAATTATTCTCAGAAATCTCAGAACAACTAAATATTGTAATGCATATCATGTCTCGTGAAAATGTCTACACCCCTACACTGACTCTGTATTTTCACGTTTGCCCTCCGTCTCACTCCGTATGACCTGGAGTCATAATCAGCTTAAACAAACAGATCAACTTTCAGCCCCCCACGTCTCTCTCTGTGTCGCTCAAATTCAGTTTCAAATTTAAAGAGGTTTTATTGCCATGACTGTCTTAAGCACAATGTTGCCAAAGCAGATACAAAGCTAAACGTACTTTGCACAGCTAAAAGCAAATAAAGAATTAGTGATAGTAATAATGATAGTTACAGTGAAATAACAACAGTAATAAAAATAAACAAATAAACTAAATGAATAAAATAAGGCACCATGTATTAAATAATACAAAATGATAATAGATAATATATATTCAATTTATATACAGAGGTTTTGAAGTGGGTCAGTCCCTCTCCTTCTCTCTCTTTCTCTCACTCACTCTCTCGCTCTCGCTCTCTCTCTCTCTCTCTCTCTCTCTCTCTCTCTCTCTCCTTCTCTCTCCATTTCTCTACCCTTCTCTCTCAATTTCTCTTCCTCTCTCTCCCTCCCTCTCCCCTCCTTCTCCATTTCTCTCTCCCTCTTTCTTTCTCCCCTCTCCCTCCCCTTTTCTATCTCTCTCTCTGTGTCCTTCTCTCTCGATTTCTCTCTCCCTCTCTCTCCCTCTCTTTCCCCTCTCTCTCCCCTCTCTTTCTCTCTCTTCTACTCTCACTGACTCTCTCTCTTGTGTTCTGTGTAAGTGCTCTAAATGTTGGGGAGGAAATTGAGTTAGTTTCAGTCTGAGATTTTTTCCAGACTGTGGTTCGTGTTTTTGGGTACTCTGTGTTTGATGGATGGAAGAGTCTAGACACATTTTAACCCCTTATACTCTGGTGGCTGCTAGCATAGAACATCTAAAAGAGAAATTCCACCAGTTTTTCAAAATTTCTGCATAATTGAGTGTTTGAGATGTAAACAGAGTGATTCAGAGTGGTTTGCTGTGAAATGGTTCAGATTTCTTTACAGTGGTGGTGATAGGAACCTGAGGTCGCAATGACAATATGGTTGTATATTAATAATGTTTAAATGGGTTTATGCAACGTTTTTAAATTCATTTTTACACAACTGTTTTCCAGCTTCTCTTTACACCTCAGAATTGAACAGGGTATTTTGTTATGGTCTCTTTTATGTTAATTAGCTCTGTTCTGATTGGCTGTCCTGTATAGTGCATTGTTCCCAAAGCAGTCCAGGCTGAAACACTTCCGATTGAATGGGCGGGGCCAAATTATTATAGGCCGATAAGGCAGATATGTTAATGTGTCATTTTTTGTGACATCACAAAAATGAATGAGTTGAAAATGGGCCTTAAGTATTCTTTAGTAAAGACAGTGGTTCTATATAGAACTATAACTGCTCAAAGAATGCACAGAACCATTAGGTTGAGTGAAATGGTGCTTCAAAATGATGGAGAATGTGTTCAATATAGCACCAAAAAAGGCTCTGCTATTGTTACAAGCTTGGCATCATAACAGTTTGAATTTGAAGAACAATTTCACCATGCAAACAGTGATTTAAGCATGCAAATGGTTCTATATTGAACCATTGTCTTTACCAAAAAACCCTTGAAGAACCATCTTTTTTAAGAGTGCACCTCAAACAAAAGTGATAGTTTGTTTTTGCCTGATATCGTCCCTTTAAAGTGTTTTATTCAGTAATGAATATGAGACTAATGTGTAAGCTAAAGCTGTTGAGTGTGTTCCTGTTCAGGGTTCTCCACAGGCTGAAGAGCTTCTCTTGGTTCCAGTACATGCACCCCATTATATTTCCTCCAAATATAATATGAGGAGACGCTCCAGACCAACTTTGTAGAAAGCCAGAGATTTACGAGGAGTTGGAGTGAAGGCCAGCGCTGCAGTGGGCAGAGCCGGACGCTAGCCGTTTAGCGGTTTATCATCCGCCTCATAGCGCATCAGGGACACGCCGGAGCCGAACACGATTGGCCGATTGTAGCTGGGGGGATTGTGGGGGTGAAATGTGATCCAGTATGAAAGCCGGGTTTACAGAGAGCATTCCGGCTCAGCATTCTGGCTCGGCATTCGCAGCCAGTGTGTGGAATTCCAGCCCTGCGGATGGTGGATGAAAACAGCCCAGAAACCACACAGGCGTCTGGAGCCTTCCAGAAGGAAAAGCCTGAATGAGCGTGGCCGCAAGAATGGGCCACTGAGGCGGCCACACACTGAGAAAAACAGGCAGGGTTTCTGTTTTTAAAGCGATAGTTTGGAGAAAAAATTGTAATTTAAACACTTTCTCCTCCTAAATCAAATGTAGTCGATCACCAAGACGCGCTTGGTGTCTGAAGTTTGCTTATTGAGTTTTTGCGGGTGTAATGATACACGGATTTTCAGGTTTGATATGATTTTTGATTCAAGATTGTATTGTTTTAGTATTTTGTGCAGTTTTTTTATTCTGCTGAACTCTGATTCTGTTTGGCTCATGTAGATAAAAGTTCTCCAATAGAACATTTTCAGTGGAAAAAACGAAGTAAACCGCAAAAATCACAACCTTAGGATTTACAAGGTCATCAGAACCAAATTCCAGTCATTTGAGTGTGAGTGTGTCCATTGGATAAGCCCCGCCCCATGTCCTACTACTTTATGCTGTTAGGCTGCACCCAGATTGATCGATCATTGATGATCCCACACAGGAATTGGATTTCAGTCTGACTAAACAGATGCATTTGACTAAGAAGTGTAAATGCATGAGGCTAAAATGTTATCAGGATACAATCCAGATACTATATGAAGTGACCAGGTATAAAAGAGTCTTTCTCTAATAGTCTTGATTATGTGGTTTCTGGCATTTTAAGACTCACTGTAATCTATAAACATGAGCTAAAGGCCAGACTGAATTCAGATTTAGCGTAGATAAGTGTGCTGTTTTTAGCCTGTGACATACTTTTGTCCATTTATTGCTGTTCTAAGCAGACACATTTGACAGCTATTAGAAGAATGCTGAGGCATATCTCTGTGTGTGTGTGTGTGTGTGTGTGTGTGTGGTTGTCTGGTGGGTGGGCAGGTACAACACCTGTGGGCAGGTACAACATGCATACTTCCCGCAGCTGTGCTTACAGCTGTTGATAGAAAAAAGGCATTTTTTTCAATGCTTGCATACACGGAAGAATTCCAGCTAAAGCAAAAACATAAGAGAGATAGCGGCGATAAGAGTTAAAGGTGCACCAGCAGAACTAAAAGAAAGGAAAAGAAAAAAGGAGATAAGAAAAAGAGAGAGAGAGAGAGAGAGAGACGGCTGTTAGAGCTCAAGTCCAGCCATGCGTCACGTTCCTTCCTGATAAGATCAGAAAACAGCAACTTTACACACACCTGGAGGGGGCAGGGGTGGAGAGAAGGAGTGAGGAAAAGGAGAAAGAAGTGTAGGTTAGCCCCGCCCATGCATGTTGAACTATAGCACTAAGGAATGTTTCAGCTCCCAGTGCTTTTTTGAATGAGACCCAACAGGACAGCCAATCAGAGCAGTGCTCATTTACATATATGTAAATAAGGCACAGTGATGACAAACTGCCTGTTTAGTTCTAATGGCTAAAGAGAGGTTAGAAAATGATCATGTAATGATGAATTATGACTGTTTGGTACATTAGAGCACATAAATGTTGTAAGTGCGCCTCAAGGGAAGAAAAAACAAAAAATGAAGGATATGGGCCCTTTAATAGATCGCATCAAGCTGTGGTGAAGCATATTAAAATAACTGTAATGTATTCCCAAGACTGTCTACTATATGTTCACTTTTCTCTTTTCTTTCTCCCTCTCTTTTCCCTCTGTACCCTCTTTCCCACACTCCTTCCCTCCCCCACAGGACTTCCTCACCCGTTTGCGATCACCGTGTTTGAGGACAGTCTGTACTGGACTGACTGGCACACCAAGAGCATCAACAGCGCCAACAAGTTTACGGGCAAAAACCAGGAGATCATCCGCAACAAACTTCACTTTCCAATGGACATTCACACACTGCACCCTCAGAGACAGCCTGCAGGTCAGCACACAGTATACACACACACACACACACAAACACATTTGTCTTGCTATACGTATGAGGACGCCCATAGGTTTCTATTGATTTTTATGTTACTGTAGCTAAATAATACTACACCTACACCTAAACCTAACTTTAACCTCAGTATCCAAAAGGCAAATTTTCTACTCTTTTAGTTTTCAAATAAAATAAGTACAAATAATTGTGGTGAAAACAACACATGCTCAAGGGAGGACCAACAAAATGTCCTCACTTGAAAAATTTAATGGAGTCCTATCATAGTGAGGACATGGGGTCCTCTCAGGTATAGCCATACAAGAACACACATGCACACAGACACTGCATCCTGAGATGCAGCCTGCAGGTCAGCACACAGTACACACACACACACAGTACACACAGTGGTGTGGACTCGAGTCATATGACTTGGACTCAAGTCAGACTACACACAGTACATACACAGCACACACAAACAAAACACACAAAATACACACATAGTACACACAGCACACACACAGAATGCACATGCACAACACACATACAGTACACACACAGTGCATAACTATAATACATACAAACACACAATACACAATACACACAGAATACACATGCACAACACACACAGTACACACATACAATACACACACAGTGCTAAATGACTGTCAGCTGCTGTCATTTTCCTTCTTTCTGTAGCTGATATTGTCTCTCTGCTGTACATTCAATCGATATTTAAAATGATTTAAATGTAAATAAACTGTTACAGTGTATTACTGTTACATGTTTATGTAATAAATTACATTATCAGCGTTTGCTCATTCCTAACTGGCTATAAAATCTCCTCTTTCTCGTGTTTCCTTTGCCGTTCACGTCTCCAGGTGGCCATAATCGCTGTGGGACGAATAACGGTGGCTGTAGTCACCTCTGCCTCCCCAGCAACAAAGCCTTTACCTGTGCCTGCCCTACAGGCTTCAGAAAGGTGGACCAGTACAACTGCGCTCTGAGTGAGTCCAGCTTTCACACTTTTATCACTCTTATAGCTTTTTTTTTACTTTTTTTTTATCGTCAGAGTAGGTCTGGGCGACTAAACGATAACAGTAATAATCAAAATTAAGTATTTACAAATATCAATGTACATTTGACATATTTTCAATAATCATTACACTGTTCTATTCCTTAGTGCAGTATTCTGTAAACTAGGTGGCGCTGTGCAGAAAACTAGCAGCACAGTTAGTCTTCATATATGTTTTTTGTATATTATATACAATTATTTTTCAAGAATGTTCTTCAAATTGACACTGTCATATCAAAGTGTATAACATAGCAAGAAATAAAATCTTGTTATGTTATAGTACATTAAAGTTAATATTTCCCGCTTTTTTAAGATTTAGGCCTTTTTTGCACACAGCAATACATTTGCATACGTAGCTAGCTATTTTTTAATATTACATCAGGATAAATAAGCATTTTATTCAGAGTTTGATATAGTCTATCTCCATTTTTGTTAATTTTTACAATTTTTTCTACATCATTCGAACATCAAAAACATCCAACATCCAAAATCAGTTAAGAATATTTTTGCCTTCTATAAAGTTATTGTTTTGGAGATAGAAGTTTTTCTTTGGACAGCAACGATGTAATAGTCAAAATTTAAAGTTAAGCAGTAAGGAAGGCATGTATTAAATATCACTAATTAGTATCACAAAAAATAATTATCATGAATTATTGAATGATGAGCGAACGTATCGTTTACAAATTTCTGACCATATCGCCCAGCCCTGCTTCAGAGACGTGATTTATTAATGTGTTCACTCTACTTCACTGTATTGGTGGCATTAACAGTTTATTGGTGGTTTTAAGTAATAAGTAATAACTTATTATGAATTATGAATGATCTTTTTGTTAGTTGTAATTAGTGCATGCGTGAGTGTTTGTCTGTGTTGTAATGAACCCCCACTGTTTAAATCTGGAGCACTGACAGGAGACCTTTGGTCTTTGATCAGGTCTTGACAAGTTCCTGCTTTTTGCCCGAAGGACGGACATCCGTCGGATCAGCTTCGACACCGAGGACATGTCGGATGACGTCATTCCGTTGGCGGACGTCCGTAACGCCGTGGCACTGGACTGGGACTCCAGAGACGGTCATATTTACTGGACCGACGTCACCACTGACTCCATCAGCCGTGCGCTGTGGAATGGATCCAAACAGGAGGTCAGTTATTTGGAACCCAGTGAGAGAGACTGGAGTTATTACTCCATTTAGCTGCAATGTTTCCGTTTAAATAACACAGAATGAATTACAGTTATACTTTTATATACATTATGCTTTTATACATTTATAAAAAATGCAAAGGATAAAACAGCACAATAACTTCATCATATTCAGATCGAAATAAAATATCACCTGCTTGCAAACTCTAAAGTGGTCTGAACTTTGCACACAGTGTCTCCACCTATTTCAGTAAATTACATTTAATTTCTATGTTTTATTTAGTTTATGTGTGATATTTTTTTATTTATTTGCTTTTTTGTATTTGCCAAGATGTATAAAGAATTTTTCTTCATACACAACCTTAAAAAAGAGGCTTCAGGAGTTCTTTATTAAAGGGAATGATTCTATTTAGAGTTCTGTGTAGAATCGTTTGCATGCTTAAACGGTTCTCTGCATGGTGAAATGGTTCTTCGGATTGATGGACAATGTGTATATGGATCTATATATGTATATATGCTATATAGAACCATGTACAACACACTCTCCATCGATCTCAAGTAATACTTTTGCTCTTGTTTTGCTGTAATAGATGACTTTCCCTCTGGGATTAATAAAGTGATCTATCTATTTAGTTCTGAACCGCTTAGCTTAGAGAAAGTTGTAAAACACTGCTCCCTGCTGTACAGACTGTAGAAGTGCTGCCTGGCTCCTAGATTTCTTTACTTTCAGGGGTCTGTATTTATATTTAACTGTGTCTGCAGGTGGTGGTGGACACCAGTTTGGAAAGCCCCGCTGGACTGGCCATTGACTGGGTCACACACAAAGTTTACTGGACTGATGCAGGTGATCATGATGTTTAATTATATATTATTATCTAGTTTATAATTAAAATTGTATATTCATTTGTTTATTTATTTTTAAGCAGTTCCCAGGTGATTGCTAGGATTCTGCCAAATAGTTGCTGTATTATTTTATGTTATATTCTATGGTGTTGTCAATGTTAGGTGGCTAGTAGGATGTTGCTAACCAGTATCCCAGGTGATTGCTTTGGTGTTGCTAGGTGATTGTTGTGGTATCCCAGGTGGTTGCTAGGGTTAAGTTGATATATCAGTATGCATTATGATATCACAGTTGGATTACAATGTTCAGTGCTCATATTTCTGCTGATTGGCAAATATGTAGCAAACAACAAGCAACATGTAGAAGTAGCTTTACAAGATTTGGTGGTTTTTCAAAGCTACTGCCATCTATAATTGATAAAAACATACTTTACCCACAATATCTGAACTACTGTTAAAACGATGAGTATAAATACAGAAATAAATAAAAAAACGATGCAAGAGTCTAAAGTGTTGATGCAGAATTGTGGAAAATAAAATCACAGTTCAATGATCAATCATGATATTAGCAGAGCCGTGGCTACGTCTGACCTTGATTTTCAAAAATTCATGATCATTTTCACTCTTCTCTGATCTCCATCAGGTACTGACCGCATCGAAGTGTCCAATGCTGACGGCAGCATGCGCACAGTCCTTATCTGGGAGAACCTAGATCGTCCCCGGGACATCGTGGTGGATCCCATCGGAGGGTAGGGTGGGGCGATATGTCCCAACATCGCAATTCTATTTACCATCATTCGATATATTTAGGTATTGATAATTATTTTTATATGCTCTTGTTTTAAGTCTGAATACTATTTTGAATCCTGGAGAGAACTAAAGTCTTATTCTGACATAATAAATCTTATTTATTTTCAAGAATAATTATAATGATTTATGATTTAGTGTCAGAGAACATAAAATTAATGTAACCAAAAAGTATTATAAAGTATTATAAAGTATTAAATAATGTCATTTTTCAGGATATCAAACATGTTTAGTCCAATTTAGTTCACTAAACAGTTCTGTTCCTGTTGTAGGTATATGTACTGGACAGACTGGGGAGCGAACCCCAAGATTGAGCGTGCAGGGATGGACGCATCCAGCCGCATAGTCATCATCTCCACCAACCTGACCTGGCCTAATGGACTGGCCATTGACTATCAGACCGAGAGACTGTACTGGGCCGACGCCGGCATGAAGACCATTGAATTCGGCAGCTTTGATGGCTCCAACAGACAGGTCAGTCGTTCGAACATGCTAAAACATGTATATGTGGTGCTGGATCATGTCTAAAAAGAACTATAACAGTATTTTCCACCAAAAAAAAAAAAATTACACATATGAATGAACCCAAAAGACAGGTGCAGTTTAGGCTTGCTGTCTTTTCTCAGTGTAGGCCACATGCAAAAAATCATAAAAATTATATAGTAACATTGAGCAATGCAGCTTCTTTAGGTAATAAACAACTTTGCTTTGTGTTTTGAAATTTTTGACTGCAGAAAATCAGTTGTTGTCAGTAATCTGATCAACGTGTTTACATGCGCTTAATAATCCGATAACTGCAGAAAATCGGATTGTGTCAGTAACTGGTTCAGTGCGTTTACACTAAATGATCTGATAACTGTAGAAAATCAGATTGTGTCAGTTACTGGTTCAGTGTGTTTTCATGCTCTTGGGTAAATAGAAAATGGGGAGGCTCCGGGTCTACATGAGTCAGGCAGTAACCAGATTTCTGCTTTACAACCGGCCAATAAACTCCCAGAATAAGACGTGATGTAAACGTAATGTAAGATGTAGGATGAAGAATATTTAAATCCTTCATTTTGTTGAGCATGTATTTGGTTCCAGCAATGCTCCAAAAGTGTTTTGCTGCATCCCGCGTCAGCGCTGCTTGCTTATTTCTGATACTGCAGTTTGTTTTTGCACATGCGCAGACTGAGAAATCTGAAGGAAATCAGAGTAAGAGTTTACATGCACTGAGAAATCTGATTACAGAGCTAAAATCCAGCATCAGTGTTAATACATGTAAATATATATATATACACAGAGATTTTTCATCCATGATTAGTGTTCATTTCATCACTCATTGAAGCGCTGGGTCTGTGTTTATCATTTTTGTCTTAATTAGTTCAAATTACTTTCTCGTTCACTATGAACTAAACCTTAATTGCTTCCTGCAGGTTTTGATTGGTAGCCAGTTGCCTCATCCGTTTGGCCTGACGCTGCACGAAGACAAGATCTACTGGACGGACTGGCAGTCCAAGAGCATCCAGAGCGCAGATAAACTGACCGGTTTGGGCCGCTCTACACTGGTGGAGAACCTGGAGAACCTGATGGACATCCACATGTTCCACCGCCACAGAACGACAGGTCAGCACAGAGTAACTCTGAATAAAATGTGTGCCAAAATGGCCACGGCATGAAATACCATAGAGCAACAGGATCGTCTCTGTCCTTTATGTGATGCCATGGTTGAATTGGTCTACTTGTTTTCAGCAGTCCAGAGATTAGTGTTCTCCTCCAAGCACAGTGAAGCGTGTTAGCAATGCCACTGGTGTTTCCAACCTAAACTTTGCACATGAAAACACTGTTAAGGCTGGTTTTAGAAGGTAAAAATCTCAAGCATACTAGTTCCTTGTTGTCAGTTATTTCATATAGATAATGTGTTAACGTGATTAAATTATTAACACTATAGTTTTTTAACACTGTTAACGCATTTTGCTAGTTTGACCCTTCAAATCTTCCATAGTTATAACCTCTCCACGGATGTTGGTGATGAAGATTGGAAAATGCATTCATCTTATTTTCATGTTTGCCCGACTTTCACATCAGTTTCAGTTTCAACTCTGCATTCAAACAATGAAAATAGTATTGCTGAATTATTGAATTATCTGATGAAGCTTGTTTTGTCCACTCATATAGCTGTAACACCATGCACTTTTTAATGGAAACAAATCTCTTTATGGCCAAATTCGAGCAAGTAAGACACATGCAATCAAATGAGACTAACTATACAAAAGAATGTCATTTATCAAGACTAGCTGCACAAAAGAATGTGATTAATTGCAGTTAACTATTTTAACGGCTCTAAGTAGATGTTAATGTATTAACATCATATGAACTCTCTTTAAGGCCAAATTTGAGCAAGTAAGACACATGCAATTAATCGCAATTAATTACACAAAAGAATGTGATTAATCGCAATTAACTACACAAATGAATGGATTTAATCACTATTAACTACACAAAAATATAATTAATCACAATTAACTACACAAAAGAATGTGTGTAATCATAAATAACTCTGCAAATAAATGTGATTAATCATGATTAACTACACAAATGAATGTGATTAATCGCAGTTAATTATTTTAACTCTCATGACATTATAATATATATATTATAATATATAAAATATAATATTTACATAATATTTTATGTAAATATATTAACATTATATGAACTCTCTTTAAGGCCAAATACGAGCAAGTAATAGACGTGCAATTAATCATGATTAACTACACAAATGAATGTTATTAATCGCGGTCAATTATTTAACAGCTCTAGTTATAATATTATGTGTTATGTGTGTTATGTGTTATCTGTATATAAACATTATGTGTTCTAGTGTTAGTCAAGTGGTAAGGTTACCAAGACTGAGAACTTGGAAGAAATAAAAATATAAAAGAAGAAAAACAGTTGGTTTAGTGCATCAGTAACAGTGACGATGAATGATGTATGCAGAGATATTTCTGACCTCGCAGGATGGGCAATGTTTTTTCCCACTGATACTGCCACTGGCCACTGTTGGTATCATGTACCTGTGTTTAGCCTTCTGCTCAGACGTGTAGCAGTGACTTCATTGCCTTGTGGCGGTCGTGACAGGAGGAATGCGGCTCTCTGTGGTGTCAGGTGTCCTTTCAGACGGACTGGGGATTAAGGTTGATTGTAACTGATCTGCAGTCAGTGGCAGAAAGCTCCTGAGGCTTGTAGCAGTCTCGCTTAGGGATCATATTATTGCCCAATCCCTGCAGAGCTGAAGAGTGTCTGTGACTTTTGTCCAAGTGTTAATGTTACACCTGCCTCAGTCTCAGTGGGTCAGAAAGGAGCCTAATACAGTTAGACAGATATTAGCCATGAAATCGAAGTTGAATTGAATGTGAACTGAACTGAAGCAGAGGCCTAAATGTAACTAACAGTTGTTTCTACAATTTATTTATCGACCATTATTCGATTAATGGATTTTATTTAGTCTTTTTGAACACTGTAGAGCATTTTTAAATGAAACAGTAGACGTCATATCGCCCCCTATACTTCCTGTAGTGTATTACAGTCTGTCAGAATGACTGTGTGGATCATATAAACATTATAGAGTATATGTTTAAGCAAATGACACATTAACAATAAAATGACATCTTGTCTAATTGTTATAGCCATAAATAAATGTGGATTTTAGTAATATTAAAAATGTTCATTTTCAAAATCTCTCTCTCTTTTTCTTTCTCCATACAGTCCAGACCCCCTGCTTGGTGAATAACGGAGGATGTAGTCATCTCTGTCTTTTGGCTCCAGCACCCAAAGGCTCTAGCTGTGCCTGTCCCACCGGCATTAACCTACAGGTGGACGGAAAAACCTGCACCCCAGGTAAGATTAGTAATAAAAATAGATCTTCTATGCTGGACAACAATAACTGCAGGGGTCTATGTGGGCTATGATTTCTCAGTTACGCTCAAATCACTGCTTGTTTTGTCGTACAGAGCTGTTTTTTGCACAAGTTTGATGAACAAGGGCTGCTGTCGTTTTCCTCCACCTCTTTTCCCCCCAACCCCGCTCTCAGTTGGACCCTCATAAAGCTGCAGATCGGCCGCTGATCCTTCAGCACTGAGCTGAAACCCAACACTGCATGCCGAGCTGCAGCAGTTCAGTATGTTACCCTGAGCAGTCTCACCCACATTTCTGTCCTCGGTTCTTTTTCTGAAGCAGCCGGATTGTCTTTGAAATCTGAATCTCAGCCCCCAGAGGCTGGGGGGGTCACCTTTAAGGGTGGCTGTGAAGTTTTAGGGATGATCTGGGGCTGATGATGGGCACTGACCCTTAAATCCCTCTTCTGTCCCCCTGGTAGCAGTCCGAGTGTCTTTGTTTGAGCTTAATGTTTTGAAGCTATGAGGGTGATGTAGCTAACAAGTAATGGAAATGTATAGTCCATCTATTTTTAAAACTAATACTCAAGAAGCAAACTTCAGACACCAAACATGTCTTGACTGAGTACATTTTGGCTAGGCTGTAAATATGTCTCAGTATGTGCTAATGTACTATATATGTCCGATATATCCTATATATGCTATAAAATATAAACAAAAACACACTTTAAGCTTTAGTTCAGCTGTAGCTGCTTTTCTCGCATCTCAGACAGGAAACTTTTCCACAAAAGTAGAACAGTTTCTTGTAAAATCTTTCTCAACATTCGATTTTTGGTTCGATTAATTTGTGCGTTGTGAAAACAAAACGGCCCCAGTCCACTTTAGCTTTGCTTTATGGTGAAGACCTCGATGCTCGCTGTATACACAGCGACAGTCTTAAGCACTTCAGCAGGTAAACAGACCAAGGATCATTTATACGGTTCTACTCAGGATAAAGTCTGTCCGTGATCTGCGACAGACAGCAGCGCTGACTTATTAAAGCGATCAGATGCGAGAGCTCGCGTGATTATACCGTGTTAAAGGCTCGAGCTGGGCACGCAACGCAATTCTCAGTGGCCCACTTGGCGAGCGCTGTGCACGCCATGAGTGCTGTGAAAGGGGTCCGAGTTCTAATGGAGCTGTGGTCTGAACAAGAAGTGTTCTGAGATCTCAGTGGACCAGAAAGAAGAGGAGGATTATTTTATTTTTACCTAAAAATCTAATTCTGTGGAGCTGCAACAGGGCAGCAAAAGAGCCACATAAGGCTCCAGAACCGCGTATTGCCGACCCCTGGTGAAGGGGTTTTGACATTGGGGTTCCGGGAGGGGGCAGGTTGGGTGTGTAAAGGCTGTGTAAATTTGACTGTTGCTTTATACATGCTAGGTGTGTGTTTTTCTTTTGTAGAAGAATAATTATTCTTCCCCTTACAGGAATGAACAGCTTCCTAATCTTCGCCCGGCGGACAGACATCAGGATGGTCTCTCTGGATATTCCCTATTTCGCTGATGTTGTTCTGGCCGTCAACGGGTCCATGAAGAACACCATCGCCATCGGAGTGGATCCCAAAGAGGGTAGGGGGGCTTTTTTAAACACTAATTTACTCTCAGCCTCATTTATGTGCTCAAGTTATCTTGCTGATAATGTAGTCTTCACAATTATTAGTGATGCTACTGCTGTGTTCACATGTTGGCATTGAGCTTAGTGCTTATCAAATATTTAGGAGTAAGCGTTGAGGAAACTGACGGAAACTGAAACAAAAAAGACCAAACACATGACTTTTTTTGGCTAAGCAAGCTTAAAATAGTAAATGTTACCCTCACTGTGAGCTTTATCAGGAACATCTGCTTGTATCTGCACTCACGTTCCACTGACCATATAGGAGCTCTTTGTAGTTCTACAGTTACACACTGTAGTCCATCTGTTTCTCTGCATACTTTGTTACCCTGTTCTTCAATGGTCAGGACCCCCACAGGACCCCCACAGAGCAGCTATTATTTGGGTGGTGGGTCATTCTCAGCACTGCAGTAACACTGACATGGTGGTGGTGTGTTAATGTGTGCTGCGCTAGTGTGAGTGGATCAAACACAGCAGTGCTGCTGGAGTTTTAAACACCTCATTGTCGCTGCTGGACTGTAGAATTACAAAGTGAAACTATATGGTCAGTGGAGCTGATAAAATGGACAATGAGTGTAGAAACAAGGAGGTGTATGTTTCAGCAAAGATGCATGTAAATATATTTGTGTAGAGATGCAGGGAGGGGGTTTATGAGCCCCCAGTGCATCAGTGTACAACACCCCCAAAATCTACCAAACTGCTGTCCGTCATGCAAACCTGGATTGGTTGAGCAGTGAGGAGGGACAAGAACTAAACAAATTATTTATCACATCTGTTATTTTATGTCTTCTATCTGTTCTCTTTCTTCTTCCATGCAGTGTGAAACTTTTCCCCACACTGAAAACCTTTTTTTGGGTTTCTTGCACATTTTGTGTATATTCTGGTTTGGTAAATGCAACATTGCCCCCTAGTGCCCACACTTGCATTACATGCATTGACAGACCCCCATCCTGCTCTCTTTTCTTAGGTAAAGTGTACTGGTCAGACAGCACACTGAAGAAGATCAGCAGGGCTAATATAAACGGCTCCGGCCAAGAGGACATCATCTCTTCAGGTATGGAGAGTAGCAAGCATCTCAGAAGCTGTACTAATAATAAATAGAACAAAATATATACAAAATCATGATTTATAGGGTGCTTTCTATTGGGAGGTGTCAATCTCAAACCCTAATTCCTAAATTTACATTTGGGAAAATAAAACTAAAAGTGTAGAATGATCATGAATTAAAAAAAAAAAACTTCATTCAAAAAATGCTCATGTCACTACAGAAACACAGTTTCAGTCTGTGAGTGGGTTTTGTTTTAGCCACGCCCCTGCATTTTAGAGCAGGAAGTGAGGCTGCATCCCTGTCCCTTATGGCCACATAGTGAGCAATTAGATCCCATTGTTTTGAAGTAAATGTGTCCCAAATTCTGAAAATCAGTGTGGAACATTAAGACTGCAGTTAAGTGCTTTTTTATGTTGAATGAAGAATATGATCATTGTCTGTGTGTACAGCTGTTCAAAGCTGAGTTTGCTCGTCATGTACTGGCTGCGTTTATGAGTTCAACATGAGCTAAAATTGTTACTCCCGAAACAGTCACTACTGAAACATTTGGTAAAGTTTGGGTAGTGCTATGATTGTTTTGGTAGAGACGAAATGTAACGTTCAATCGTTTGTTATAATAAAATAATCATAATTAACATATAAAGTCACTCAGAGCAAAATGATTTTAGTCTAAAGTCCCAAAATGTGTTTTGAACTCTGACCTTGAACCAGTTCACCAGTGTGATGATCCATATTAGCCCTTGTCAATAGTAAATGCAGTTACTGCAAGTAGAGGAAGTGCAGTCTGCATTGTGGCAGTTTTGTGCATATTATGTAGTCAGTATAAAACTCTTATGTTCACACCTCCTGTTTAGGCCTGATGACCACTGATGGCCTCGCTGTAGACTCTGTGGGCAGGAAAATCTACTGGACGGACACCGGAACCAACCGCATCGAGGTGGCCAACCTGAACGGTTCCATGCGGAAAGTTCTAGTTTGGCGGAACCTGGACAGCCCGCGTGCCATCGCCCTATACCACGAAATGGGGTAAAGCACCATTTTTTGGCTTTAAAGCGATAGTTTGAGGGAACAAATTAATTTCCACAGTTTCTCACTTAGAGCCAAGATGTTTGGTGTCTGAAGTTTGCTTTTTTAGTTTTAGCACTGGAGCTACAAGGCTAATGTAGCTAACAAGTAATGAACAAAATCAGGACTATTAGAGATACTGAACAACTTCACCCAGTTTTAGGTGAGTTTAAGATGATTAGCATGTGCTAAGCTTCTATGACTTGTTAGCTCCATTAGCCTCGTAGCTCTACAGAAGCAAATTTAAGACACCCGTGTAATAATGTGCCTTGATTGATCGCTGAACTATCACTTTAAGTCACATCCCTGTATTCTCCAAGCTCTGCTGTGTACATGCATGCTAAATCCCATTTCTGTTGTGTTTTAGGTACATGTACTGGACAGATTGGGGTGAGCATGCAAAGCTAGAGAGAGCTGGAATGGACGGATCAGACCGTGTAGTTCTGATCAGTAATAATCTGGGCTGGCCAAACGGCCTGGCCGTAGACAAGGCTGGCTCGCAGCTGCTCTGGGCAGACGCTCACACCGAGGTCAGTTTACTGGGGGTTAAAACGACTCGCTAGTCATGCATATTAATAGTACTGTGTATTTCTATGTGCTGTTAATTTATTGTGTGTGAGTTAAAAATAAATGAGGATTACTCAAAATCTAATTGCATATTAAATTCTTAAAAAAGATGGTTCTTCAAGGGTTCTTTAGTAAAGGCAATGGTTCTATTTATGTTCAGTATAGTTCCAGAAAGGGTTCTGCCATTGTCAAGCTTTAAAAGATCTTTTTGATTTGATTTTGTTTAATTTGTTTTTTTGAAAGATTTAGATTTAAGATGAATTTAATTTTTAAATAAAAAAAACTTATAATCTTAGAACTATTCAAAAAATGTGCATATCACTACCAAAACACAAAGTTTTAGTCTGTAGATGGAGCCTCATTTTAGCCACGTCTCTGCATGAGCTCTGCTAAAGCCTGAGCAGACTAATAAATCAATGTGATCAGTTATTAATCTCAGTGTTACTGAGCTCTGCTAAAGCCTGAGTAGACTGATAAATCACTGTGATGATCAGTTATTAATCTCAGTGTTACTGAGCTCTGCTAAAGCCTGAGTAGACTGATAAATCAGTGTGATCAGTTGATTGGAGACAATCAAACTGATAATCTCCTCAGTAGTGGACATGTGAGTGATGAGCTGTACTGGACTCCTGGGGATTGTGGAAGCAACATTGTACCGAATATGTGGTTTTCTATGTTTATGCTTTATGTTTTGTTTGTTCCCTTGCTTAGCGGATCGAGGCGTCTGACTTGAACGGTTTGAACCGGAGGACGCTGGTGTCTCCAGTGCAGCACCCATACGGCCTCACGCTGCTCGGCCCGCACATCTACTGGACGGACTGGCAGAGCCGCAGCATCCAGAGAGCAGACAAAACCACCGGCACCAACATCATCACCATCCGCTCCAACTTGCCTGGACTCATGGACATCGAGGCTGTGGACCGGGAGAGGCCGCTTGGTAAGATGTGGTAAATCTGCACAATGAGTGTGTTTACATGCATGTAATAACCTGATAACTGAGTAATTCTGATAACAATCGAACTATTAAGTGCATGTAAACACACTCACTGAGTTTCCGTGTTTCTATGAAGTTGACTGACGTTGGCACTGAGTTTTATGTCATTTCTGCCCTCTGGTGTTCTGTTAGCATACATGCTCTTCGGACACTCACTCTCAGCATTTTACCTGGGGTGTAAATCTGTCACCTCACAGTGATTCACTCTGATTATGATTCTTTAAGAAATGATTCAGTGTTTCACCATGATTAGTTTCAATTTGATTCAGAAACTTCAGAAAGTACACTGATTTATGCAAATGCAACTGGAATAGATATTTATGTATTAATGGAATATAGACTGTAAAAACACAAGCTTGCTTATTTCTTTATTGATTTATTTATTTGGACAATAATATTTTGAACTTGGAGGGTCAGAATTGTTCATCAGTTATGATTAAATATTATAATTATAATTAGAATAATGTATTTCTAACACTACAGCAAGTACAGACTCTGATATTTATGTAACTGAACAGAAATCTAATTAACCTCTCATTTAAGCAAAAAGCCAACAAAAATGACAAAAGCATCATTCCCTATTGTGCAAAATAAAAATTTTGAAATGCTAATAGCTCCTTCCATGCACAAAAACTGCCTTGTTAGATAAATAATCAGTATTCCCTGAAAAGCTTTGTCTGTACAGCCATACAAAACACACAAATACTATATATATTTAACTATTTAAGGTCCTTATGGTGATGCATGTTTGTTGTGACAGTAGGAGTGAAACACTGTAAGAATAGCCTTCATGTTTGAAGTATTTTTTTAGACTTAGTTGAAAAAAATATCAGATTAATCTTGTAGCCCTAATCATGGTCTAATAAAATGTTGTTTAGGGTTGCACAATATTGAGCATAACTTACAGTATATTCAAACAATACTGAATGCTTGATGTCACATAGTCTGCAATATTTACCTTTTTTTAGATTTTGTGGTTACCTTTATTCATCAAAACACTCACTAGAGCTGTAATTGGTCAGGATGCTCACAGCACTCTGTGATTGCTTAGAGGGCTCATTTGCACATTGCAGACTTCTACTGTATCACTTTTGCAGAAACCGATATCCTGGTAACTGTAAACAAACGCTAATTGCACAGACTCCGTGCTCTTCCTGTTCTTTACTCATCCTCCTCTTCACCTGTGCTCCGCCTCTGCAGGCTTTAACAGATGTGGGCGGAGAAACGGCGGCTGTTCTCACCTGTGCCTGCCGCGGCCGAACGGGACGTCGTGCGCCTGCCCTACGGGAATCCTGCTGAAGAGTGACGGCCGCTCGTGTGAGGAAATGCCTGAGACATACCTGCTCTTCTCGAACCGCGTCAGTGTCCGGCGCATTTCCCTGGACACCCCCGACCACACGGACGTACACGTCCCCGTCCCCGAGCTGCACAATGTCATCTCTCTAGACTACGACAGCGTGGAGGGGAAGCTCTACTACACCGATGTCTCTCTGGATGTCATCAGGTACGTAAACAACTAGGCTGCTGTTAGAGATGGTGCTGCAGTGAAAACATTTCACAACTTAGGCCTGATTCAAACGTGCTGCCTTTTGTATGGCGTGAGTGATGTGGCAGCATGAGGGCTACAGCTTGAACGCGCTGGCCTTTCATACATACAGTGGTTTTGGTGCTACCTGCATGCTTAAATCTTCGCCTCAAGCTGTGTGGAGCTGTTCAGTAATCTCTTAATAGACTTGCTGTGCTAATGTCGTTTTTGACACTGTACACTCTTATAAAAGAACTTTGGTAAAGGGAATCGTTCTGTTTAGTCCATTTCATGCTTAAAGCATTCTTTTCATGGTGAAATGGTTCTTCGGATTGATGGAAAATGTGTTGTATATGGTTCTATATTTATCTAATAATACAGTTGATGTGCATGTAAGTAGCTATTAGTATTTCAGTATTTTTATTTACCACAATAATGAAGGCTGCTTTTGGTTCTTCAGATTGTTGTGGATGGTTCTATGTAGAACATTTTTAGAAAATGGTTCTATGTAACACCAAAAAGGATGGTGCTGTTACGATGATATTTTTCAAGAGTGTATGACATGCTGTTATCTGTGAAAAAAGCGATGCCAGTTCTAGCTTCAGCTACTGTTTTTAGCTATGTTAATGTACTTTAGTTGATGTTTATAGATAACAGTGAGTCATACAGTGTCAGAAACCACATAATCAAGTCTATTAGAGATACTGAACATCTCACTCTTTGAGTTGACTGTTAAGGCATGCAGTTAGCACCATGCTAATTGCTAATCATGCCAATAAGCATACTTGTTAGCTACCTCATAGTTCCCGTGCTAAAACTACAGCAAACTTTGGGCAGACATTGTCTTGGCTGATTGACCATCTTTGGTAAGGGGTGAAATTTGATTTATTTGGCTTGAACTGAGTGGTAAATTATCTTCATGATTAAACTGCAAGAAACCTTGAAAATACCTTAAAGATCTAAGTTACATAAAGCAAGCTAGTTTAAAAGTGTGTGGCATTAAACAGCATGTGTTGCTGCAGCCGTGCTGCTTTAATGTGGCTTTTATGCCGTTTAAGTTGCCAGATTTTGTCAGAAAGTGAGAAATTGGACAGTTTTGTCTCTTTATAAACAGTCCAGGCGCTCAGACCAACCAGTAAAGTTAATGCATTTGTTCCCCAAGACATTTGTGCTTGTTTGATCGCCAGCCGTGACAGAATCTGGAAGCAAAAGCTCAAGATTTGTTTAGTTTTGCATGCAGCTCATTGAACACAAGCTAAACAAGCAAATGCTTCTGTTCTGCACACATTCTGCCAGCTCTTTTAGACAGAATGTGTTGTGCTGTTTCTGTCCTCATATATTCATTGGAGAACGTATGCTGCCCATCAAATGTTTGGGGACTAACTCTTCAAATGTTTTTTTGGTGCAAATCATTCAGTTTTCCTTGACCATATTAAAGCGCAATCAGATAAACAGTAACGCACGTTTAAATATTTATGCCAACATTAGTCACAGTGCTGCATTGGCCACGCCCATTTTCTCTCCCCTGTTGTGATGTCAGCACTCAAACCTTTCAGGTGTTTAAACCAGCCTGAGAGAAAAAGAGCGTAATGTGTGTTTTTAATTGTAGGAGAGTAAATCTGGACGGCAGCAGGATGGAGACGGTGGTCAGTCAGGGTCTGAAGACCACAGACGGTTTAGCAGTGGACTGGGTGGCACGGAACATGTACTGGACCGATACGGGCCGGAACACTATAGAGGTTTCACGACTGGACGGGTCAGCACGGAAGGTTCTGGTCAACAACAGCCTGGACGAGCCGCGGGCCATCGCTGTGTTCCCCAGCAAAGGGTCAGGGAGTGTGTGTGTGTGTGTGTGTGTGTGTGTGTGTGTGTGTGTGTGTGTGCATGTTCTTGTCATGCTATACTTGTGTGTCCTCATAGTGATGGGACAACATGACATTTTTGCTCAAGTGAGGACATTTTGCTGGTCCTCACTTAAGCATGTGCTGTTTACACCACAAATTACATTTTTGGAAAAAAACTAAAAGAACAGAAATTGTTTTTTGAATACTGAGGTTAAGGTCAGGGTTAGGTTTAGGCGTAGTATTACTTGGTACAGTAATACAACATTCAGCAGAATAGAAGTCCTCACAAGTATAGCAAGACAGATGTATGTATGTGTGTTTAGGTAACAGACCTCAAATTAATTTTTAATTGTGTTTTTTTTTTTTTAACTTTATTTATTGTTTATTTATTATTATTTCAATCAATCAATCAATCAGTCAACCTTTATTTAATCTCGGAGAACACTGAGGGTGCCCCTCATTTACAATGTTGCCGTGTTAATACAGAGCAAGGGATTGATAATGTGTAAGAACATATCAAATAATAAAAGTAAATTTAATAAATGAAGACTCAGATCAGGTAAGTATAAAAAGTGAAACATTAATAATAAAAATATAATAAAAAATAATAAAACAGTAATTAAAACATACATAAAATGTAAAGGTTAATAAAATCAAATCAAATCAAAATAAAACAAGAGGAAGATAAGATTAAAAAATTACTAATAAACAAATTTATTAAAATGACAGATAATAATAAAATAATTAAAATAAGAATAAGAATATTAATAATAATGGATAAAATAACAAATAAATAATAAAATAATGAAAATAAGATAAAACTGGTAAAAAATCAGGTAAAACAGTAGAAGTTTAAAATGACCAAGTGATGCCAGCGAGCTGAGCTTTAGTGTTTCCTGTAGTAAGTTCCAGCTCGCTGGTGCTCTGTAACTAAAAGCAGATTTTCCCAGTTCAGTAAAAACCCTTGGTACCTGGCATGTGATCCAGCCACTGGAACGAGTCTGATAAATACCATTATTTACAGATATCATTGAAGTAATATATTCTGGCAAATGGCCGGAGAGTGTTTTATAAATAAAAATAAACCAGTGTGTTTCCCGCCGTGTAGCTAGTGAGGGCCAACCAACTTTTCAAACTGTCTGCAGTGATGAGTGTTATAAGGGTCTCCAGTGATGAACCTCAGTGCAGAGTGATAGACTGAGTCCAGTGGTTGGGGGGAGCTGGCAGATGCATGTTTGTAAATTACACGGGAAAACAGGATTTATTTCTATATAGAAAACCGAGCTTCTGCCTACATTTGCTAACCAATTTATTAATGTGGGGTTTAAAAGTGAGTTTATCATCCAGCCATATGCCAAGGTATTTATACTCTGTGACTCTCTCGATTAAAATCAGTATTAGTAGATCTGGAAAATAGCATGAACTTAGTTTTCTTAGCATTTAAAACTAGTTTGTGTTTATGCAAAGCAACCTGTAGAGCATTAAATGAGCATTGCAGTTTTCTTATTGCAGCATCAACAGAGTCAGCTGAACAGTATAAAACCGTGTCATCTGCATACAGGTGTACTACTTTGCAGTCTGAGGCAGAGGCAGCAAGTTCATTAACATATATATTGAATAGAACTGGGCCCAAAATTGAACCTCGTGGTACTCCTTTGGATATACTCAAGAAATCTGATTTGTAATTACTCAGTGCTACACATTGTTGTCTGTCTGAAAGGTAATTTTGGGTCCATTTTCATGCATTTGTATCAAAGCCAATCTTTTGTAAGTTCCTTGAAAGAAGAGTGTGATCAACTGTATCAAATGCTTTTGATAAATCAATAAAAATGGCAGCACAGTGCTTTTTCCTGTCTATGGCCATATAGAGATCATTTAAAACCAGTGTGGTAGCGGAGATCGTGCTGTGTCTTTCTCTAAAGCCAGACTGATAGTTAAACAAGACAGAATTTTCGTGTAGAAATGATTTAAGCTGACTATTTATTAGAAGTTCTAAAATTTTAGCGAAACAGGACAATTTTGAGATTGGTCTGTAGTTATTTACATCTGCTACCTCACCTCCTTTATGCAGTGGAGTTACATGAGCTATTTTCCAGATCCTGGAAATTCTGCATGATAAAAGAGAGAGATTAAAAATATATGTTATGTATTCTAAAATAACTGGGGCTGCTAGACGCAGGAAGTAAGGGTCCAGCCCATCTTCACCTATAGTTTTCCGTGGATTTAGCTTTGATTTCTGCTTATTTTTTAGACCTTGATGATAATAAAAGTAAAAGGTTTACAATGTGCTTTGCTTAAAGATTGAAAAGCCTATATCATATATTTTTTTCTGTATTTAAATTGCAATTATGATATTTGTGTCAGTCATAATTCATTTGTACATGACTGTTTTCCAACCTCTCTAACATTACAAAGTCAGTGAATTCAGATCGAACGTTTTTGACACAAAGTTTCCATAAATAGACTGTACAGACTGGTACATTTGGACTCTTTTAACAATACTTACATACTACATACAACACTTGTTTAAAAAAAAAGTCAAGAAAATTTGGTTTTCTGTGATATAGGCCTTTAAAACAGGTAGGCTGAGAAACAAACTCCAAAGGAAAATAATAAAAACTTTGTGCCTGAGGCAGAATTAAAGTTATGATAGAAATTTTTGTCATATGTGGGTCAGAAGGTGTGCCTGAGTGTAATAATTTAAATAAAGGAGCAGTATAGTGCAGTTTTACCGTTACAGAGCAGAATGACCCTCACTGCTACTCATATACACTCAGCACTGTACAGCTCTATAAGTTGTCTCTTTGGTTCTTTCTGTAGGTTCCTGTTCTGGACAGACTGGGGGCACATTGCTAAGATCGAGCGAGCCCACCTGGATGGTTCTGACCGGAAGGTTCTGATCAACACGGACCTGGGCTGGCCCAACGGTCTCACGCTTGACTATGACACACGCAGGTAAGAAATGAGCATAAAACAGCATTAAAGGTTATACAGCCTTTCATAAAAATGCAAACTCTGGGTAGCTTTCTGGTGGTCTTCGGGACAGTACTTTTCAGTTGTAGTCCCCTAGTCTAAAGTCAAAAGGTTTGTACATATTTATTTATGTCTGTATGTATGTAATTATGGCTCACGTTTTACGTCACTGATCAGTTCTCAGAATCAGCTAAGTTAGAGAAAAATCAGCCGATACCGATACGTAGCTGATAATTTTTTCGATCTCTATTAAACAGTTCTAAGATAAACCATGCAACAGTGGCGCGCAAAGCAGCTTCATCTATTTTTTTTGCCCCTTGCCTCTAAAAACAGAATACAGTCTGCTTAATTTGACACAATTCCACCTGATTTCAGGTATAAAAAAAAGCTTATATTTGGCTGATCTGTTTACATTTTATGCATAAAGATACACAATAAAAATGATATCCAAAAACGCATTTTAAACAAACAAGATTTTTTTTTCCTTGTGGGTCTTTATGCTCTGTAGTGATAAATAGGTGGATCTTGAGGTGGTAAAGGTTGAGAACCCCTGATCTAGCCTCACTTTTATAATAAGACCCAGCTGATAATCCTTTAATACTGGTGGTTCATTTAGTCACCCACAGACAGGGCCAGCTATCTTGCACTGTGTACAAGATCATAGCCTGAAGATAATAAAGTATGCTCTGGGCTCAGAGAGACTCAGTCCAACATCGGTCACCATTGTGTTAGCATTTTTAAAACTTTAATGTTAACTCTAATGTTAATGTCAACTGTACAAATATTACAGTTAACGGATTTAAGCAGTATCCAGAGATCATGAACTAAAGTTACTTTTAACTTGTTTCCCATTTTGACATATATGCACATGATAATTTAACAATTTCTGCTCTCAGTCCTGACGTCTTTCTTAATGTTTGTGCATGTGTAGGATATTCTGGGTGGACGCACATCTGGATCGTATAGAGAGTTCTGACCTGAATGGCAAACTACGCCAAATCCTCGTCAGCCATGTTTCGCATCCTTTCGCTCTCACACAGGTACTGAACTCATCCGCTGGCCTGGATCCTTCCCTCTCACTCACTCACTCACTCTCTCGATCACTGTCACTCATTCCTCTGCTCACTCTGTCACTCCCAGTGTTGGACGAGCTTCAGCTTAAAAAATGCAGCGAACTGAGCTTAGTCACTCCATTTAAAAATTAGCTTGGCTACATGAGAGCTCCCCTCAGAGAATGCAGTTAGCCACACTACAAGCTACATTAGGCAGAATTAGGCATCAATATTGATGCCTCTTCATGCTGGATGTCTGTGAGTTTTTGAAAAGAATAACAGCTGATGTATTAAGAAAAATACATTTTGGTGGTATTGCTCATAATATAGATTGATATTTCGTGCATGTGTAAAGCCCACATCCATTAATAATTTATTTATTTATTATTATATAAATAAATAAATAAATTAAAAAAATATCTTAAAATGCAGTTTGTAAAATATTAAAAGTCTACCAGTTCATAGATTTGTTCAAATGTTATAGTTAAAGGGCCCATATCATGGAAAATATTATATTTTTTCATATGATCACTTTTTTGGAACAAGAGTTTGATGTAGTATGTAAACATATCGCTGCTGTCAGAACAAAACCTTGTATCTCCAAAATGGTAACTTTACAGGAGAAGGAAAAACATTCTTTACTTTAATGTAAGTCAATGGAACCAGACGTTTTCCATGTTATTTTCGGTCATTTCTTTTGGTCCATTCATCATGAAATTTACACATAGTGTAAAGAGCAGCCGGCATTTTTTTTAATTATTTCAAAAACTGAAAAGGGATAAAAATGGAGATACAAGGTTTTGTTCCGACAGCAGCCATTTGTCTAGTCCATATATACATACATATAGTCCATCTTTGAACATTAAGCTGTAAAAAAAAAAAGACCATTTTGAGTTAATTATTATGAAAACCAAGTGCATTTGCATTAACCACAGTAACCAAGTCAGATGGGGCTCAGCAAAGGGTCAGTTTCAACCAAACAATGTAGAACAAATTACTAAAATATGTGAAGATACTTAGTCTGGTGAAATTAAACACTGTTGGTCAGCGCTGTGTGATAGATAATATAAATAACACTGCTACAAATCTACTTGATTTGGAGCTTCAGTAGAAAAACATGCTGTCCAGCACTGGTCACCTCTCCGCTCACTCTATCACTCACCAACTCATCCACTCATCCACTCATGTTCTCTTTTGTTTTCACCCTTAACATATTGCCCCCTTCTTCCACATCCTTCCATCTCTGACCCTCATTTTTCTTCCCATCTCTTTCTCCCTTCCCTTCCCTCTTTTTTCCTCCTTCGTTTTCTCTCCTCCTCTCAGCTGAAGCCGGTCTCCTCTCCTCTAACCGCTTTCTCCCGAATCTCACAGCAAGACCGCTGGATCTACTGGACCGACTGGCAGACTAAATCCATCCAGCGGGTCGACAAACACACTGGTCGCAATAAGGAGACTGTACTTGCCAATGTAGAGGGGCTGATGGACATTATAGTGGTCTCACCAAACCGCCAGACTGGTAAGAGCACCAGAGCACTGACCTGTAGTTTTTAATGCCAAATTGAAAAATAGTGACCAAAAGCAGGCATTTTTAGCTAATAACTCTTTAGGGGTTTATTTTGTTAGAGGGCGGCGTGGCAGGTGCTAAAAAAGTTCTGTTGAAGAGTTTGTGTTCATCTGAGCCAAACCAGCCTGTGTGGAATAGAATTACAGCTCTGTGAAATTAATATATTTTTAGCATGGAAATACTTTGTGATTTCACAAAAATCAACACCGTGAAAAGCGGACGTATGCAAAAGTTTGAACACCCCTGGGCATTTTACATGTTTGTTCTGAAAGCAAGTTAACACATATAGTTTCTACTTACTTGTTGAGTTTAACATATTGGCTAAAAAAATAAACATAAAATTTGCACAAACCTTGTTTTACAAAAATGTTAAATTCAGTAAATAAACAGTAAACAACAATAAATAATAAACAATGTGTCTCTGTAGAGGATGTGTTCACTTATTTACACTTAGAAAATCAACAAAACATGGATTTTTGAGAACAAATTTTGCACACAACTGTATATCTGCCTGTTCAGTCAACAGCAGTTTAGCCCCGCCCATTCCCTCTGAAGTCATAAGGAGTGTTTCAGCCTGGGCAGTCAAGAGCTTGTTTACATATATCAGTCCTAAAGAAAGAGTAACAAAAACAGTTTGTTTGATTAAATGGGATAAAGAGAGGATGGAAAAATGTTTATGTAAAAATGACCTTTGTAGGTTTATAAGTTGACACCAATGTTAAAAGTGTACTTAAAGGGGAAAATGCAAATGAAAAGTGTAGAGTGTCTTTTCCTGGCAGGTACCAACCACTGTGGAGTGAATAACGGAGGCTGCACTCATCTCTGCTTTGCAAAGACGAACAGCTTCGTGTGTGCGTGTCCAGACGAGCCGGACGGGCGGCCGTGCTCCACCAGTGAGTTCAGAACAGCACATACACTATGCTATGTTTTATACGTTCATAATGATGAGAAATTACAGAATATTACATTTTATAGTACCCTAGTTAGGAAGACGAGGCATTGTTAAGGCTCATTTATACTCACATACAAAAAATAACACGTCAGTTTTAAACAATGTAACCATCACTGCCCACATACTTCCATGCGTTCTTTACATTGGCAAGGATGTTAGGCCGTGCATACACTTAAAGGCAGTCTAGAGTCAAAAGTTTCTGACAACAAACAACATGGCGGCAGTGGAGCAGGTCATAACAGAGCTGGTTTAAGGGCTGTACCATGAGGTGCTGTTTTAAACTCCTATAACTATGAGTTCAAAAGCTCTTAAAAATATAACATTGGTGTTTAAATGTTTTATGCTGTTCTATGTTCAGGAAATGAATGTATTCTTTTACATTAAAAATGTTTAAGCATTTATAAACTATGATTTTATTCAAATGCACCATATTAACTCATTCATATTGGACGTTGCTCGGGAGCGCCCTCTAGTGTTTGAGAAACCTGGAGGACATTACAGAGTGGAAATTCTCCTCTCTACAACTTCAGTTGCATCTTGCAGGAATTAAGCAAACAAATTTATATTACACCTATTCAAATGAACAGACAATACATACATCCACACATAAGCAACAAAGTAAATAAAAAAAATTTAATTAGGTATATAAATTAAATTAAAAAATGAAGTAACTAACTAAATAAATAAATAAATGTGTTAAATACACACATACATAAGGCTGGCATATAAAACAGAGATGGATATGGACTATGTTACTTAATTGAATGCTTTTATAATTTCCTTTAAAGAAGCGATGTCTTTATAGCCTTTTTGTTTTGTTAGGTTGTAATAATGTACCATCTACAAAAGAAATAAAAGAGGCAGTCTTGTAAACGGTGGTGTCTGTGAGACCGTTAAATACTTTGTGATGTGTGGACAAATTCTTTTTATTGTCAATGAGACAAACAGGCACCATGTCTAATGTGAACTGTTGGCTACACTGCCCCCCATGGCTTCCAGTGGTACTGCTCCGTTTCGTCCATATCCGAGAAATACGGACGAAATGAATGCAGAAGGCTTTGTCTGTATCCATGTTCATGTTTAATGTTGAGCATAAATGAGCCTTTAGCTGACTGTTTTGTAGTTGTTAATGTTCTTATAAAAGCTAAGATGACATTTCACCAGCAGCATAATGTGTCCAGTGTGTAGTGTTTATCTTTAAAGGTAAGAAAAAGGTTTCCTAATTTGCATAATTCCAAGACTTGATTTCAATAGGTACAGACAAAATTAAGCTTTCCAAGTAGGTTTCTCCTGTGTTCAGCTATGCTAATGTACTTTAGCTCATGTTTACAGATAGCAGTGAGTCATACAGTGTCAGAAACCACATAAATAAGTTTATTACCCAGATAGTGAGCATATATCTCTCCGCTGGCTTGATAAGGTGGCCCTTGCTGGCTGTTTTATTTATTGTCCTGCATACAAGATCTAACTTTAATCCCCTTTAAACAGATTGTAAGTGCATGTAGACTTTTATTTTGGAAAATAAGAAAGACAAATATGACAAACAACTGACAGGAAAAAATAATTACTAGGCCTAAAATGATTTAGTTGAAAATGTTGTCGCTGACACTGTTGTTGTGCTAGATTAGTTACAGCTCTATAACTGGCTTTATTTGTGATATCACTGTTAAAATGATTTGCTAAACTCTTTTACAAAGGATAATGAATGAAAGAAATGAAGGAAGAATAAGTAACTTGGACTGTGAGTGGAAAATGAGGGCTGAAAAGAGGCATTTTGTCTAATTATCTGCTTAACCACCGGTGGGCTGCCCAGTGTGCCGCCAGCTTTGCCGTCAGAGAGATTACAGAACAACATGTGCTTCGAGAAAATGCTTTTGGCATGCAGTTGGCACCATGCTAATTAGTGGGGTGCTAACTGCTAATAATGCTAATAGCTTCCATTACTCATTAGCTACATTAGCCTAAAACTAAAGAAGGAAACATCAGACACCAAAATGTTCAGGCTGATGGTGTAAGAGAGATATGGTGTATGTTTAATTTTTCTCTTAACTATGCCTTTAATTCTGTTCTTTCTCCTTTAAAGTTTCTGGTTATGTTCCCACGGTGCCTGACAGAGGGACCACCAGCACTCAGTCTCCAAATAAAAGAGTAAAAGCTCCTACGAATAAACCCCAGCCAGGTCATCCTGTGCTCAAGTGAGTATTTCGAAAGCTTTGAATAGCGTCTACAGCTAAATTCCATATAACATGACAGCAGTTCAGAGGACGTCTTTTCACTTCATGAGTCTGAAACATATGATGCCAAACATATTCTTGCATTTAGGGGTATAACTGTTAATTTAAGACTGGGGAAGAGAAATGGGACATTGGTTGGGGTTTGAGAGTCAGTTTTTGGAGCTGTTAAATACTAATGATATAAGGCCCAGTCCTATTTCTTATTTTTATCCCTACCCCTTGATTTTAAGTGTCACCTTGCCCCTTGGAACTGAGTTGAAATCTTCCCTATGAAATGGAACAACCCTCAAATAAAAACAAACATTACTTCATTAACAGGCTACTAGCGGTGTTCTGTAGGCGACCCTGTCAGTCTGCAGTGATAGCAGAGGAGGGTAAAGTTCAGCAACCTCACTGCTGGGCTTTAGTTACATTTAGGGAGTCATATGACTTCAGAGAGGGGGACAATTATTTCTTATTGCCCACCCCTAATTCTTCAGTGATATGAAGCTGAAGTCAGACATTTGCCAGCTTCTTGTTCTGATTTACCTGTTCCACCTTAAATGGAGCAGTTACATTCTGGCACTTCAGGCGTCAGTACTACTGGACTGTTTAAGGTGGAACAGGAAAATTAACTAGCTAGCTACCAAGACGCCAGCATACTATTAGCAGTTTTTATGCCTGTTATGAAGAAAAGGACCATAACACACTGAAACAACATCAAACTAAGATAATATAATGTTTCGTGTATTTTTTAGCAGAGAAAAATCTCACTTTTGTGGGTTTCTTTGGTCACTTGTGCAGCCATCTTGCTGGGTTATTAACAAACGTTGATTAAACAGACGTTACTGTTTTTGTGAGACTCATGACCCAAAGAATATGTTCTTTACTTTAATCATTTATATTTGAGATGAAATTTCTTCCTTTCAGTTTTTCATTTTTATTCCTCCAGCTATAAATCCAGTTATTATAAGAATTAAATTGATATGTAACATTATATTATTTATGACAAGAGTAACACCGATTATTCTTTGTTCAGCTGTACAGATAAGTCTGCTGGTGTGGAGAACTGCCTTCAGAACAACGTGGTTTCTGCTCCTCATGGTATGAGAGGAACTGCAGCTTTTCTCTGATCATAACCCATTTATTAGAGGAAAATCACTGCTTCAGGATTTATCACTCATCCACTTTCTCTTTCCTTTTTTGTAAAGGGGAGGGGCTTCATGTCAGCTATGTGATTGGTGGAGCTCTGACCGTTCTGGCTATTCTCATACTTATAGCCGTGTACATAATTTACAGGTGGGTGCAGATGAGTCTTGTCAGGCTTCATAGCCTTAAGATTATTTATGATTCTGATGTTATCATAGTAATTCAGTTGACTTATGATGATTGATGGGTTATTTAGTAAAACAGATTCTCCTTTATCTTTTTACGAGCTTGGCCTAATCTTTATATTAGTGAAATACTAAACTATCATCAACTGATCTTCATTCATCACAAACTGAGCTTTACAGTTATTCCACTTATGAAACACTAATATAGAATATAAGTGATGAAAATACTGCAAAAGAAAGCAAATTTTATTGACGTTTCAGTCTAACGTTTGTAAAATGTTCTCATCTTTGTCCTCAGGCACAAAAAGTCGAAGTTTGCCGATCCAGGTGTGAGTAATCTGACCTACAGTAACCCTTCATACCGGACGTCTACACAGGAGGTCAAAATAGAGACTGCTCAGAAACCTCCCATATACAACCAGCTGCGATATAAAAAAGAGGTGCGTCTTTCTTTTTTTCTCCTTTTCTTTCTTTTTTTACTGTAATAAATAAAACGATGGATTCTGTATGAATCCATTGGTCAGTGTTTGTCTAGGGATTTTTGGCATCTACGGTACAGTGAGGCACAATCAAACACAGCATAAAAATTATCACAGATTCTTGATGTAGTTAAACAGACTCAAGCAGAAAATGCTTTTTTTTTCATATCAAAATCGCTTCAAAAGTTAACTAAAATCAAATAAAACTGCTGCAAGCTGAGTGGAGGTGGTTAGAGACTGAAAGTCTAAAATGTTCATGTGACCCCAGCAAGCGAAGCTGTAGAGTTTGTCTGATCCACTCGCACCAGTGCAACACACACTAACAAACCACCACCATGTCAGTGCAGAGTGCAGAGAATGACCCACCACCCATATAATACCTGCACTGTGGGGGTCCTGACCATTGAAGAACAGGGTAACAAAGTATGCAGAAAAACAGATGGACTACAGTCTGTATCTGTAGAACTACAAAGTGGTATATGGTCAGTGAAGCTGATAAAATGGATAATGAGTGTAGAAACATGGAGGAAGTTGTAATGTTATGTGATTGGTGTAAATATGTATATAATGAATTAATTATTCATCCAATACCAGAATGTGTTGGGTTGTGCCCCACAGTATCCTGCCTCATTTACTTCATGTGGATTTACCGGCTGAAAGAAATCACTCCTGATCCTCACTTCCCTCTCGTGCTGTTTCTTCCCTCACTGCAGCTCGCTCACCCCTACAACTCTCTCTCTCCCTTCATCTTCTGACCTGCTCTTTTCTTTTCTCCATCACGCCGGGCTGAAGCAGGTAGTAGAACAGCATGAGGACATCACAGTGCATTCCAGATTTAGTTAACCCTAAAACACAATCAGGTTTTCCCAAAAACCTGCATCCGCCTGCGCTTTTTCAGACATCCTAACTCTGGATCAGTGCTGGCTGCTCGCTTAATGATCAAACTTATTTAATTTTGGGAATTCTTTTCTGTTTTGGGTTGTATAACAATCGAGAGTTCATACATATACGTTAATGAGTCGTAATTCTGCTGCAGACTGTTTAAACATAACAGCATAATTATTTTTATTATTTTAATTCATTCAGCACTAACTGAAATTGTATGGTTTACTAGACGAACAAGCATGTTGTGTTGAGTGCAGTGCTGATCTGATTGGTTGAATGTTGTTTGAAGATTTATAAGTAGGCCTGGGTGACCATCTTTTTTTAAGTTTGTAATTTGAATAGCATTAATGCTGTGCAGTAGCTAATTTAGCTAAAGTTGTTCACTATTCTAGCTGCAGTTTTAGTAAGTTATAGATCACATTCCTTTGAAACGTACTAAAACCTCAGCTGGATTAGCTATTACGCTGGCTAGCATGCATATTTGCTGTGCTAACTACATGCTAGCCACAGGTTCAAATTGTTTTGCCTCTTTTCTAATAAACAATGCATTTGTTTGTGTGTGGCACTTTAGTTCCATCATTCAGACTGAAGGTTTTTCAATAATGAAAGGTTTGTTATTTGAAGCTATGTTAAACCTGGCAGGTTTTTAGTAGGTTTACATTTGTACAATGCAGCTAATAGCAAGACTAAGGTGGCCAGATGTCCCCATTTTACGGGGGCAGTCCCCATTTTGGTGGCATGTTCCCAGCTGAAGCTGTTACCAGAAATGTCCCCATTTTTTAATTGTAAATTAAAAACACACCGTAACGTCCTTAGAAAGACCTGCAGCAGAGCAGACGGGCAGCCCATCAGTGGGCTCTGATTTGTACAGACATACAGTCTACTTGAATGTAGCTGCCATGAGATCTACAAACAGTGCATCATTTATAAACTGTGTCACTTTTTCAGCCTCCATATATGACATATGGCATATGCTGATAGCAGTGTCTCTGTCTCTTCAGAACTGGAGCTGCCCAGGGGTGTGTTGAGGGTCTGGGTAGTGGGCTACAGACACAGGGCTATTTTCTGTGACCACAGGTCTCTGCCTCATCCCTGCCTGAGCCACTAGACTTAGTGACTTTTGAGGCCCTTTTTACTGAGAGACTTTATTTCTAAAAAGTTATAAGTGACAAATATCACAAGGGGAAAGCAAGAACCACACATTTTATTTATTATTTATTTATTTATTTTTATTTATTATTTATTTCCATGCATGCTGACCATTTTCTTTATGTATTCCATAGTTTAGCAGTTTCACTCACCATGGTAGCTACTGTGTGATTTTTTGATACAGTTTACAAAGTTACGTACCTCGTTTTATTTATTTATTTTTTTTACTTACAAAGTTAGTACCTAGTTTTATTAGTCAGCCTTCACCAGAGTTTATTACAGTACAGCAGTTATCATGGTCAAATACATGAAACTGGAGCTGACCCCCCTTTTTATTTTATAGATAGAAACATTGGCTATTTTAGTGACATCTGCTTATTTGTCTTTAGTTTATCTATTTGAGTTTAACTACTCAGGGTGCTGACGCTCAGCCAAAAATCAAACGCCAGTCTTCTATATATTTTTTAAGGCTCATCTGTTGTTTTTACCAGCTACAGTTCGAGGTGCAGGAATGAAATGAGAGTCTGTAAAGAGTCAGACGTTAAAACAGGAAGATTATGCTGACATGCTGCTAGAACCGACGTGCTGCTAGAAGAAGAGGAAAGCAAGCTGTGCTAATGAATTTCCTTATTTTAATTCCCTCGTTTCGTCATAAAATGTGTCCCACCAGCAGTGAACTGAACAGGGTTTGGGTTAAAGCGGACCGAGACCCGCAGTTTTTTGTCATGCCGGTTCAGCTGTTTGATGCAGACCCGAATACGGATGGAGCGTTCACTAATGACAAAACGGAGCAAACTAAAGAAAAACGTTTGATAGGCCCGCACCAAACAAGGTAGGGGGAAGTGCCTTGAGGAACCTTTCCATCTATGGCTAACTGTCTCCACTGCGTGTCCACAGCTGCGTCGTCTCAAACTACTGCCTCCCACTAAGTACAGCCCACTGGTTAAGAAACCATGCCTTAGTCTACACAAAACCTCAGGACTATGTGAAGCAAGTTGTGCATGATACAGAAAAATGTATCGTAATAAGATGTTTGCCTCAGCCCGGTTTATGAGAGCCCAGTTTATCAGTATAACACTGAAAATAAAGTGTTGGTGCTAACTCACTGCTAATGCAGTTCTTACTAATGAATACTGTGTGTGTGTGTGTGTGTTCAGGGTGTTGGTGAAGGCAGCTACACCAAAGAGAAGATCCGGATCGTGGAGGGCGTATGCTTGCTGTCAGGGGAGGAGCTGTACTGGGAGGATTTAAAGCAGCTGAAGGTGTGCAGGGGGAGTGGCCTCCACGCGTGCATGCGCACAGACACCGTCTCTCTGCAGGCTAGCTCCGCCTCCCTTGATGACACAGAGACCGAACAGCTGCTGCAGGGCGACCAATCAGAATGCTCCAGCCTAAACACAGCCATGGTCACGCCCCAGCGGCACAGCGCGCACCCCGACACGGGCTGGGTCCCCAACCGCAAACCCTCCACTGAGAGCGAAGTCTGATCACACAAACACATGAACACATATACACACAAATAAACACATAACATATGCGTAAGACTGAATACACATGATGCAATCACCTGCTGGGCCCAGGCTCCACCCACAAATGTGTTTGTACCTACTGTTTTTAGGTTGTATCTTTACAGAATGCTGGTAAAAGTGCCATTCAGCCTAAATTCAGTTTATATCACAATACCTACATTTAGAGCCAGTTATTCATTCAACCTAATGAGAAACTGTAGAACAGCCTTAGTTTATATCACAATACCTACATTTAGAGTCGGTTATTCATTCAACCTAATGAGAAACTGTAGAACAGAGTTTATATCGCACTTTACTTTTAGAGTGACTTATTAACTGAGTTGCTTGGGTTAAATGGGATTTTTACCAGTGTTTTACAACTGAGCAACAGTAGCTGTGAAAGAACACATTTGTGGGCAGAGCCTGGAGTGGGTAAATTTACATAGCCTTCACTCTTAGGCATACACTACTGTTCAAAAGTTTGGAATCACTGTTTTCAATCATATTAAACTAATTTTGTTGCAGATAAATGTATAAAACAAATAAGATGTTAATACTCTTGAATTTCACAGGTTTCAAATAATCAATAGGTTAGATGTGTGAATAATGTAGAAGATTCTAAAATGACTTAGAAAGATGTAGAACATCAATAATTAATATATAACATAATTAATATCCAGAATGCCTCATATTTGAAATGTAGGGATCAAAACTCAGACAGATAATTAAGATAATCAATGACTATAAATACAGTATATCATTTACTTTCTCGCTGGAAAAGTGCAAATATTACTGATAATGATACAGTACTTTCTGGATCTAGCCTGTTATTTCAGTCCACACTGTATAAGTTATAATTAAATAAAATAACAATCATTACTGTGACTCCAAAATTTTGAACAGCCGTGTATATACATACACACACTTGAAATCTGTAAATCTGAGCAACTCTATTACTATTGTGAAGCCACAGAACAAAGTCAGATATTTAACAACCGATTTGAAGTACAAAGATGGTAATAAAACTAGAATGTCTATTTTATTTGATGTACAGTTGGCAAAACATGCACGCACATACATACATACATACATACATACATACATATAAGCATATATAGATACATACATTCATACAGAGGGTTCCAAAAGTCTGAGACTACAATGGAAATCTTGGATTGTTTTTATGTAAACCTGGAATTAAACAACAAAGTTTTAGAATTGTGAAAAATTTAAAACAAGTGTTAGAAGTTAAATGAAGAAGAAATATTCAAAATTATGCTCTGTTTCTGACACTATTCAAATATAAGCGAATTTGTGACAGTGTGGGGTCCATGCAGCTCATGTGCATGCTGTCATTAAAGCAAAAGAGGGACACACCACCAAATACTGAGGAATTCTGAAATTCACATTCAAAGAATCTACTTTTCACTCAGATTGTTATGCTAATAATGTCATTTATAATGAATAACCTTATGTTAAATTCAAAAGGAGTGCAAAATAGAAGCATTTTCACCAGTGCTCTTACATTTTTGGACCTCACTGTAAACACATACATACACTTACACTAACACACCACAGCAACATCCTGGTTTCCGGCCCTCCGTCCACCATCCCTGACCTTTCGACCCTGACCCTGACCTCGACCTCCTTTCATACACATGACTGAAACGAGAAAAGAGCTGATGGAGCGAGAGAACAAAAGAAAGACATTTTCCCAAGTTGGGAGCGAGACTAAAACCTGAAATATCCTGGAGTTTGTTTTTTGGTATACGAGGACAGCGTGCTGTGTATAAAATTCAGCTTTTTGTGGACTTCTGATGCAAAAAAAAAAAAAACAAAGATTTTTCTGATCGTGGACAGTCACCACCCCTCATCGCTCGTCATATCTTTTATGGACTTTATGAACTTATTTATGAACGTTTTGTACTTCTGAGTGGGCTGTTCGTTGTGTTTTATTTTGTTTTAAATCCTGTTTTAAAGTGCTAAGACTGTTAAAAGGCCTCATGCATTCATAAGACTGAATAATGATGGTGCCAAAGGACAGAAGGCTTTCACTCACGGGGAAGTCTCTGTGCTTTTCGAACCTCCGCTGGGACGCAGATTTTCAGATGAATCAAGGTCCAGTTTGGAAGAGCTAATGCTAATGCTAGCGCTAGCGCTAACGCTAACGCTAATTTGACTGAACGAGACGGAACAAAAACGTGGTTTTGTTGTGAACATTGCCTTTTTCCTCATCGTCTGTCTCATGGAAATGAAACTTTTACTACTTTTGCTTTTGTAAACACCAGATTTAGTAACGTATTGAGGCTAAAAGGATTAGCAGACTAAAAAAAATAATAATAATGACTTGTCCTCGGGGAAGCTAGTCTGAATGAAGTGTAAGTGCCAAACCTTGCTGTTGTTGTTGATGTTGTTTTTCTTCTTCACTATATTTATATTTCTGGAGGAGTTGTATTTGGCATTTCTCTTTTTACATTTTACATTTTTACATTTTTACAATGTTGATCAACCATCTCAGAACCTGCAAAGCACCATGCACTTACAGTCATGCAGCTCTATGAAGCTTCATGGGGCTATCACGAGTGTGTAATTACCACTGACCATTTAGTTTGAACACTCATTCTAAGGAAAACTGTAGTTATGTAGTCGCTGTTGTATCAAAACCTCGCAATTTTTTCGGTGTTTTTGTCTTTTTTTACACCATCTGAAAGCTGTGTGAACATTTCAAGGTGAAAGGGTCAATAGACATAGTCCAAAATGACTACATTAACATGCATTAAAATAAACGCTTGATCATAGAGGTTTTGTTACCGTGGCAACTGTATTTAAATTAAAGGAATACTCCAACCTAATTTCAACCTACTCTCCTTCCGCTGCTCTACGCTCGAATATCACGGATGATAATTTCAGCATGTTTCCCTGAACTTAGCAAAACAACAGAAAACCCCTTCAGTGCCCACTGGGTTCTATTATAAGTGTGATTCTGTTATAACAAAACTAATATTAGCAATATTACAACCATTTGCATGCGTAAGTTGGTTCTTCAGATTGATGGAGAATGTGTTGTGGTTCTATATAGTACCAAAAAGGGTTCTGCTGTTGACATCACAATAGCAGAACCCGTTTTGGTGCTATATAGAACACTTTCCCCATCAATCTGAAGATCCATTTCACCATGCAAAGAACCATTTAAGCATGCAAATGAGTTCTATATAGACCTCAGTTTCTAATAGAACCATTTCCTTTACTAAATTTCCCTTGAAGAACCATCTTTTTTGAGAGTGTTTTGTGAATGTATTATGTCACATATATTATTGGCCTCAAGCAGTGTTCTCATACTTATCTTCATAGTAATATTCATTTTTTACAATCATATAAGCAATTGAATACAGCTATAGAAATAATAATAATCAAAAAATTGTGATGCTCGAAATACTCATTTAAACCGGAATTGAAAAAGAAATTTCTTTTTTCACAAAGAGCCCTTGTGGACCATCTTTTTTAGGAGTGTATTGTGAATGTACTATGTCACATGTATCATTGGCTTCAAGCAGTGTAATCATACTTATCATCATATTAATATTCTTTTCTTTATAATCATACACTGAATTGAAAACAGCTACAAAAATAATAATATTTAAATAGTGGTACTAGATATACTCATATAAATTGAAATTTGAAATATTCCTTCACCAGGCCCTGTGTTTTCTGTTTTCTTGTATTTATTTTTATGTTTTTTATTTCATATAAAGCAGAACATGAGTGACACAAAACATATTTGACAAGGATACATATTTACAAAAAGAAAAAACAGATGCAAAGGATCTTTAATACGACAATTGACTATTAACTTTCATTTTAAAAAATCAGTGTTGCAATTTATTTCTGCATTGAAATTATATCATATTGTAGAATAAAAAAACATTAGTTCAGTACTTTAGACCCCAGTTGGCTTCTGTTATAAGCCTTTTATAGCAAAACCTCATAAACATTTTTGTTTTCTAAGTGCAGGGAAATTACAGTAAACCACAGTAAGCATCTGTATGGTACTGAAGTCAGAGAAACGCTGGAGTATTCCTTTAAACAATGCTTTGAACTGTTTTTTGTACTTTTGTGTTGTTGGAGACGCTTTGAGGATCATTTTAAACCCGCACGAGTTTGTGTTCTCAAAAGTAAACCTCCAATTTCAGCGCCCACGCTGAACCTGCTGCTACAACCTGCACCCAGCACTGAGGCCAATGAGGAGCGATGGTCTTGGCAGCTAATTATCCTCAGCTCGAAACTGTTCACTCACACAAACACTTCAATCTCATGAACTAACAGCTATATGGAACCTGCTTTCCTTTTTAATGCGTATTTCAGATTGCTGACAGAAAATGTTGTACAGAGTTCAGAATGGAGAGAAAAACAAGTTTGTATGTGTGTAAAGATGTTGTGTTGATTTATTGTATAGTCTTTTGTACAAAGGGATTCTGTTTTTTTATGTGTAATTAAGGGGAAAGTTAACATTTTGCCAATTGATCAAGTTTTTCTACCTGCTGGCACAAAGTCAGATGAATTTATGAGCATCGTTTCATTTGTATTTGTATAAATTCAAAATGCAGTTCAAATTAGTAACAAGTTATTTTTTTAGTTGTTTAAGCATTTTTGGTACTACTTATTACTAAAACACTCATTTTGGTACGTTTTAATTGAATCTACTCATTTTATCCAGGACTTTTTTTTGCTTTTTCAGCTTTGGAGCAATTTGTGCTTCTAAGGACATCAAAAGTAAACATTTGTGAATTATTTAATCCGGCGTACAGTTTTATGACACTACGGGTGGCTATACTGCATGTCCCAATACATAGGCGTAATATATTTGCAGTATATTACATATATTTGGCAATATATTTCATTATTTCCATGAGTTAAACAGCTTCACACAGAGCGAAACTGCTACTAATGTCTTTATCTGACTTTGTGAAAGCAGAAAAAATACATATATATATTTCATTGCCAAAATGTTGAACAGTCTCTGTCTTTACTCACTGGAGAGGAACTATTTAACCACTTTAATTGTCTCCAAGCCTGGTGAATGATAGGGTTGATGCCAGTTATTTAACAGAGTGCTCTTTTATGTTTCAGAAATACTGGTCACATGTAACAGTTGTAAAGTTAACTAAAGAGATATTTATAATTTCTTTGTTTGGTTGTCACTTAGATGTAAATATAAAAAGACTGTATATGTATTTTCCCCATTGCAATACTAACAAGCTGTGTTGTGTGACAGTGAATTACTCCTTTGCTATCTTTTAATATAAAACTGCATTTGCATTTGAATAGAAATGTAGCGTACTGTTGTTTTTCCAATGGGGATTTGGGTTTTTGGGCTACACTGAAATGTGGAAGTGATCTGTAAGTGGTTGTAAAGTAAAATAAGCAGATGTCCAGTTCAGCTTGATCTGTACATATTTTTTTTTGCTGATTAGCACTAGGAAGAGTCCAAACAGTCACATATAGGCGGTATCTGGCAGTAAAACTAGGATATTATAGGTCCCAGTGCATAAAAATGAATGCAGTCCCCACCCATATGAAAAACTTTCACTGAATTTTAAAAGATGGCTATGTAATTTGCTTGTTTATTCTCTATTTTTGTCTCAAAGAAGCTGATGTTCTCAAGGCCACTCCAGTCCTACAGCATCTACTGTTAACATCAAATTAAATGTTTACATTAGACTACAGTCTCAAAAAAGGTGGTTCTTTAGTGAAGATAATGGGTCTTTATAGAACTATGAAGGCTTAAAGAACCATTTACGTGCTTAAATAGTTCTTTGCATGGTGAAATGGTTTTTCAGATTGTTGGAGAATGTGTCTATGTAGAACCTTTTTGAAAATAGTTCTATATCAGGGGTGTCCAAAGTCCGGCTCCAGGGCCAAATGCGGCCCGCAGTCAGATTTTAATTGGCTTCTGTTTCAGAGTTATAAGTGGCCCACCAGCTAGTACGCTGCAGTTCTTCCTTTCACCTGTTGGGGGCAGTGCTGTAAGATTACAGTGAGTGCGTTTACATTCACTCAATAATCCAATCATAATCGGATTTCTGCAGTTATCTGATCATGAAGTGGTGAAGCACACTCTGATTTCTTAGATGGAAGAACCTCTGATTTCTTTCAAATTTCACAGTCAAACAGACTGCTGTACCGGAAATAAGCGAGCAGTGTTGCCGTGAGACGCAGCAAAACACTTTTAGAGCGACCCTGAAACCAAATACATGCTTGACGAAATGAAGGATTTAAATATGCTTCATCTTCTAGATGATGTATGTTCATATTTTCAGGTTAAGTGGCGTGATGTTTTTTAAAAAAAGGCCGCTTATGAAGTTTGAGTTTTACGTTACGTTTATGTCGTGTCTTATTCTGTGAGTTTATTGGCTGGTTGTAAAGCAGAAATCTGATTACTGTCTGACTCATGTAGATCCGGAGTTTCTCAGTATCTGATTACTCAAGAGCATTTACACTAGTTTATCAGATTACTGACAAAATCTGATTTTCTGCAGTTATCAGATTATTAAGTACATGTAAATGCACTCAGTGTAACGTAACAAAGTTAGCTAAGTTTAAGAGCCTTTCTTCTCTGACTAGACCTGCAGCTTCATTTACTGACCACATTTAGTCCAGACTGCAGCCGTAAAGCTCAAACTAACACTGAGAACCAGAGATTTTGGCAAGATGGAAAGTTGAGTACCACACAGCAAATCCATTGTTACAAGTTTGGCATTGTAAACAATAGCAGAACCTCATGGTGCTATATAGAACCATATGCAATACGTTCTCCATCAATCTGATGGTTAAGTGTTCATGGCTGTGTATAGAATCACTGTCTCTACCAAAGAACCCTTGAAGAACCATCTTTTCTTACCTCACAAATGCTTTTTGACTAGATGGACACATTCACACTCCAAAATCTTGTGGAAAGCTTCCCAGTAGAGTGGAAGCTGTTATAGCTGCAAAGGGGGACCAACTCCATATTAATGCCTATGTTTTTAGAAAGGGATGCTCATATAGGTGCAATGTATATGTGTCCGCAAGTGTTTGGCCATATAGTGTATGTTGTTCAGAAAGTGGATCTTTCTGTGTCTTTACAGTGGTGGTGATAGGAACCAGGGGTCTCCATGACTACAACACAAATATAGACATTTTATTTACTATCCAAAACCACCAGTGAACCTACGCATGTCTTCTGAGTTTTATATGGAACACTGATGATGGAAAATAGTGAGCAATCTTTTTCTTGGGGTCTATTTTGCCTCACAACGACCTGCATGTATCCCTCCACCATGAATGAATTTTAAGGCCAAAATCTTCTCAAAACTATCATAAAACAATGTCTCAGACATCAGGCAGTGGGCTTTTATAGTCATTACATATCAGTGTTGGTGGAAGAAAACCTCGTACCTCCAAAATGATAACTTTACAGGAGAAGGAAAAACCCTACTTTACTTTTAATGTAAGTCAATGGAACCAGACTTTTTTCCAAGTGATTCTGGGCCACTTCTTTTGGACCATTTTTCATGAAATTTACACACAATGTAAAGGGCAACAGGTATTTTCAAATTATGTCAAAAACTGAAAAACAACAAAAAATGGAGATACGAGGTGGTTGATGGTATTCAGGTCTTACTAGCTCTCATTGTGTTCCTCCACCTGAAAAGCTGGAAAGTGACAGACAGAAGCACATCACAGCATTCAAACAAATGTGGAGTGGTAAAACAGTACCAGGAAGGTTATAAAATTAAATGTCTTCTGTTCTTTTTTTTCCTTTTTTTCCCAAGTTGCCTTTAATTGACTATTTTTTGTTGATCAATAAAGACTCTTATTTAGCTACCATTTATTTATTTATTTATTTTCCCACTCTGTTTGCAATGTATGCATTGTGTGTCTATACATTTCTTTTACATTAAAAAATTGTGTATATATATATATATATATATATATATATATATATATATATATATATATATATAATAAAATCTTAGTACGTGGCAAAACACTGGGTCTCTGTTTTTTGTAAAAGCTGTTTGCTTTTTAGATCTCATGCAAAGAGACCATTTAAGCATGTCGTTTATCAGAATTTATAAAAAATAAAAAAAACATATTTCATATATATTTGGCTATCATTTATTTTTTTCTGTGTGGGAAATGAACACGATTGGTCCACTACGAGTGAGTGGGAGGAGCGAGTCAGTTTACTTTTAGAGCGTTCTTTTAAACTGGCCTATCAGCTGACGCGCCCCTAACTCAGCCAATTAGAAGCGCGCTTTCCGTTGCCTGCCAATTCTTAGCCAATCAGCGGCGACCTTTTAGCAGCGGTGAGATTTCAAACGCGGGCCGTTCAGCTGCACTGTGTTGTCGAGCAGAGCGGAGAGTGTTTATCGCGGATTTAGCTTTATAAACTAAAATTTTTATGTTTTAGCGGCATATTGTTCGACTTTTCAGGTAAGTGTATACACTGTCTTTGCAAGACATTGTCTCGTTTAGTGTATATCGGCAAAAAATCTGTTGCTTATGCTAATTTGACACCAAGTTCGTTACAAGGTCTAACTGCTCTGCTGTTTAAACCTCCTCTCACTTATCGTTAGCATGTAGCATCTTAATCGAATTAAATGAATTTGGGTAGATGAAATACCGTTTACTACCACCGATGTGTTCTTATATAGCTGATAAACAGTATAATGTTATGCTATGTTGAAAGTTATTAGTGCTGCAGAACTCACTTGAACTCAGTTTGTATGTAGCTATTTAACCCTAAAATCAAGTCCTATACAAAGAGACAAAAGACATACTGGACAGTCATCGCGAAAGTCTTTCTTTGTATAGTACTCTTTCTTTTTGCAATCTTGGCTAGACCACTCACCATCTAACGGACACTTGGGTGGTCAAAGATTGTAGGAATTATGTTTAACCAGCTCATTATAGTTAAGTGATCAGTCTACTTAAAGGGACCATTGACATCCATTTTTCCAGGCTTATAAAGTATCTATATATAAGAGCAGATTTGCTTATAGGTCTGTTATTTATTTATTATTTATTATTTTTTTAATAAGGTGTGCCCACAAATTAATATATTGAGGCCACAAGTCAAGTTTCTCATAACTCGTGGCCTAAATATTTATTCCAGGTTTATTAACTTCCTATATATATGTGAGTGGATTTGCTTATAGGCCTGTTGGCTAAACTGCAGCAGAACAAAATCATTATTTACAGAACCCCTAAAGTGGTGTGGTATGGTATGGTTATTTTTAATAAGGCGTGGCCACAGATTAATATATTGAGGTCATGAGTTAAGTTTCTCATAACTCATGCCCTCAATATATTCATGTGGCCTCAATGTAGTAAATTGTGGTCATACTTTATCAAAAAATAATTGCCATGTCATCACCTTAGGGGCTCTGATTATTTGACTTTCACTGTAATGTATAGAATAATGCTTGAGTACTGCCTCCTTTTAGGTAATCGTTTGAGCTGAACATAGGCTGACCATCATGGGGGATGACAGTGAATGGATGAAACTTCCCACTGACCAGAAATGTGAACATAAGGTCAGTAAACTTACCCTACGGCTCCTTTTTTATTGTCTGATCTCTTATGTTTCTAAATGAAGCATGCTGTAATATATATAAATAATATTGCTTTATGTCTTCTCACACCCAGCACACACATTTGCATATTTGTCACTTCTTGGCTATTTTGTATATACTTTTTCTATACTGTTTAATTGAATTTTTTTGCTTCTTTCTCTTGAATATCTATTTAGGTTGTTACACGTCTTACATGTTACAGTTAATTGTGTGTGTAAAAGTTGGTGGAATATAACTGATTCTGATTGGTGGCTGAGCAAAACTTTTCTTTTCCCAGGTTTGGAAAGCGAGATTAAGCGGCTACACAGAGGCCCTGCAGCAGTTTCAGAGGATCACGGATGAGAAGAGTCCAGAGTGGGGGAAATATCAAGGACTGATCAAGAAATTTGTCACAGACTCAAATGCAGTAGCACAGCTCAAGGGGCTGGAGGCGGCTCTGGCCTACATCGAAAATGCACATGTGGCGCCTAGGTACACTTATGCACCATTGTAACCTGGGATTAAAGTGACGATTTGCCCAGAAATGTACTTTCCCATCTTGCCCCAGTTGTGGTTCATCAGCCAAGCAGTTTTTTCTAGTTTTTCACTGGTGCAAGCTTTTACCTCAGCAGTGACTCCTGATACTCAAGACGCATGAAGTGACCAGGTGTAAACAGGACCTAATAGACTTGATTGTGTTTTTTGACACTGTATGGCACACCAGTTATCTATAAACATGACCAAACATTGGACCAAGATTAGGGCTGCTACAGTTTAGGACTTCAGTCCATGTTTACAGATAACAGTATATCATAGTGTTACAAACTACATAAGCAAGTTTGTGTAGGTTTGAATTTTGGCTGAAGTGTTGCTTAAATGTTGATTTGAATACTTGTTCCAGTACTCAGCTGGGTGATGCATGTTTTCTTTTACGAAACCAGTGTTGAAAGCTGAAGTATCAACACTATCATCATTAAACTCTATTTTTTTTTCTTTCTTCAAGCAAGACATATTTTAAGGGCCCATATCATGGAAAACCAACAAATTCTAAGTGATAGAGGTTGAAAAGTGGTCCTTTGAAAAATGCAAGAAAAATGTGGAATGTCCCCTTTATTCTGAACATTTCACTTAAGCATCTAATAGCAGGCTGTCATGCTCAAATTACTGTTAATACAAGATTGGATCACATTCATTATGGTGTTCTGTCTGATATCTGATGTTTTCTGCTGATATCGGCCCCAAAATGAGATCTGGTTTCACAGTGGCATCTGTAACACTGTGAGGACAGCGTAGTGTGATTGCCTGTCAGAATGCAGTCTGGTCTTTACCTGTGTGTTCTCTTCCTCAGGACGGTTGGCGAGGTAGTGTCCGGAGTGGTGTGTAAAGTGTTTAACCAGCCGAAGGCTCGGGCTAAAGAGCTGGGCTCTGATATCTGCCTCATGTACGTCGAGATCGAGAAAGCTGAGGCTGTTCAGGAGGAGCTTCTCAAAGGTCTGGACAACAAGAACCCCAAAATCGCCCTCGTCTGTGTGGAAGTCTTGCGCAGAGCATTGAGGTGAGTGGCACCCAGAGCTCCTGTGTGCTCTGCATTAAAGGCACATGATAGTAAAAATATATTGACATGTATTGTGGTTGTGATGACTTGAAATGTTAATTTTTCTGCGTAGTATTGTTTGCGTATATTGGATTGTGTGAGAGCTTTGATTCATCCAGACATCTGGTTTGTGCGTTACTGCCCCGTCAGTATTGTGAATTCTCAAATTTCTGCATACTGACATCATTAAGAAGTAAACAAAGTCAGAGTGGTTTGATGTGAAATGCATCGTTCTACATGTGCTTGTGGAATTTTTTGGTGATGGGATTTTACCGAAGTCCAGAGAGGGAGGCTATGAGGTAGTTTTCTGGATTGTTACCTTGAGATAACGAGTTCACTATCTTTTGATCTCAAGATGAAGATATTATCTTGGGTTAACGAGTTAAATGTCTTCTGATCTCAGCATAAAAGTTATGTAGTTGTTGTTTTGATCACAAGATAGTCAACTTATCTCAAGATAACAATCCAGAAAATTTTAGCAACAGCTCATGGCCTGCGGACTTCTGTAGGATCCAGACAACTGAATCAAATCTCACTTACAAAGTCGTTATATAATAGTGATAAATACTTGAAATTTGACATTATTTTACGAAAACGTTTATCAGTTCACTGTAGAGGAGTACATGCAGGGCAAAACAGTCCTTTTTACAACTATTGCTAATATTATAAACAATAGAAACATATTTTCTCAGACATTTTTCTCAGACGTAGGTGCTCTGGTCGTTTAAAATGGACATCCTGACTCCTGGTTCCTATCACCACCACTGTAAAGAGATCATTAATATTCTCTACAGTGAACCATTTCACATTAAGCTACTCTGAATGACTTTTTTTCGTCTTAAGCACTGAATTATAAAACACTTGAAAAATGGTGGAATTCCACTTTAGCAAATTGTCATGTGGACTTTTCCTGTGTGTTTTCTAATAGGCCAAACATCTATATTACACTAGAGTAATTCCTCTTGTTTTGTTTACATGTGTTGTCTTCTATTTTCAGTGAGTTTGGATCGAAGATTATCTCACTGAAGCCTGTCGTCAAAGTGTTGTTGAAGCTGTTCGAGTCACGTGAAAAGGCCATCAGAGACGAGGCCAAGCTGCTGGCTGTGGAAATTTACAGGTGGATCAGAGACGCTCTGCGCCCGCCGCTTCAGAACATCAACTCTGTTTTGGTAGAACACATTTGTTTCCTTTATTTATGTATTTTTCTGGTTGTTTGCAGTGTTTGTGATCTCCAAGCCATGACTTAAGTTTTGAGGTTTATTTACAAATAGTAATACAAGTTGAATCGTGAAACTTGAGACAGCTTGTTTGTAGCAGGTCTGTTGGCTGGGGAGAGAATAAATCCTGGCCAGATCCCTGATGAATTATGTTTAGCATCTCATTAGCATCTCCCAGTAGTATCTCCTTTAGTGTCTAACCTCTTTCTCTAGTTAACTTCTTTAAAAAGCAGAAATAAACCTGTCAGGTCTTTTAAATACAGTACTTTACTTCACAACAACAAGAGTATGTAGTGGGTTTTGGTCAAGTACAGTCATGCAGTATAACATTAGAAAGCTTAATCTCAGGAATCGATGGCTGCAAACCACAGCTGTCATGGTCGTCTTATTTGCAGCATAGGCACCGAATGAACAAACAATAGCAAATCTGAAAGATACAGGTTGTGCTGTGTTTGTCAAGTTGGAAGAAGGCTAGTTAACCTAATCCCAGGTAAAAGTGGCCCAAATCTGATCTTTTTCTTCATACGTGATACAGATGTATCTGTGTGTCAGACGCATTCATATGTGGTACTGAAATCCAATACATATCCAATATGCGGCAATGCGACTCAGTCTGAACAGCCAGATCAGCATTAATGCGACTTTTATGTAAATCCACCTCGACATTCATTTTGTGGTGCTGAGATCTCAAACATTTAGGCTGATGTTTCTATACCAAAAAATTAGAAGGCAGTTATCGCAACTGCTTCGTGTTCAAAGAGATTTTGAACTCCTCCTATTTAGCCTTTGTTACTGTCAGTAGTTCATACAATAATTGGCAGTTGCAGGGCTCCAGACAAAAAGACAGGCTAAGAGTTTCGCTTTGCGATAATGAAATCTTGCGTTTTTATGCCTTCAGTAATTTTTTATGACTTATTCCTCTGAAGAAATCCACTTTTCCAGCTATATCTTTACTTGCTTTCGACCAGAACGTGCAGTTTAGGCTGTTTTTAATGTTATCATACCTGAGCCATGCAAATTCCTGAAGCGCAGAAGTTCTGAAACATTTGTGTTTGTACTTCTACATGAAGTGCTTGAAGTGGGCAGCTGTTCAAGTACATCCTCATGTACGTTTTTTTTACTAGTTCGCTGCTCCTGAGTCACAGACTGGGGTTGAGCAGGTGATCTTATAAGGCTGGACAGGGAGAAGGGGGAAAAAGAAGCGTGGTTGCAAATGCTTAATGCTAATAAGTTCAGAATTTTTTTTGTCTTTCTTTATTCATTTATTTATTTATAAATAAATATTTATATTTTTTTTCAGAAGATCTTCCGTCCTTATGTTGAACTCAAACACTGTTTTGTCTTCCAGTTGAAAGAGCTGGAGGAGGAGTGGGCAAAACTGCCGTCCTCGGCACCAAGACAGACCCGCTTCCTTCGCTCACAGCAGGACCTCCGGGCGAAGTTTGAGCAACAGCAGCTGAACGGAGGAGAGGGCAGTGACGAAGGAGATGGTGCGCATCTCTTCTGTTTGTTTGCTCATTAGTAGAGATGGCTATTAATGACTTACTGTTAAGATTATATTGTGTAAACTATACGCTAATGTGTACTTTGCAGGGAGGTCGTCAAACTGTTTACTTTCACTGGGCCTTTTAACAAATGTTTATCCTGCACAATTCAAGTTTTATTACAAATTGAAATGGTATAGTTGGGTTTTATTCTGTGGAATAACATTTAAAACTTCTTTCAGGTGAGGATTCTGAGGAAGCAGCTCCTGCTGTTGATGCGTATGAGCTCCTGGAGGCAGTGGAGATTCTTTCAAAATTGCCAAAGGACTTCTACGAAAAGATTGTAAGTGGAAGCTGTTTAATTTTCGTCTGTCTTAAATTTTGAACGGTCAGACTAGTACTGTTTCTTGTGCCGTTAGGACTTGCAACTAACAATTATTTCTGTAATTGATTACTGGTATTATTTGATCGACCCATTATGCCTTTTTATGGTGCAATGAAATGGTGAGTCATATCGCTACACTTCCTGTAGTGTATTACAGTCTGTCAGAATGACTGTGTGGATCATATGAACATTTGATCTTATGAACGTTTGAGTAGCGAAGCATTTTTTCATTGCAATGCAAAATTTGTAAAATTTCTTTTTGGAAACTGTTTTAGGAGGCAAAGAAGTGGCAGGAGAGGAAGGAGGCTCTAGAAGCTCTGGAGGCTCTGACCAAAAACCCGAAGCTGGAGAGCGGAGAATATGGAGATGTGGTCAAAGCTCTCAACAAGGTAAAACTAACATGCCTTTAAATTTTGTGTTTTTGAGACCAGTTGAAAACAGATCTATGATCATTAATGAAATCAATCTTCTGTGATCTTCCAGGTCATCGGTAAAGACACTAACGTCATGTTGGTGACCATCGCTGCCAAATGTGTGGCTGGACTTGCCACTGGCCTCAGGAAGAAGTTTGGCATTTATGCTGGTCATGTACGTTTTGTTACACAGCTGCTCAACACAGTTTAAAGTTGACACATTTTAATGTCTTTCCTTATTTTTCTTTGCAGTTGGTGCCGACTATTTTGGAAAAGTTTAAGGAGAAGAAAGCTCAAGTGGTGCAGGCACTGCAAGAAGCGATAGACGCTGTGTTTCTCTCTGTGAGTGTTTGAAGGATTGTCCAGTAAATTGGGCCTCTTTTCCACTGCAGGGCTGCAAAGTTTTCCAGTGGCTTTTCCACACTGACACGGTTCAACACAGAATGCTTAAAACCGGTTAGCTAACCATGTTCAGGGCCACAGAACCGTTTGTTGGGATGACGTAATGGCGTAGCTATTTGCTGATTGGTCCTATGTATATGTCAGTATTCTGCCACAGCGTCCTGCTGCATTATTTCAAACCCGAAAACAAAATAAGTTCAGTTCAGTTTGTTAGCTTAGCTAGCATGGTGCCAGCTCTGCTCACCACAGAACAGGTTCAATTCTGACTAACAAAAGCTGACTCAAATCTGAGGAAGTGAAGTCGAGTGGCTAATGTTAACGGGACAGAAAGCCAAAATTAGCCTCCTAGCTAAGCTAATGCTAGCCATCTTATCTCTCCTAGCTTACTTAGCTTAGCTAAAGAGATCTAAACACCCCACTACGGGTCAATACGATTAACTGCTCTACTATCACAAGTACAGACAATAAAAGCTTAAAACAGCGAGAGCAAAGTTGACTGACTGGTGTTGGTGTGACAAAGCCGAAATCAGACCTGTTCTGTAGTGATTTAAGCTGTAGCCTGCTAGACTAAGCTAATGCTAGTGTACGTGCCTCCCACAGCAGTACGGGCTCAGTTCTAGGGAACCAATGTTTAAAAACACTAGAGGATAAAGACTCAAATCTAAAAGAGCACAAATTCGAATGTCTGGTGTTGAAGTGACAAAGATTAAAAATTAGACTTGTTCTGAGCTGCTTTGTGCTGTACCCTGCTGGGTGACGCTACTGCTAGAGTAGTTAGCCAGCTACAGATAAAACCCATTACAGGCTATTTCAGTGAATGAGGCTCAAATACCGCTGATTTAGAGAATAAAGATGAGAGCATGGAGAGAGAGACTGTTATAGGAGTGACCTGAATGCATGTACTTACGTGTGTGTGTATATATACACTGGTGTGTGAGTAGCTATTGGCCTTTTGGCAGTTAGCCACTCGTTTGTGTAGTTTTCTACAGTATTTCCTGGTTCTGATTTAATGGCACAGCAGATGGAAAAGAAACCGCAACGGGTCTCAAGAGTCTGGAACTTTGTGGAACGACCTAGTATGGCCCTGAGAACCATTTCGCTCGACAGTGGAAAAGAGGCCTTGATTTTGATCTTGCATGAAGTGCTTTGAATTCAACTGCATATATTTTGAAATGGTAGAATAGCATTTAATAATATTTGATAAAGCTTTTTTTTCTCAAAATAATATTCTAGAGCTGTATTTACTAGCTAATGTAGAGGCAAATTTTCGTAATGCCTTTGTCTTTGACGTCTGTGTAAATGGTTCTTCCAGTTGAATGGAGTTTTCTTAAAGTATTTTTAATCTTAAACTACAAATTGAGTTTTAGTGACTTGATTTGCACTTTTGTCATAAGGATTGTGATACACTTTCATTGCTATGTAGAAATGCTTAAAATCTTACATGCTGACATTCATTTGAATTTCAGACTACCTTACAAAATGTAAGTGAAGACGTTTTAGCTGTGATGGACAACAAGAACCCGTCGATCAAGCAGCAGGCCTCACTGTTCCTGTCCAGAAGCTTCTGCCATTGCACCCCCACCACTCTGCCTAAGAGTCTCCTCAAGCCATTCTGTGTTGCACTGCTGAAGGTACAAATAAATAAATATAAGCTTACTGTTTTTGGAGCTTTATGGGGTCTCAAAAGTAATGCTGGGTATCGAAATTTAATTTACTAATTTTATGCTATTGACAGTCATTTCAGTAGCATAGTGTTTTCAACACTTTATGCATACAGCAGCACTGTTTATGAACATACTGACAGGGACTGAATTTTGACCTTTTTTTTAATATTTATGAAAAGATAAAATAAGAATACATACAAAATGAGTCTTTTGTGTTCTGTGTACTTTTACCTTTTTAAAGAGGTTATTTTAAATTGTACAATTAATGTTTTTATCATCTTTGAATACAACAGAAGTTGAGGAAGCTAAGGAAGTCAAACTGAAATTAAAACTGGCATTTGACCCTGTTGGTTCACGTGGTTTTGGACCTGTAGTCAAAAAGTAGAATTGTAGAATTTCTTTGCACATGTAATCACACACTGGCTGTAGAAAATGAACAGTTTTATTTATGTATTATCCCCCCCCCCACATACAGCAAGTGAATGACTCTGCTCCGGAGGTCCGAGATGCAGCCTTTGAAGCTTTGGGCACGGCTATGAAAGTGGTGGGCGAGAGAGCGGTTAACCCTTTCCTGGCTGATGTAGATAAACTGAAAGTTGACAAGGTATAAGCCCCTGAAAAGTGTTTTAATGCTTTGGCTTCATACAGTGTAGGTAAAAAAATTAACTGTTACACTGAAAGAACAGCATTATACCACTCAAAGACTGTTTTGAGACCTCCAACAGCCAAATCTGCATTTTTTTTAAACTCATTTTCATTTTATTGCTATTAATATACATAAAATGGATGTAAACTTAACCACTTGCTGTATATTAAGATTATTCCATTGAAGTTCTTTAAGATTAATGCTGACCTGTTTTGATAGATTAAGGAGTGCTCAGAGAAAGTGGAACTGGCTGGAGGAAAGAAACCTGCAGGGACAGGTGAAGGAGAAAGCTCCATCTAAACCTGAGCCACCAGCGGAGGCACCAGCTAAACCCTCTGGACCTGCCAAAAAGACGCCCGCAGCTGCTGCCGCCAAGGTAAGTGATCCTCAGCCAGGTTTTTTATAGATGTTGAACACATCATGAACCTGACTTGTAACTCACATTTAGCAGCCTGTTGAGTCTCCACAAGGAGCTGATATTAGCACCGTAGTTGCTTTTGGTGCTTCATAAGTGATGCTTCACGCAGTGTCTTTGTTTCTACATACCTGTTGAATTCTTGCATGAATCTTGCATGTTTATTTATGCAATGCTAATCCACTAATCAGACCAAACTGTAATGTTCTACTCTTTCTGTGACTTCAGCCTTCAGCCCCCACTAAGAAGGGAAAACCTGCTGCATCCAAAGGAGCTGCTCCTGCCAAAGCCAAGAAAACGGAGAGCAAAGAGTTGAACGAGGCGGAGCTCTCGGTGAGTGAGGCATAACAACAAGGTTCAGTGCCTAATGTTTTGTTAAATAGGCTGTTTGTATTGTAGAAAAATGTCTTTTTAGCTGGGTGAAGATTGGTTAACTGCACTATGAAACAGACTGCTTTGTTTGTCTTTTTATTTATTTTTTCTGTCTTTTGTCTGCTCACCCCCAGCCTGAGGTGTGTGAGGAGAAAGCGGCTGCGGTCCTCCCAGCTTCTTGTATGCAGATGTTGGACAGCGCTAACTGGAAGGAAAGGCTGGCTGCGATGGAGGAGTTCCATAAGGTAACACTTCATACTTGTACTTTATGCAAGTGGGATGAGGTTTGGAAACCAGGAGGCATAATTTTGCATATTCATCAATGTTTTTTTGGTCCCTAATGAGTTGATGTTTAAGCATGCAGCTGTGGATAGCAATAACGTATCAAACATATTTGATGGTTTATCCCAGTATTGATTGATTTAACAGTTTTAATGATGCCTTTTTAAACACAGTTTTTATAATTTATTTCCAATATGGAACAGTCTATTTTTATCTTGGTCATGGTTGTGAGGCCAGTTGCATGGCTGATAGGATATAACAGATATAGGACAGATTTGCTTTTTCTGAGACTTAAACCATCCTACTTGATTGGTAATTGCACTAGATGGAATCTCTTGACAATTCACTATACAGTTTGTTCAAGCCTGTCTTAAAGGCACAGCAACACACGTAGCCTGTTTAATTCTAAGGCATAAAGATACATTGAGAAATAATCATGTAAAAAATGTTATGGTTTTTATTGCATAAAATCACACTTGTTAAGAGTTAAGTATTATATTAAGTATGTATGATGAATAGTGAGGATCAAATTTGATTGATCACTTCGTATCACTGAGGTCTTTAATGAAAAGTTGCATGCTGTTGCGCTGCTAATTGCTGACCTGTGTGTCCAGGCCGTAGAGCAGATGGACAGCAAAGAGATGCCCTGCCAGGCTCTCGTCCGCATGCTGGCCAAAAAACCTGGATGGAAGGAAACTAACTTCCAGGTAAACCCTTATTTTTCATCTCTCATCAGCAGTTTTGGAGGGACAGGCATGAGATTTGAGTTCTAGCACTGAAGGACGCTATGGAAATGACTGAATTAACATCATTGTCTTGGACTAACATGTTTTTAGGTAATCAGATCATCTGGAGCAATTCCCTTCTGCCTAAAGGAACCATTAGGGTTCTGATGCCTGGTCTGTGGCTGGTCTTTGAGCTCTAGTGATTTCTTTGTTCAACTGCTTTAAGGTGATGCAGCTGAAACTTCAGGTGGTCTCTGCAGTGGCCCAAAGGGGCTTGTTCTCCAGGACTTCTGCGCTCGCCGTGCTGGAGGCCGTGGTGGAGAAGATTGGAGATGTGAAGTGTGGAGTAAGGGCTAAGGAGGCTCTGACCGGTATTGCAGAGGCCTGCAGCCTCCCATGGACTGCGGAACAGGTTAATATATTCACACTTATTGATATTTATTACTTTGGACTTTGAAATCTACTTTTCAATGAAATGTTACTTATTTTATAAATCAAAAGTGCTTATGACTGAATTGGTAGTTCAAGTCAATATGGATGGAAATTGGTCACAATGAATCAGTAGCTTTATTTAAATCTGCGGAAGCTACCATACTTCAGTCTTATTCTTTGGAAATGCTCATTTAAAAATAAAAAATGTTTCAGGTTGTATCTTTAGCTTTTGGCCAGAAGAACCCAAAGAGCCAGGCAGAAGCACTCAACTGGCTTTCTAATGCTATAAAGGAGTTTGGCTTTGCGGGGTAAGTCTGATTTTCTGTGAGAGTCTAATAATATTTCATGGACTTCTGAATAACAGCCTAATATTAAAATGCGACATTGTTTTTCACAGAATAAATGTGAAGGCTTTTATTAATAATGTGAAGACGGCCCTGGCGGCCACCAATCCTGTGAGTGCTTAGTTACATTTTCCTTATTCTGTTTTAACATAAAGTTTAGATCTGAAGTCACTTTCTTTTGATTACGGTTGTCTTGGAAATGATTCAGTACATTTTAATGTTAAAATTTGACTAATTTTGGTATGCAATTATTTTTAGATTGCTTGAATATATTCAATTTTGGAATACAAGAGTAGATTTAATACCAGTTAAATTGCCATTCAAATACCTTTGTAGATTTCAGCTGTTATTAGGATGCAGGTTAGAGATGCTGCACTTAGTGTTTTGGGCCTGGATGGATTTATGTTCTCCACACAGGCTGTGAGAACTGCTGCCATTTCCCTGCTGGCTGTAATGTACCTGTACATGGGCGCTCCCCTCCGCATGTTCTTTGAAGATGAGAAAGCTGCCCTGCTTTCCCAAATAGATGCAGAGTTTGAAAAGGTTTGAATTTTACCTTAATATTAGTTATTGGGTTTGAGGTGTAGCTTGTCTAAAAGGCCTAAAACTGCAATTTCTGTAAATGATTTTATTAATCTTTTGAATAGGTTCCTCTCTTTGTTGCCACAATCATTTAAAGTTCCATCTGTGCATCAAGATTCCTTTTATGGTGCAGCAAAACAATAGTCATATCACCCCCTGCACTTCCTCTAGTGTCTTACAATCTGTCAGAACAACTGTGTGGATTGTATGAACATCATAGAGCACTTCTTAAATGAAACAAGTCATATTGTCCCTCTGCACCTTCTATTATTATACTATACTACTATTACAGTCTGTCAGAGTGACTGTGTGGATAAACGTGTTACCCCAGTAATCAGTGTCGCAGTTGTTCCAGCCTGAATTGTGTCGCAGCTCAATCATGATTTTCATGTGTTTTGATTTTGTTTTCTGTAATTGATTTATTCTTCTTTGCTGAATGCAGATGAAGGGACAGACTCCACCTGCTCCAATCAGAGGCTGCTCTAAAACGAGTGGAGGAGAGGAGGCAGATGAGCAGGAGGAAGAAGCTGAGGCTGGAGATGATGTGGTGGATCTTCTGCCTAGGACTGACATAAGGTAAAACTTAAATGTTAACAGTGAGCAATGTGGCAAAATATTGTTTTATGCACTGCGCGTCGTTACATCCAGTGAGCCAGTTGTGCATTTGTTTTTTGTTTGTTTTTATTTAATTTTCAAGGGTAAATGTTCAAAAACATGCAGTAACACACAATTCCATGTGTTAATTTCCAATTATATATCCTTTCAAACATCTTAACCCATTTCTCTCTCCCTTTTTATTCTTTAAAAGAAAAAAACCCTCCCAAAAAATAAAACTTGTCAGGGGGAAAAAGGTATTTGAACGTTTTAAAGAAACAAAAACAACTGAGCATGTTTTCCCACTTTTAAATGTAATGTGTCAAATGTTTGCAGTGACAAAATCACATCTGAGATGGTGTCGAAAATCGGCGATAAGAACTGGAAGTTGAGAAAGGAAGGGCTGGATGAAGTAGCTGCTGTTCTTTCAGAGGCAAAGTTCATCAAACCCAGCATAGGAGAGCTGCCTGTGGCTCTAAAGGCTCGACTTACCGACTCCAATAAAATACTGGTAAGATCTGAGGACAGATTAAATGTATTAAATCTGAAAATGTGTATTTAATGTATACCATCCTTGCTTTTCTGATATAGGTATTGGTACAGACACCCTTTGATACCAATGTGTTATCACTAATGTCTCTAGCACACATACAGTGGGGGTGCGAAAGTTTGGGCAGCCTTGTTAATTTTCCTGATTTACCTTTATAAATCATTGATTGTTTGGATAAAAAAATTCCGTTAAGTATATCATATAGGGGACAAACACAGTGATACTTGAGAAGTGAAATGAAGTTTATATGAATTACAGAAAGTGTGCAATAATTGTCTAAACAAAATTAGGCAGGTGCATAAATTTGGGCACCAAAAAAAAAAACCTTAACTCAATATTTAGTAGATCCTCCTTTCGCAGAAATAACAGCTTCTAAACGCTTCCTATAGCTTCTAATGAGAGTCTGGATTGTGGCTGAAGGTATTTTAGACCATTCTTCTTTACAACACATCTCTAGTTCATTCAGGTTTGATGGTTTCCGAGCATGGACAGCTCTCTTTAAGTGACACCACAGATTTTCAATAATATTCAGGTCTGGGGACTGAGATGGCCATTCCAGAACGTTGTACTTGTTCCTCTGCATGAATACCTTAGTAGATTTTGAGCAGTGTTTAGGGTCGTTGTCTTGTTGGAAGATCCAGCCCCGGCGCAGCTTCAGCTTTGTCACTGATTCCTGGACATTGATCTCCAGAATCTGCTGATATTGATTGGGATCCATGCGTCCCTCAACTTTAACAAGATTCCCTGTACTGGCCACACAGCCCCACAGCATGATGGAACCACCACCAAATTTTACTGTAGGTAGCAGGTGTTTTTCTTGGAGTGCTGTGTTCTTTTTCCTCCATGCATAACAACCCTTATTATGCCCAAATAACTCTATTTTAGTTTCATCAGTCCACAGCACCTTATTCCAAAATGAAGCTGGCTTGTCCAAATGTGCTTTAGCATACCTCAAGCGGCTCTGTTTGTGATGTGGGCGGAGAAAAGGCTTCCTCTGCATCACTCTCCCATACAGCATCTCCTTGTGTAAAGTGCACCGAATAGTTGAACGATGCACAGTGACTCCATCAGCAGCAAGATCATGTTGTAGGTCTTTGGTGCTGGTCTGTGGGTTGACTCTGACTGTTCTCAACATCCTTCGCTTCTGTTTATTCGAGATTTTTCTTTGTATGCCACTTCGAGCCTTGACCTAAACTGTGCCTGTGGTCTTCCATTTTCTCACAATGTTTCTCATAGTGGAGACTGAAAGCTGAAATCTCTGAGATAGCTTTCTGTATCCTTCCCCTAAACCATGACAGTGAACAAGCTTTGTTTTCAGGTCATTTGAAAGTTGTTTTGAGACTCCCATGCTGCGACTCTTCAGAGAAGATGCAAAGAGGAGAAAAACTTACAATTGCCCCCCTTAAATACCCTTTCTCATAATTGGAGTCACCTGTGTATGGAGGTCAAGGGTCACTGAACTTACCAAACCAAATTTGAGTTCCAATAATTAGTTCTAAAGGTTTTGAAATCAATAAAATGAAAAATAAAAGGTTTTTTTTTTGGTGCCCAAATTTATGCACCTGCCTACTTTTGTTTAACCAATTATTGCACACTTTCTGTAAATCATATAAACTTCATTTCACTTCTCAAGTATCACTGTGTTTGTCCCCTATATGATATATTTAACGGAATTTTTTTATCCAAACAATCAATGATTTATAAAGGTAAATCAGGAAAATTAACAAGGCTGCCCAAACTTTCGCACCCCACTGTATATGCAGTAAGTGCAAGCTGAGTGTCCTCTCGCCCTCTCAGGTCCAGCAGACTCTGTCCATCCTGCAGCAGATGGCTACAGCAATGGGACCAGCTATAAAACAGCACGTCAAAAGCCTGGGCTTTCCCATTCTCACTGTACTGGCAGACAGCAAGGTGAGACAAACGACACTATTTTCAAACAGTGAGGTTAAAATGCTAATTTCCCACAATAAACAATGGAAATAAGATAATAAAATAGAAGGGTGAATAGGAAGAAAGATGCATGTCCTATTTAATTAAATTTTATACTTTTTAAAAGATACTACCATCTTCTTTTCCCCAATTTATTGTTTTATCTTTTTTCATTTATTTCTCATTTTAACCCCTTGCCTGTTTTGTTTCCCCCCCCCACCTCCCTCCAGAACACGGTGCGTGCGGCGGGTTTGGTGACGCTGAATGCGTGGGTGGAGCAGACTGGAATGAAGGAGTGGTTGGAGGGGGAGGAGTTATCAGAGGAGCTGAAGAAGGAGAACCCATTCCTCAGACAAGAGGTGATTCTTGAATGCAGTGATTGTGAGGGCTGTACCTGGGCCTGGCGTAAATATCAAATGTATTCTCCATATCAATAAAGCATGGTCGTGGTATGTTAATGATTGCAGTTCTGTTTATTTCTAGATGAAGAATTCTAGCCATGCATTATGAATGAAGGAAGACAGCTAGCTAACACAAATGATGGTTCTTCAGTAAAGAGAACTGTTATGGAGAACAATGAACGCTCAAAGGACCCTTTTCATGATTAAAGGGTTCTTTGAATCATGAAATGGTTCTTCAGATTAATGAAGAATGTGCTGTAGATGGTTCTATAGAGACTTTTTGAAAAGGGTTCTGTGTAGTACCAAAAAGTGTTTGTCTATTGTTTGTAGGCTTGATATCATAATAGTATAACCTTTTTTGGTGCTATATAGAATCCCTTTCAAGAGGTCTCTATAGAGCAGTCTATAGCACATTCTCCATCAATCTGAAGAACCATTTCACCATGCAGAGAATTAGGACTGAACGATTTGGGTAAAATGTTTGTCTATCTAAATATATAATGTCTAAACCATTTTCTTAAGAACACTTGAAGAACCATTTTAAGAGGGTAGAGTTGTATTGCAGAGGGAGTTGTTTTTTGTTGAGGGTACAACATCTACGCACAAGACAGTGACCAAAAAAAAAAACGCTTGCGTGACTAAAACAACCTTAAGTTTTCTGCAGGGTGCCAAACACTATACAGACATGTAATTAGGCATTAGGAAATGCATTTAATTATGTGGCCAGAAAAATCCCCCCGTCTCAAAGTCCTTGCTCTTTATACCTTTGTTCAAATTGGAAAGCGTCAGAAATACTATCTACTGATCCTAACAGTTTAGTTTTTTGTTTCCCTCTTTATTTATCCCTGTTTCTGTGCAGCTTTTGGGTTGGCTGGCAGTAAAGTTGCCGACTCTGCGCTCCGTTCCCTCCGACCTCCTGCTGTGCCTTCCACACCTGTACTCCTGCCTGGAGGACCGTAACGCTGACGTGCGGAAAAAGGCCCAGGATGCTCTGCCCATGTTCATGATGCACCTGGGCTACGATAAGATGAACAAAGCTGCTGCCAAATTGAAGGTGCGTCTCAAGACTCTACTTGCATCTTCTCTCCATTCCAAATGTAGTATCTTGTTCTTGTTGTTTTGCATTGCAACTGTGCACCATGTGAAACTGTTTCCTGTTCCTCTAGAGCTGAACGATTTGTAGAAAATGTCTAACTGCGAGTTTTCTGACCAATATTGCATTACTTGCATTTAAAATTATTCATTATTTTCTTTGCATTAAGCACTGAGCCTTACCAGGAAGAGAAGCACATCCATTTTTCAGGCTTGAGGCTTGAATAGAGCTGAGTGATATGGCAAAATGTCACTGTGAAGCATGTATGATACATTCACAATATGAATTTTTTTTAACATCTGATATTGACCGTTTACAAATACTATCAAAATCTATTAATTCCATTATTTGTATTTAATATCTGTGACCCAGAAGTATAAGCGGTTTTGGAAGTGTGTGTATAACATTTCACACACTGTTTTGCACTGAAGCCAATTAAACAAGACTTATGCTTTTTTTTTTTTTCCATCAAACATGCAGTTGGTGTTTGCTTTTGTTTGTTTATTTTTTTTTCTTTAAGAATGACAAACGCTAATATGCTCAGAAAAACATAACTTATCACGATAATGATGAATCTTATCATTGCTCAGCTTAGGCGTATATTCAGTGGGCCAGAATGTCAGTTCACAAACTCTACAATAGGTTAAATTTCTCGACTTAAAGGTTAAGACAACTGTGAATCATGTACGATATAATTAAAACTGCATCTCATACGATTTTAAAACACAAAGTTTTAAAAAACTTTTTTTGTAATTTCAATTTAAAGAAGGGTTAATTGTTCACATACTATCCTCTGTATGTTTCTGCAGCCAGCGTCTAAAGATCAGGTGGTTGGTTTGTTGGAGAAAGCTCGAGCCTCCGTACCTGCAAAGCCTGCGGCTCCAGCTAAAGCAGCAGCTGCAACCAACAACAGCGTCAAACCTGCAACAGCTGCTACAGCTCCTCCAGGTCAGCTCCATCAACATTGTTCAAAATCCAAAATTAATTCGGAGAAAAAAGTCTTGTTACATTAAGCTGTGTTTTAGGTTAAAGGTGCAGCATGTGAGATTTAGGGGGATCTGTTAGCAGAAATGGAACATGGTAACAAAACTCTTCTTTAGTGTATAATCAGCTGTAACTATGAATCATTACATTTTCTTTAGCTTAGACTGAGCACTTTATATCTACATAGGGAGCTGCTCCTCTTCCAACAGAGGCTGCAATGTTGCCGCACCGTGTTTCTACAGTAGCCCAGAACGGGCAAACCAGACACTGGCTCTAGAATGCGACTTTGTTTTTACGCTGAAGCATTAACTTGAATTTGGTGGCGCTGTTGCTCTAGTTGGAAGAAGAATCGGTGGTTGCTTCCGGTGCTTGCTGACCATTTTGTGTTGTGAGAAGTTTGAGAACCCAAATTTTGACAAATGTCATATGTATTATTTAACACAAGTGAAAGTGAGGGAGGGTGAATCCTCACCGTCAAAGAAGAGAAAACATGAAGCAAAACCAAATTGGGACAGTCGATAGCAAAAAACCTGACGGTCACCGTAGGTTCTACTACATGCTTGGAAAGGGACAAGAGAGGGAGGGGGATTCAGCTGGTTCCAATCTTCAACCTCACCACTAGATGCTACTAAATCTTATATACTACACCTTTTAAGAAAAGTTAACATTTTGAGACATGAGGTTTTGTTGTAGTGGCAGCAATAAACAACCACAGGTGATACACAGCCTTGATGACTATTAGCACCCCTGGTAAAAATGAGGAAAAGATGCTTAAGTCATCACAGTATAGTAATTTTTTTATGGCTGCTGCCCACCTGTCTTATTCATGAGACCTTATCGTGCATGTTTGACTTGAATTACATTATGTCTATATGATGTCTGAACATTTTAATGTGTTTGTACATTTAGTTCCTGCTAAAGCTGCACCGGTGACTGAACAGGTACCAGCAGAAGCCAAGAAGACCAAACCAGCATCTGCACCCAAAGCCAAGGTGAGCTTCCTTAATCTCTCACTAGCACTAACTAAGCTCCTGTCTAATGCTTTTCATTCACTTTTTTTTTTCCTTTTTCTTTATATATTGAAGCATTTTGTCACACATTTATCCTGAAATAGCACAGAATTTCTGACCTGCTGCCTGGTGTGTTTTAGCACTTTCGCTATTATACTTTGCTTAAATTGTTGGCATGAAATGCTAACTGAAGGTTTCCTCTTTTGCTGTGTAAACATGTTTAAGAGTGGAGTTTTTACATAGCTATCTTCTCAGGAGCTGGACACCAGCGCAAACACGAGTCTGAATAGCAGTCTGGAGAAAGAAAACACTAGTTTCAGCGGTAAATCGAAAAGCCGCTCCAAGACAAAGACTGGCAAGGTACTGAGGGTTGAGCCGGCTGTCATCTGGGTAGAAAGGACACGGTGTCGCACTAAGTTTTACTGCAGTCACTGTAGTGGGCGTTTGCTTAATCCTGTCTGTATACACAACTGTTTTTGTTGCAGTGGGTCTATTTGCACATTTTCTTTCTTGTGGCTTTTGGGTTTAAGTTTCTGGATTTCTTGCTCTTTGCATTGTTGCAAAATATCCATTTCAGTATAGATCAGATTCACTAAAAATGCACACTTGAATGAAGAAAATGTGTTTTTGTCCATACAGTGCTTATTTTAAAAGCTTTATTTATGCAATGTTTCGACCTGTGCAGTCTTCATCAGATAATTTAGATAGCTGTGGAGATGAGAGGTGCTGTGATCATGACATCTCGTCTTAGTGCTTTGTGTAGTTCTGTAACTCTGAGAGGATTGTAATGATGCTTGTGTATATGGAGTGCCCCACTGGGGAATTAGGAGAAATAAGGTTGACTGGTGTTTACTGCAGTTGTGTAGCCTACTTTTCTATTGATTTTGGTGTGAGTGTGAATTTTTTTTAAATACAGTTAGAGAATAATTGAAGAAAATTAAAGAAATTGTTTTTTGGTTTATCACCTTGCCCCATCTCTAAAACATCTTCTGAACATACCACCCCCCATGCAAAATAATCACCAGATATATTATCTTTCACCTCCTCTTCCCACCACCCCACAATCATTGAGAGAAACCTCTCAATTAGAAAATTGTCACCATACAGAAGGAAAATGCGTTGTGGTTTACCATTCATGTTGCATTTCTGGACCATGCTGACCAGTAGGCACTTCTGTTCCTGCTTTGACTCTTCACCTTTTGCTTCAGGTTGCAGTGAAGAAGCCCTCCGGAAAAGCTGAGGAGGATCGATCTGGCCCCATCTTCATGCTGGTGCCCAACAGCAAAGAGCAGCGTGTCAAAGAGGAGAAGAGTCTAAAGGCATGCTTATTTATTCTCGCTTATTTACCAAGACCACTTGCACTCCAGATTTAGAGTGAAGGGGAATTCCACCAGTCATTGCGTAATTCACTCAGATTTCTTTACAGTGGTGGTGATATGAACCAGCGGTCACCATGACGACAACAACAGACATTTTATTTACTATCCAAAACCACCAGTGAACCTACATGAGTCTTCTCAATCGTGTCAATCTGAAAAAAAGTTTTCTTGGTAGAGCTTTAAAAGCATTAAATTCTTCAGCTGTCTGGTTCCTATCACCACCACTGTGAACATTTCTGACTCGGTAAGTTTGTCTAGAATGAGGCGTTTCACACCAAACCACTCAATGTCTGTTTACATCATAGCCACTTAATGATGCAGAAAAATTGTGAAATTGGTGGAGTTGCCCTTTAGATACAGTACAATGTTGTATTCGTCTCATAAATTTGCGTGGTTGGTAGGTGCTGAAGTGGAACTTTATTACCCCTCGGGAGGAGTTTGTTGATCAGCTGAAGACTCAGATGGCTCCTTGTGTGGCTAAATGGCTGATGGAGGATCTTTTCCACTCTGACTTCCAGAGACACATCAAAGCCATCGGCACCCTGATGGAGGTGAGTGTTTGGAGGTGAATGCATTTGGTGTCTGAGGATTGCTTCTCAAGTTTTAGCACTGGAGCTACAAGGCTAATGTAGCTAGCATCAAGATCACTGCACACCGAAACAATCACTCTCCTCAAACTGTGTGGTGTTCAGTTTCTCTAATAGTCTAATGTGATTTGACACCTGTATGACTCACGGTTATCTATAAACATGGACTAAAGTATGTCAGTTAAATAGTAACCTGGATTTTGTCCTTTTGTCTATTCTGGGTGTAGATTTAATATAAATTTAAGTTCACCGAAATGTTCCTTTACCGTTATCCAATCAAAGCATCAGCAATACATTAAATGCACCGCTGTGTAAGACTAACAGCATTAGTCAGCTTTGAGTGTTCAGGTGCCCAATTAGGGGTTGGCAATATGGCAAAAATATCAGAATGCTTCAGGTCATTATCACAGTAGTTAATTTTTCTGAGATGTCGAAAGTTATAACAGACAAAATAGAACCTCTGGTGCTATTTTTATTATTATTATTAAATATTAATAATAAAACCTTCAACTATGATTGTTTTTTAGACTGCTGAGCTAAATCCTCTTAAACAGCCCAATTCTGCTCATGCTGTAAAGAAACATTTGTACTGACTGTATCCACCATATATTGTGACATAATTTATCATGATAAAGATCATTGCCCACTCCTGTACACACTTTTTTTTATTTATTTATTTATTTTTTTCCCCCTCCATCTTTCTGATTAATTGCTGGGGTGATGAGGCAATCCTGTTTGGTGGGGGATTCTGCAGTGTTGGGACCTTCACTCAGACTTCTGATGACATGTACAGGGGCCATCTGACCAGCACTGACCACAGAAATCTGCCTTTTAAATGTTTCTTTTTATTTATGCATTTTTCTTAGTTTATTTATTAGCCTGTTTTGAATAAATTGATTTGTTTGGGGAAATGTGCTTACCCTAAATGTAGTTGATCAGATAAGCTGTGTTTTGGCATCTGAAGTTTGCTTCTTTAGTTTTGGCACTGGAGCTACAAGGCTAATGGAAAATATCCCTCAAGTAATGTCATGCTGACAGCATCCCTAAATCTCTGTACATTCTCCTTAAACTATGTGGAGCTCTTACGTAATGTCTAATACACTGATATTAGTAGTAAGTAATATGCTGGTTCATACAGAATTCTTTTTAAGGTGTTGATTTTGTCATCAGATTGTAATGAATTAGCAGGGAAAAGAGAGAGGAAGGAAAAGCCAGTCTCTTGTGGTTACCCATTAGCGTTAGCCAGCATAAAGACTAGCTGGTTCTCCATGTGCTCCTTACTCATCCAGCTGCTTCCGGCAACGCCGGGGTCTCAGCTCCGCAGCTTCTCAGCTAAAACTGACGGAGTGAACGGCTGTAATATTTACTAAACTCCAGCAGCGTCAGACGCTCAGAGATTAAAGTTCGAGTGTGAGAGACGCACATACGAGACAAATGACTTTCAGACGTGGAACAACATTCAGCGGTGTTTAGAGAAGCCGCTGTGGGCTTTACATACTCAAGCAATACTGAGATGTCATTCCTGTTTTTACTATTTCGCCCAATAAAAAAAGTTTTAGATTTACTTCAGCTGATAAGTATGGTTCTTATTAAGAGTCAAGGGACGTCCAGAATAATATGCCATTGTTTAACTACAAGAAAGGTTTACTTAAGCATCCAAAGTGGTTTTGTTTAAAAATATACATAAATTCACCATACTGTGATGTATACTGTTTTATTAAATGTTAAGAACACAATCATAAATTAATATTTATTTTATGTAATTATTCTTTTAATAACATTTTTATACACTTTTACTAACTCGCGGTTCCTTACACTGTATGAAAAATGTACTTCTTGGCGATGGATATTTACGATGGATATTGGCTGTAACACATTCTATGTACTCCAGAATGTTTTGCCTTTGTGCAAGTTTTATTCAGTTTATTCTGTTTTATTCAGAAGATTTGCAAGTCATTTTTTTTAAAAATACCTTTTGGGGCTCTTTCATTTTTATGGGTCTGCTCTGCAGCTAAGTGTAGTGTAAAAATTGTCCTGTACCAAATTTTCCCAACTTCTTTGAATGTATTTATTTCCCCCTCCCTTGTTTAGCACTTGGAGGCTGAAGCTGAGGCCACAGTGAGCTGTCTGGACCTGATCCTGAAGTGGTTTACTCTGCGCTTCTTTGACACCAACACCAGTGTTCTGATGAAGGCTCTGGAGTACCTGAAGCTCCTCTTCGTCGCCCTCAGTAACCAGGATTATCACCTCACTGAGCACGAGGCCACTTCCTTCATCCCCTACCTGATCCTGAAGGTGAGTGGATGGAGAAATGCTGTTTACACAGCCTCAGGCCAGGCTGAAGACAGATTTCCATGTTTGTTTCATAGACTGCTCAAACCAAGGGCTCTAGTGATGTAGATGCTACATGTAGCCACTCTGCGAACTGTTTCAGGTTCCAGTATTTGTATACTGTAATCACTATTCAGGGATTTGATAGTAGTTTAGGTCAGATTTGAAAGCATCTTAAATCAGAATTGAAAATGTCAGATTCGGTGTGTTTTTTGCTGTTCACACTGACACATGACACATCTGTGTTACATATGAAGGAAAAAAATCTGATTTGGGCCACTTTTACCCGCTGTGTAAAAGTAGCCTAAGTGACTGATACAGTGACCGAGAAGACTGAGGTTATGTGGAGAGTCTCTAACTAGCCTAACTACTCTAGCTGATGTTAGAGGTTTTTTTTTTTCTGGACCTGGCTGTTTCTCTGATGAAATAACTTGTTGGCGCATCTCCTCTGTGAATGAAGAGGCCTTGTGTTGAGTCCTCGTCAGCATCCGACGCTCTGCCTGTTGGCTCATTAGCTCATATGAAGTATCAGCTTCTCATCCAGCATTTCGTGTGTGTGTGTGTGTGTGTGTGTGTGTGTGTGTTACAAAATTACATTTTTTTTTCTTAAGTAAGCTTACATTCCTACATTTAATTTAATTAGTTTTTTTTTCCCCCCCCTCCCACTCCTCTTCCACATGAATTTCTGATCTGTATTTCTGTTCTTAAATATAAAGTTCAGTCAGAATGCACAAGAGTGGTGTCAGAACAGAACTGGTGTTCATTTTCAAGATTTATTTATTTAATTTTAAGCAAAACATTTGAACTTGTACTATGAACTTGTGAATTATATGTGAAATTCCTGTTTTAGTGTCTTTCTGAATATTTTCCTACACTTAATAATGCAAGTCCTGGTAATTATCACTGATTCTAATGCAGTTAGCCAAAAAACTACATTTCCCATAAACCCCTGCTCACCATTCAAGTTAGTGTTTACAGTACTGACTAGCAAGGTAGCTTGGCTGTAGCAGCCATTAGCACCGTTTAGCCTGTACACTCTGCTGTTAAAGATGAAAGTGAAGTGCTTTTGGATGGACAAAAATCATTACCCTTGAACACGTGAGTGATTTTGGTTGATCTGTGGGTTGGATCACCGATGGGGTGAGTGTGAGATCTACAGGAGATCAGTGAGAAGCATGGTTAGCTTTTGTACAGTGAGGAAGCCCACATATCTGATTAATTCAGTAGATTCCCATGTTACTCTACTCTAATGGATTTGTAGTTTAGATTCCCACGTTACTCTGCTCTAATGGAGTAGTTTGCCAAAAGTAGACTGTTAAATCAGTGTTTTACATTTTTGAAAAATATTCTGACTGTACTATGTCCAAATGTAACATCAAATCCGGTCACTGATGCTGAATCTGCAGGTTACCCTGCTGCTGCTGAATCGAGTTTGCTTTATTGGCATAACAAATTTACGTTTGTCTTGTCAAAGCAGTGCAAAAATTATATTTTAAAAGTTAAAGAAAAGTACAAAACCATGACTGATAACAATACAATAATGAAGAAGAGAAAGTGTTAAGTAATAATACAAGTGTAAATAAAATAATAAAACAACCTATTTGATATTTCTGCAGTATATGAGAGAAAAAAGTTAATTATCATACATTTATGTGATTAAGGGGAGGGAAGGTGTGTGTGTGTGTGTGTGTGTGTGTGTGTGTGTGTGTGTGTGTGTGTGTGTGTGTGTGTGTGTATATATAATATATCATATACACACAATATATATATACACACACACACACACACACACACACACATACATACATACATACATACATACATACATACATACAGTGAATAAAAGAAAAGGTTGTTATATGTGGCGGTCACTTACTTTCCTGGAGAGTGTGTGACGATCGTACATATATCTGGCTGTAGTGGACCCCCTCCTAATATAATCAATCATTTATCATTGTCTCCTGATGTCCTGAAGCTATTTATCTGTTTTTCAAATTAATTAAAATATTTACCTGATTTCCTGATTTAAAATGGTTACCTGACTCTTTTCTGGTTCCAGGTGGGTGAGCCGAAGGATGTTGTGCGTAAAGATGTGCGCAGCATCATCAGCCTGTTGCGGAGGGTTTATCCCGCCAGCAGAGTTTTCCCGTTCCTCATGGACGGCACTAAGTCCAAAAACTCTAAACAGAGAGCCGGTGAGCTAACTTGGACTAACTTCTCCTAAAATGCCCTCTTTAGAATGGCTGTTAGCACATCAGTCCAATAAACCATTTGTTTCAGCATTTTTCTCAGACCCTCAAATGTTGCTGGTTTGTGCTCTTAAGTGAACAGCTAGACGACATCTCGCTGCTTATCTAAAGAGCAAAAAACACACAGTTGAACCCTTTTTTTTTATTTTATATATATCTTGAAGAAACTTTTTGAACTATCCTTAACTGCCTTTTTTAAAAAACCCAGCCAACTATGTGGGTTGAAACCTTCTGCTGATTTACCAATTTCACTATTTTATTTGTCCTTTGAATAATTTTCTTGTTCTCTTTGGATTCTGCAGAGTGTCTGGAGGAGCTTGGCTGTCTCGTGGGTTTGTGTGGAATGTCTGTTTTCCAGCAGACGGCAACAAAGGCTTTGAGAGAGATCGCTGTTCATATCGGCGACCGCGACACAGCTGTACGCAACGCCGCTCTAAACACGGTGGTGGCGGCTTATAACGTCTGTGGAGAGCAGGTTTACAAGCTCATTGGCCAGGTATGTTGCTTCTATCACAGCTGCTCTTCCTCTCCACTTCTCATTGGGGCCAGAAATTGTCATACTTATTTTAATGTAATAAAGATTCTGGGGCCAGATTCATGAACGTGTCTTAAGAAGGAAAGGTTGTTTCTCAACTTCATTCTACTATTCATAGTTCTTAAATTAATATCTTCTTTTCTTAACTATTTTATGAAGAATAATTCTAAGGACCTGTGGTATTCCGGAATAGAGTATGTTCTTAAATTTTTTCTTATTCTTACGACAGGCTCACACTCATTTCAGACTAGGGGTTTACGAGGTGAGCATCTAAATTAATCAAACTCAGACACTGCCTGTGCTGCTCCTCGTCCTCATCGTTTGCTTTCTGCAGTCACCCCACAACTATCGTATTTTCCAAGGAGGATTTTTTTTCCCTGTAGACTGTCTCTTCCACTGTCACCTGTAGTTCTTGTTTGCAAATTTTTTTTTTTAAACATTTTAATGCCCCCCCCCCATTTTGCTCCTCTGAGCAGATTAACCTAATAACATGAACACTTAATACAAATTCAAAATGTTTCTTACATCATTTATGGTAAGCTGTAAAATGCAATGTAGCCTACATAAGATTTTCTTAGGAAATTCTCTTAAGTTCTCATTCTCTTAAGGTCTTAATTATTATTTTTTGAGAATAGCATTTAAGAACATTATGAACTTCTTAGTGTTTGTCTTAAGAACCTTAGCAAGTTTTTTCTGAAAAAAGCTTTTGTGAATCTGGCCCCTGATGACTAATTTAATTTAAAATAGGTCTGTATTAAACACTTGTAGTGTTATGTGAAATTGTAAGAAAGCTTTAATGTTTACCAGCTCACTTCATGCAGTTCTGCTTGGCTTGTGTAGAAACAAGCATTGCTTTAACATTCTTCTCTGCTCCCTGAAGCTGTCTGATAAAGATATGAGCATGCTGGAGGAGAGGATTAAGCGCTCTGCGAAGAAACCCTCTACTACGGCTGCACCTACCAGCAAACCTCCAGAGGAGAAGGTAGCTGCGTCTGCCAACGCCAGCGTTCTGAGGAAACCTAGTTCAGACCAAGCTCCGCTCAAACTGAGGTACATCCTCCGTTCTGGTCGCTCTGACCTGCTTTTAAAGCCACAGTTTGGTGAAATCCACATTTTCCACTTTACCTTTGAATTTTATCAGCTAAGACATGTTTGGTGGCTCAAGTTTGCTTCTTTAGTTTGAGGGCTGGAGCTACAAGGCTAATATAGCTATCAAATAATAGTAAATAGCCTAAATGTTTAATTACTATCTATTTCACGGTAGAAATTTTTGATAATTAATTAAAAATCACTCAGTGCCTTAACTTTTGTAAAACAGCACAAGTTACAAAGTATATCAGAATATTTTTGCTAAGTTGTAACTGCAAAGACTAAGTGACTAGACTCAAGGAAGGTGTTCACAGTAGATTGCTGCTCTATAAGCGAGGCGACCCTCAACTTGGTACCCGCTCATGCCTCTGTGAAGGCCCACTTCACCCAAATTTACAATTTAACAGAAGCCACAAGTGTGCTGCTGCACTGAACGGGCTTTTTGTCTTAAAGCTGCAGCAGGTAAAATAATTTTGTCATTTATTAAAACTGTCACTGTGTTCTGACTATAGCTGCAACAATGATTTAACAACTCATTGATTTTGATCACCAATTATTTTGGTATTTGTTTATTTTGTGTTTATTTTATTAAAAGTAATTCTGATTCTGGCTTCATAAATTTTAATACTCCTCTGTGATACCAAACTGATTTATCTTTTGTAGTATTTTTCAGGAAGTTTGAGTTGTCCAGTCTGGCTAGCGCACTTTTTTTTTTTGTTTTTGTTTTTTTAGGGGTCCAAGCACCTTTAGGTGCATGGAACCCTATTGCTTTTGCTAGGATTCTTCTTCTTCTTCTTCTTCTTCTTCTTCTTCTTCTGCTTCTTCTTCTGCTGCCCTTTGTGGAGAAGACACCGTAAGTCATCCAAAGACCAAACTTAGAGGGTAGGTGTAGATTCCCCCCCACTACTCAGGCAACTGAAATGACCCCAGTTGGCCTGATGGTGGCGCTATAGAGCAACATTTTATGCTTTTGCCCATATCTCCTGGGGGCTACACTCAAAATTCTTGCTTCTACATAATCCCTGGTTTATTCTACATCAACGCTCCACTGCATGTTTTTAGCTCCACCCCCATATTTTCCATCATAATTGGCAAAATATGTGGCATCTACATTTTTCTACTAGTCTGAGGTTTTTCAAGATATCAACACAATATTGGTCTCAAAATGTTCAGGGGAGTCTGGAGGTCAAGAATTATCAAATTTGAATATTTGTAAACATTATGGCTGCCACATGCCAATTAAGCTCCTTTGGGTTTGGCTTAATTCACATAAATGGCTACAGATCGAGATTGCTTTGGCCAATTCTCATCAAACTTATCAGGCCTGTACCCCACATGATTCTGTGGAAGCCCACCGAGTTTGACACCGATTACTCAATAGGGGGCGCTATAACAACCAAAAATATGTTTCTCAGCAACCGCTCGGCCAATTGAGCTGAAACTTTGCATGCTGTATCCATGGCCTAATTTTTACATGGTCTGTTAAGGACAACTGAATCATTGGATTAATATGGCCACCACTGGCCAATGAGCTTTCAACAGACATTTGGAGGGCTTAGCATTGGCCAATCACAAAAATTAAATCATATGTCCACATAGGCAAGCTCTAGTAGCCTATAAAGTTTGATCTCAATTGGCCATGAGGTGGTGCTATAGAGCATAAACAAGAATAAGTCCTATAAATTTTATCATATGTCAAAATAAATCAATACGTATCATTGCTTACACTGAGAATGACATTTTATCCAATACAAGTCTTTTAAAATTCTGTGAAGTTTTTCTTTGATTGATCAATGTTTGAAAATGGAGCTTTTTGAACTAGTCTGTGGATTTTAAGACAATTGTTTCAATTTTGGTTTTAAAACAATCTGTGGAGTCCGCAGGTAAATAATTATCAAAAAAAAACCTTGACTTTACTACAAAGAACAGCCATGAGACACCAATGAATCTGTTCGGCCTGGCCTTTTCTGACTTAGGGGGCTATAGATTCTTTAGTTTTTAGGTGATTGTGATAAATCTTGGTAAACTTGTACAATACTACTTTCTGAGGAAACATGCAAAGTTTCATTTAAATTGATTGTCATAAGCCCTTACAATACTTAATTTAGTGTGTAATTATTAAAATGTCATTATATTCTTCTATGAATGAAATAAAGAAAAGATAACGGTTTCAAATTACACATCTTATTAACGTCTAAAACATTGCAATTATGTGTTCCAAAATTGCACAGGAAATGTGGAAATTTGAGTTAAAGCCAGGATGGCCACATAATTAATAAGGGTAATATCTTTTCTGCCCAGCAGAGGGAGCATCAGCATTAAATGCAAATTATGACTTCAAACATACATATGGTCATAGTCTTTGCAACATCTATCTTGCGGCAAAGGAACTTTATGAATTTTATGTATTCCACTGAGCCAAGCAGTTTGAAACAGCAGTTTGAAACTGATGTTTTCATACTGCTTGCTGAAATGTTTTTGCAACGTCTCAAACTTGGTCTCTAAACAACCGTCAAAGTCTCAAGATCAATAATTATTTAAAAAAAACTTGGCTTTTAAGCACAATTTTATTGCAAGTTATGGATCAATCAGTTCGGTCCAGCCTATTCGGAAACAAGGGACCACAAATCTATCACTTATGCTCTGACTGTGGCCAAAAATGAGAGATACATTGCAAATAATCAGGTGAGGAAACCCATGAGATTTGGCTTGAATTGGCTTAAGTTGGCTCTTACAATGCTCAATGTACTGCCAACAATCTAAAATGTAATTATTCGTGTCTAAGAGTAAAATAAAGACATGACTATTGTTTCAAATTATGCCTCTTAATAAGAATTAACACTTTGCAAATATGTGTAGGTTGCTTAACTGTACAGGAAATCATAATTTGATTTCAGCAAATTTTAATTAGAGCAAGAGGTGTTTTATATTTCTCTGGCCACCAGAGGGAGCCCAGTCAGTAACTGCAAATGTCAATGTTGAACTAATTAATAAAATATACAATTAGTGGAAAGCTTTACTGTATGTCTGTAGGTCAAGACCATTTCTGTATTTTATGCTTTCCACCGTGCCTGACAATTTTGCAAATACAAGTCTTTTAAAAAAAACTTTGTTTTTTTTTCTATTTTTCTTGGATTGTCTCAAACTTGGTTTCTAAACAACCGTTGAAGTCTCAAGATCAATAGTTGTTTAAAAAATCTTGCCTATTAAGCACAATGTTATTGCAAGTTATGGAATAATCAGTTCAGTCCTGCCTATTCGGAAACAAGGGACCACAAATCTGTCACTTATGCTCTGATTGTGACAAATCGATTTGTATATTTATAATAATCAGTTGAGGAAACGTATGACATTTGGCTTGATTCTGCCTATGTTAGCTCTTACAGTGTTCGATTTACTGCCAAAAATCTAAAATGTAATCATTCCCGTCTAAGAATAAAAACAATAAAAACATGACATTTGTTTCAAATTATTCATCTTAATTGTCACTTTGCAAATATGTGTAGGTTGTACTGTACAGGAAATCCTATTATTTAATTTCAGCAAATTTTGTTCAGAGCAACAGTGTTTCTCTGGCCACCGGATGGAGACAAATCAGTAACTGCAAATGTCATTGTTGACATACATGGAAAGCTTTACTGTATGTCTTTAAGCAAAGAACATTTCTGAATGTTATGCTAACATCCACTAAGCCTAACAATTTTGCAAATACAAGTCTTAAAAAAACTAAGTAATACCACAGTTGAAAAAAGATGGAGAATAGACGTTTCTTACTAATTCTTGAGTTTAAATAAAATTTAAAACAATCATACTGACGGTATCATAACTTAAGCGCATTGGCTTAAATTGGTGTGAATTTGCTTATTCTGCTAAAAATACACCAATAATTGTCTGAATATAACCAAATTTGACAAATATACAAAATGTCAAATTAAGAGTGTATTATGATAATTTCATTTGGAATTGTACTTCTCAGTAGTTACAGTAATTGCAAGGTGTGAACCAATTCCCAAAATGGTGCTTGGTTTCTTATTGTTCTATACCAATAAATTCTCTCCAAAAAACCAGGTCTGCTGTGGGTGTCTTGTAGCTCACCATGAAAACATCTGCCTTTGAAAATTAAGGTCGTGGGTTTGATTCCCTGTCACAGATTTTGGATGGTGCTGTAGCAGTTGTTGTGAACACATGCTTAATTATCTTAATGTTAATGAAGGGTCTTTCTTAAAAATCTGACGATTTTCTGCCTTCTATGTCCAGAGACATAATTTATTTATGCTGCTACTTTGTCCTAAAATGGTGCGTGGTTCCTTGTTGCTTCCTTTTAATAAATTGTTTCAAAAACTGCAATTTTGCCGCAGAGGTCTTGTGGCTCACCATTAGAGCCTCCGCCTTTGAACTCTAAGGTTGTGGGTTCGAATCCCTGTCATGGATGTTAAAATGAGTTGCGTAGATTGTAGCAGATGTATCACCTAGTGGGCTTAATCATAGGAAAAGGAGATCTTTCTTAAAAATGTAAAGATCTGCTGCCTTCTACGACCAGGGGCCACTACTTTACTCCTCGATGTCTTCCTGGTGCTTGAACCCCGCAGATTGCCGCTTGCAGCTATATTTTTATTTATTTATTTATTTTTCCTTACCTTCTTTCTTTCTTGTGTGGAGGTGAAGAAATTAAGAATAAATGTTTTCCGAGATTAAATTTCCTTTTGGAGTTAATAATAGTGATAAACACAGGTTACCTTTACTTTCTCTGCAAGACTGCAGATTGACACTTCATCTAGTCAAGCTCTGTGTGTGTGCGCGTTTGTTCAATTAAATAATATAGCATTAACATTAAACATGCCATGAAGTCCACAAAACATTATGATGGAAGGTCCATATGGCTTAGGTGTGAAATATTAAAACATCTGAGTTGAAAATATGCCTTAATTACAGTAATCTCACCTTAAACCTCACTGAATCCATGTCGTTAGCAGGTTTAAGATAAGCCTCAGTTAAACCTGATATGCAGTGCCATCTAGTGGCAGATTTTGTTGTTAAATGACAGCAGTTTGGTTTAGTTCAAACTGCAGCTTTCAAGGACAGCATTGGAGTTTAATAACCCACGTGACTCATTCAGTTTTAAACTTGTGTTAAACCCTAAGCTGCAGCTAAGCTAATAACAGTGCAATTACCCCTCTAACACTTACCCAGGTGCAAGTACCCTGTACTTGTTTTTCTTTTCTCTAATTAATTGTTGGGTTGATGATGTGGTCCTGGGACCTTCAGTGTTTCCTCTAAGATTCATTTCAGCAGGAGTTGGGGGCAGTTTTACACAAATCCCCCCCCCCAAACCCCCCTCCAAACACACATCAGCGTCAGCTTCTTTTCCACGCTGTCCAGCTCACTGCAGATCAGGCTCAGGCCATCACTTACCTGTTCCAAACAGCTCCTTTTGACCCACTTTATTCACCTTTCTGACCACCACTGTCTGCAAAAGTCCACAAAATGTAAAACTAAATTATTTTATTAACATTGCACACTGTCGGGAGGTTAGGTTGACCTTATTTTGCAAAGGTAGCCAGTTCACTGACCACAGCTTGCTAAAACCGTGTAAACAGTCCTCTCCACTGATGACCGCTTCTTTCGGCACTTCAGCTCAAGTTTCCTCTGACAGTTCGTGCAATGTCTGTCTACTTCCTGTAACCATCGTTTCAAATTTAAAAGCCCCGTGCAGAGTTTTTCTTAATGACATATTTTATAATCCTGAAGCAGTGGTTTATTTCATACAGTGTATATGTAGATATATCACACCGTTTTGAATTGACAGTTTTTCCACAGGTTTTGCTCCAAAAAGTTCTGCACTGATCCATACTTGACAAATTTTTCTTGTCTATTTATTTCTCTCTCGCTCTCGCTCTCTCTCTTGCAGTGAGATCCGTAGTCAGAATGCAGTGGAGCAACAGCAGCAGCAGCAGAGCTCAGCCGTGCCCCGCGAGTTCCAGCTGGACCCGAATTTCATAGTGGATCTGCCTGAGACAATCATGCCTGACCTGCTGGTTGTGGAGGCGGCTGACCCCTCGCCTCTCGACGTGCCGGAGTTCAAGTTCAGGTGCTTTAAGTCTTCGTTTTAAACCATAAATCTGAGTACACATTGGGCAGATACTGGGACGGTCAGTTCAGCTTTTATTTATTTATTTATTTATTTATTTAAATGACTATTTTATTTTGCAGGTTACCTTCAATCTCCAGCAGCAGCAGCCACGACGAATCAGTTTCCAACATCAATCTGATCATCTCTCAAGTTGCCAGCTCAGATGCCAAAACCAGTATTCAGGGCTTAACAAAGGTAGGAGCTGTGCATCTTCTCCTTTTAATGCTTTGATGTTTCTGATTATCTGCTATAGATCTTGTTTTGTTTTCACAGCAATTTGATTGTGACTCAGGAGCCGTTTTTAAAATTGCACTGAACCAAGGGTGTGCGATGTCAAAAATAACATGATGCTTGAACATGTTCATGATGCACATGATGTTTGTAACTAAATGCAAAACTGCTAATAAGCAGAGTTAAAGCTCTGTAGAATCAAGATATTGACACAGTATCTCATATCATGGTATTGCATTTGAGAATGTGTGTATTGAACAGATTCAGTAACAAAAGTTTACCTTTTTCTCTCCCCCTCACGCTGCCTTTTCCTCTCTTCTGTTCTCAGATAGTGGAGATTTTGCATCAGGAGAGCCAGTGGAAGCTGATGTCAGGTCATGTGGATGAGTTTATCGTTGCTACACTCATGCAGCTCCGCCTGCTGGCCAGCAGGCGCATGGTAGACGAGAGACTGGACAGACAGCAGCAAGTGGAGAAACTCTACAGCTCGGTCATTGAATCCCTCAACTCGGTGAGAGCGGCACTGCGGTCTTCATCTAAGTGGATAAGTTTAGCTTTTTTCTGGGAGAACACGCTCTGTGTAGCTGGAGTGATGAGGCGATCCTGTTTGGTGGGGGATCCTGCAGTGTTAGGACCTTCACTCAGACTCCTGACGACATACACAGGGGCCATCTGACCAGCACTGACCACAGAGAAGCAAATCAAAGCAGTGTGTTAAAGAAATGGTTTTAAGGCAAACTCCTAGAAGGCTGACTTGCTGTAATCTAAATGGGCAAAAATACATAACAGCATCTTGAAGCCTGAATTTTGTCTGTGCTTTAGTCCATGTTTTGATAATATTGGCTGTGTTTACATGCAAAACTTTTCACCAGTCTTATTGAGTTCACTCAGATTTTAGATTCACACTGAGGTTTATATGCTCACTCTACTCTACAATCTTTGGTTTATTTTCTTCATATGCTTGTGATGAAGAAAAGGACCTTAATACATTGAAACAACATTAAACTAAGATTATACAATGGTTACTTAAACGGTGAAAATTCTCACATTTGTGGGTTTACCCACCTCATTCAATTGGATAGTACTCCGAATGGTCTCAATCGGACCAGTCTATTCCAATTGATGTTTTACATGGATGTACTATATGCCGATTGAGCGATTAGTCAGGTTATTAATTATCAGTTTGCATGTAAATGTGGCTAGTGTGCCACACTTTGTCACAATGTGTCAAACTGCCTAATCAAGTGTGTTGGAGATTAAAAAACAGCTTTACATGTGTCTGTGTGTGTGTAGCTGGTCTTAGCAGGTAAGCTGGCTCAGGAGACCTCTCCAGGTGTGCTGAAGGATCTGGTGCATGCACTCCTGACCCTGATTTTGGACCCTCAGCACCAGCAGAGCTCAGGGCAGTCTCAGCTCATCCGCTCTGTTCACATTGTGCTTTCGGCTCTGTTCAAGACTGCAGACCCCACTAACACACTCAGGTAATACACAAACATTTTGGACACCTACACTCTTAAAAATGATGGTTCTTCAAGGGTTCTTTAGAAAAGAATGGTTCTACACAGAACCATGAACACTCAGAATTGATTATGATTAAAGGGTTCTGTGCATCGTGAGTGTTCTTCAGATTGATGGAAAATGTGCAAGAATGTGCTGTAGATGATTCTATATAGAACCTTTTTGAAAAGGGTTCTATATATTACTCAGATGGGTTTTCTGTTACAAGCTTGACATTGTAACAATAGAAGAACCCTTCTGGGTGTTATAGAGAACCATTTGAGAAGGTTCTATATAGAACCATATACAACACATTCTCCATCAGTCTGAACAATTTCATGGTGCAAAAAACCCTGTAATTGTGCAAAGGGTTCTTTGGGTGTTCATGGTTCTGTATAGATGTTCTTACAGTGACTGACTCTCCCCCTGTCTCTGTAAACTCCAGTGCCTTGCTGATGCTCCTACAAGAGGCCTATAGCTCAACTGCCTGCTCACCGGAGTTCTCTGAAATGGTCATGAAGGTAATACCATCTACTCTGTGTTCCTACTTGTTGCATGCACGTTTTCAGTGCTTGCCTATTTATTTGTTTATTTTTTTTATTTTTATTTTTTTTGTCAATATCCCTTCAGTGCCACTGGCGTATGATCAAGCTTCTTCCAGAGAAGGTCGAGGCACTCTATCTGGACCGAATTCTTCTAGACATCCACAACTTCATGAAGCTCTTCCCTAAAGAGATGCTCAAACAGAAGCCGAATGATATGGCCCACCGCACAGTTAGAACTCTGCTGCATACCCTCTACAGGCTTGTAGGGTCGAAGGTACAGAAAATATTGCTGCATTACTCCACACAGTAACAAGTAAACAAATGGAGACTTAAGCCCTGTTGGATCTGGATTAATTTTACTTGGGAGGTCATTTTTCGTGATTATCTATGAGATCTGTGATTTTTAATTTGGTAATAATCTGCTGTCAGTGTAATTTAAACAGTAATTATGGCAAAGTGGTTTCAATCCTGTATGAATCTGGGGTGAGTGTGTTTTTTACAGTCTGACTAATGATGGGAGTGATTTTAATCCAGTATGAATCTGCAGCGTGTGTAGTTTTTACAGTCTGACGGTAATAATTGTGGAGCGATTTTTAATCCGGTATGAATCTGCTGTGGGATATATATATTTTTTTTCCTCTCTGTGCAGTGTAATATTTGATATTTGGGGCTCAGTGTTATTGCTATTGTTTGTCAGTAATGTGACGTTCATTTTTGTGCACAGATTATGGATCATTTGAGCCTGATTGAAAACCGCAGTGAGTCTGAGGTTGAGGCTCATCTGAAGCGCGCTATGAAGCACTCCATCCCACCACCTTCCCAAATGGTATGTAGTCACCAGTGAAAGTGTTGTTTACACTGCATTTGTCTGATTTTCCACTTGGCTTCCAAATGCCAGCAAAGTTTTGAATTATTTTAGAATTATGAAGTATTTTTAAAAAGCATCTCTTTACTGTATGATGTGGTCCTAGGTGTGCATTTTGGGTGTTTTGTGCTTATATAATCAGGCAGGTGCTATAAAAATGCTAAAAGCTCGCACCAGTGATGAACTATTATACATCTTTGTATTATATGCATGAACGTATAAAGCTACAAATTTTGGTGAATTTCTCCTTTAAGTGTAAACATGAGTTAATATGGACATAGAGATGAAACGGTTACCGGTTTGACGGTAAACTGCGGTAAAATTATTGACAGTAGTACCGTTTGAACTTTAAAGTGTTCTTAAAACCGCGGTCGATTACCTTATCGCTGTACAGAATCAAACAAACGCAGAATCACTCCCTCAGATGCAGGTGTGTGTGTGTGTGTGTGTGTGTGTGTGTGTGTGTGTGTAGAGAGGGAGAGAAGGGAGAACATGGCGGAATGTAGTGACAGAGATTCGGAGATATTTTAGCCTTCTAAGAAGACCAAGTCTGATGTTTGGTCATATTTTGGGTTTTATAAGGATGCAGAAGGAAAGTTCATTGAACATGACCACCCTGTCTGCAGAACATGCCGAAAGAAAATAGCGGCAAAAGGGGGCAACACGTCAAACCGTATGAGTCATCTTCGCGACCACCACCCGCTACTTTTTAGAGAATGCAAGGTTAACTTTAATGTAGAAGTCTGTGGGGACTTCGAAATAGAAAATGTCATGGTTTGTGTGGTTTAACTTATGCTTATGGTTCGTTAATAATATAAAATGAAGCTTTTAGCGTGGAAAAAAAAATAATAATAAATCGGTGAATCGACTGTGAATCGAAACTAAAGCTTTCAACACATTTCTGTGGAGCAGAGTCTCCAAAATGAGCTCCGAGTTAAGTCACACAAGCTCTGGAACGAGACGTTGCAAAAGTTCAATCTGCACAGCTCCCTTTTCTCGTCTCGCTTGCAGTGTTTACTTTCTGAGAAGAGAATAACACCGTCTCAAACCACTCAGTGTCCCCTACATAGTGCGCTACTTTTCAAACAAACACAATCATCATTAACAAGCAGTTGAGTTTTAAATAGGGAATTAGTAATCTATTGTTAATGTTGATTATAGATGACTTAGTCGAACATTTCATGCACTCTTTGGATTTGCTTTTTCATGATCCACGAAGTGCACTACATAGGGAAGATAGTGTGCTTTGAGACGGGACCTTGCGCGAGTAAACGCTGCATGCTGCTTTTAGGAAAAGCATAGTTTGAGAGATTAAACTTTAGGAGTGTTTCTGCCGCAGCTCAGATGCACGTTAATTTTAAGTTATGTTTGTTTTAAAACGCTTTAGAGAAGCAGCTCCACAGGTGAAGACACACTGAGTTCTGCACTGTGATTTTGGCTGTTTTTCCTGGTGCACTGTATTGATTAGGGGTACAGCGGCACAATGGCACAATAATGCTGCAGTTGCAGTTAGGACACCCCCCGAGTGCAACACTTCTTAGAAGTAGTAATTTTCCATTAAGACCCACCTCAGAGTTGGTCGAGATTTAATTCTCTATGCAGGGAAATCCCTAGTTATTGTAATTAATAATAATAATAATAATAATAATAATATTAATAATAATAATAATAATAATTATTATTACAACAGTAATAGTAATAACAGTAATAATAACAATAATAACTAATACATTTCCTATTCTTTTGTTTAGAGTATTACAAGTATTGTAAGTAATACAAAAGTAATACTACAAATGTGTTGACTATTTTTTTAATATTTATGCAAACGAAGTGCATATTGCTGCCAATTCTATTTGTGTTAATATAAAAGTTGGTGAAACGAGTTTCAGTTTGTGTATCAGTATTTTTATTTATTTATTTTACTTTTCAACACATTTGAACAATATCGTGATAATACCAATAATCGTGATAATTTTGGTCATGATAATTGTGATATGAAATTTTAATATCATTTCATCTCTATATGGACAATAAGGAGAGTTGGTAGTTTTCTCGCAGTTATATTCAAGCAAAGTCTTTGGAGAGTTATGCTGTTTGACTTAAAAATGAATGCATTGACGTGTATCTGCCTTCTTTTCTACCAAATCTCATCTTTTGTTGTTCTTGTCTTTTAGTCAAAGGACTCTGAGAACATCAGCATAGGGAAGGCCCAGCCCCCCACAGGTTAGACTTCCTTTATTGCCTTGTCTTGGTGCCAAGCCAAATGCTTACAGATGAGATGGGTTATGAAATGTTTGCAAAATTAGAATTTTGCTTTTTTTAAATTATTTTTTTTATTTTATTTTATTTATTTATTTATTTTTTAAAAACCTACAGAGTCTGTCCAGAGCTCAGTGAAGCCTGCAGCCAGTTCCAGCAGTGAGAGCGTGAATCCTGCACACTATCAGGAGAGGCTGAGGGCCCTGAGGCAGCTCTATGGCCTCGGCAACAACTCTAAGGTACAACGTCGCTTACTGCTGCTCTTTAGTTTGCAGTAGGTGTGCACCATAATATCAGAATTGTATCAGTACCAGCAGATGATTGATTTAAAATAAATAACCCACCGCAGCAAAATAAAAAGCCTGGAGACGAGACGGGGTGTGTGGAGTCAGTACAACTTATAAAATATTATTTCAATGGAGTTATGTTCCCTGACCAAAGGTGCTGAGATGTACCCTTGAGGGTTCAACCCCAGTGACAAAAGGGGCACTGCCCCATGACTGTTTAATGCCTTTTATTTCTGTACACTCTCAATTTTTTTTTTTTTTTCCAGAAATGCTGGTGTCTTATGGTTCAAACTTTAGTTTATTTTAGAGTTTGAGGCCTGCTGCTGCTATTGTCACAATTAAGCACAACAGAACACATTTAACAACTGAAAAAACATTTAAGGATTGTTTTATTGATTATATATAGGCTAGCACTTTATAAACTTGTTTTAAAAAGCAATTAATGCTTTCTGTTCGTGCGTAATATTCATAATTACATTTTTTCCCATAATATAAAGGACAGCTGCCATGTTCAGATGTTGAAACATACACTGACATTTTATTATTGTTATTATATTATGATTGAGATTTTTAAATATATTGCCCCCACACATTTTTAATAGTAATTTCTCTTAAATCACTGTAATGTGTATCCTGTTGTATCCTGTGTATCCTGTTGTATCTGAATGCTGATGAGAGCATCTCGGAAGAAAAATTAATTCTGCTTCTCTTCTTTTGCCCAGTCTGTAAACGTGGAGAAGTCCACCCTCCCTGCTGCGGACTCTAAGCCTGCCGTCTCCTCCATGGACATGCTGCAGTCTCAGCTCGCTAAACTCCGTGAGTCTCGGGAACAGCAGGACACTCAAAACGTCTGTCCTCGCAGTCCAGCCCGCATTGCCGGTCCTGCTCCTGACCTCAATGACTTCAAAGCCAGACTAGAAAAGATTAAGGCAAACCTGCGCTGATCTTCGCCGGTTTACAAACTTCCTGCTTTTTCTGCACCTTCGTTTGCCACTTCGAACACTCTGCCTACAGCGATTTCTTTTACATGTTCTGGTATTTTGTATTTACTTATTTGTATTTTGTGTGTGTGTGTGTGTGTGTGTGTATATTTGTGTTTTCCTAAGAATTGAAAGTTTTTAATCAAGATGTTTCAATAATGCCATGGTTTTCAAACTCGTCTGTTTTTACTAACTTAGTAATGCAATGTGAATAAATGAATGACTGAATGTCTTTGAAGTGTTCTTGTTCCTTCTTCCATACCACCAAACAAACTCGGAATGTTTTGACATGATTAGACTGCGCTTTTCTGGTTTTTCTCTTTCCTTCGGTGTGTTGTATCTTTTTGTGCATGTAAACGTTCTGCAGAGTCCCAAAGCTCCGAGTTCCCTCTAGAGAGAGAAACGCTCTCCCGCAGAAACCACTTCTCTCAGCTGCCTAAACGCCTCGTTGGAATTCCAGCCCTTTTCCTTTGTTACAAAATGACTCAACCTTGTAACACAGTCCCTACCGGCCAGCTCAGCACACCCTCACACAGGCAGGATCTTTGAAACCATGGGCCTTTGTGGAGCCTCCTAAAACTGTATGAGCTACTAGACATGACGGAGTTCTGTTTCTAAGTCTGACAGGTTCATGTGCAGTTGACTACAGTTCAAACTCACTATACTTGTCATGTAATTTATCACGATAACAATATTGCCCAACTGAGCTCTAAATACAATTAGACTATGAAGCCTATGAAGATTAGATGTTAGATTTGCATTTTCTAGTGCTATTGAAGGTTGATTGCTTATATCTGCAAATTGACCTGCATGTGTTTTAGCAAGATTAGATGAAGCTTTTTTTTGTGTATGTATGGTTTAGCATATTGCTTCTATGGTCTGTGATTTTTTTTTTTTTGTGTATGTGTGTGTGTATGTGTGTGTATATGTGTGTGTGTGTGTATATATATATATATATATATATGTGTATATATGTGTATATATATGTATATGTGTATGTATATGTGTATGTGTATGTGTATGTGTGTATATATATGTATGTGTGTATATATATGTATATATGTGTATATATATATATAAAAATTAGATCAAATTTTGATCAAAATTAAAACAAAAAATGCTTGACATCTCACTGTAATGTATATACAATATATGACAGTTTCTCTAACAAGACTTATGTAGTTTTATGTGCCAAAAAAGTTGTAATTAGTATGTTCGTTTTTACATTACTGTTTTTCGGTCTATTTTTTTCTCTGAAAATTAAATGGGCTGTTCTTTTTATTGTACCTTTTAAAACTGATCTATGTAAATGAGCTCGGGTCTGACTGGCCGCCCTTTATTGCGCCTTATTCCTGAAACACCCATAACTTCAGCCTGAGTGGGCGGGGCTAAACCGCTGTGTTGGGGTGAACAGGCGGATATACGTAAATATGTTGGGTTTGGTGACGTCACAGAAACGGCTGTTTTTGCTGTTTAATCTCCAAATATGGACTGGATAGAGCATGTTATGTTATTAAAACTAGTAACGTTTACACGCTACATCATTTTCCATGATACGGGCCCTTTAAGGTTGATGAAGGGGCTCCAGGTGAGGCCTGTTAAGGTGATTCAGCTGGATGGCGTGAAGGCTGAGGTTCCCGAAGAAAACCTCAATCTGCCCACATAGCTGAGAGAGTGAGCTGGTGATGATGGAGACGGAGAGCGGAGAGTTTAAGGTCAGTTAGAGTTTCTTTCTGTAGCGTCTGTTAGCTTTAGCCTGTTGCTACAGGTACATGTTCACATTGCACCGAGCTGTTGACAATAACGTTCACTTTTTACTGTGACTGTTTAGCTGTTTAAGCTATAAGAACCAGTTATTCTCCAGGGTATATTTCGGTTTTTCCATCTGAATTTACATGCCTAAATTAACTTATTCAGTAACTGCATGAAATAAATGTAGCTAAAGTGTTGGTATTTTTTTGTGAATGTTTTAACTTACAGTAAAAAAAAATGTTCAACTTCTTTTATCATAAAGTTGTAAAATTACTTTACCCATCTATTTGACTGGAAAGAAGACGGTTACAGCTCTCGTATGACACCCACGTTTTAATGTAGCTTTAAGTAATATGAAAATTATGAAGTAAAGAATATGACGAAGTGCGTTTTGGAACCACCGGTAGTTCCACTGAGTTAAAGAGGTTACAAGGCCTTTTTACATGCTGTTTGTGATAATAAGAGGTGGTTATCAGTGAGAATGTGAAACATCTAGCGTTACAGGTTTTTCCAGGTTGTTGCCGATGCTGGTTTTTGTGTGTGTGTGTGTTAGCTTTGGGGAAACCGCAGCTTAGTTTAGCGTAGCTTATTTGCTAATAGGAGCTTTGAGATTATGAGATTGTAAACATAATTTTGAAGTAGTATCTCATAATGACTCACTCAAGTCATAATTATGACTAGCATTATTATGAGGAAATCATAATTATGAGATTAACTTAAGATGGTACCTTGAAATAATGAGATTCAAAGTCGTAAGTTTGAGAGAGAATATCATTATGAGAGCTTGTCATAATTATGAGATGCTCAGATCATAATTATAACGTTCATTATTATGAGTCATATAAGTCATAATTATAAGATATTGGCTCAGTCATAATTATGAGATGTTACAACATGGTTAAAATTAAGTCAAAGGCTAATTGTGGGATTGAATCTCATTATTTCGAGGTGCTAAGTCATAATTATGAGAGAGAACCTTATTTTGAGAGCACATCATAATTTTGAGATGCAATATCATAATTATGGAAAATGTTCTCAGTGTTATGACTTCCTCAGTGGCTTTATATTTCTCCCAGTGGTAGGAACAGGCTACCTGTCCAGGGTGTTTCCTGCCTTCCACCCATTGACCGCTGGGATAGGCTCCAGCTTCCCATGAACTGCACTGTTTAATGCGGAACAGAAAGTTTTGAATATAAAGCTTCCCCAGTAAACAAAGAACGTCTGTGGACGTCCAAAATGTGTTTAAAAATAGTCGGTCAGTCGGGGACATGTTATGAACGTCAACAGACGTCCAAAATCCGTTTCAAAAAGTCAGTCCATTGCTGACCTGTTAATAACGTCCATAGACGTCCAAAATCAGTTTTAAAGATGTCAGTCCATTGGTGACCCATTAATAACGTCAATAGACGTCCAAAATCCGTTTTAAAAAGTCAGTCCATTGGTGACCCGTTAATAACGTCAATAGACGTCCAAAATCCGTTTCAAAAAGTCAGTCCATTGGTGACCTGTTAATAACGTCAATAGACGTCCGAAATCCGTTTCAAAAAGTCAGTCCATTGGTGATCTGTTAATAACGTCAATGGACGTTTCACTATAACCCAAAAATAATGATAACGATCATGATAATAACAATACCAGTACCACTGCTTCTAGCCTACTGCTACTACAACAACAACAACTACTACTACTACTAGTACTACTACTACTACTACTACTAATAATAATAATAGTAATAGTAAGAAGAAGAAGAAACAACAAAAAGAAAGCTGTATTCCAGTCCAGAGATTATGTTATGTTTCTTTTCTCAAAGATACCAAATGTTAGATGTTGATTGCTGAAGCTTGATAATATTTCACTTGTCTTTATGGTGTAAAGAACATGCCATATGACGTCACATGGAGTGTGGTTGTCATTATTTAACATGGTGCCATCAGCTTTTCTATATTTTCTGGACTTTTTTCAAATTTTAATGCAAGTGCTAAATGGTGTTTGTAATTGCATATCTCATAGCAGTGTGCATTATTTAAGACACAATTCGAATTTGAATGCAAACATATTTGCGTTTTAATTTATTGTATTGTATAATAGCTGGAAACTTTTAATATAGAAAAGCAGCGTTTTTGACCATTCATTTTCATTATCTTAATATGGTCTGACTCTGACATTAAAACAACACCCATTTTAATGTATTTCGTCATCATGGCCGTTCAGCTCTGCCAAAATGAATATTTGCAATCCTGTTTGCAACTGCATTTCCACTGTCAGCAAGGCAGTCCTGTCATTTAAGCGCTGTGGGTTTGTTGGATGTATCAAGCGGGTTAAAGAAGCCACGATATCCATCTGAACGGACACCAATCACTGCCCCTTTGGACCCCGTTTGAGAAAGTCGTCAGCGAGCCGCCGACAGCACACAGCGCCACTGTCCACGTTGGTCCAGGTGAGTAAACGTTAGCTGGCCGTTTTAGGTAGACCTTTTGCCATATACGAGTCACTAAGCTTACAAAGAATTTTTTAAATATTAGCTAGTATTATCGTTTGTTCATGAATAGAGGGTATGTGTTAGCCAGCTAGCTAGCTAGTTAGTATTTTATACAGCTACTGAAGCTGTCTGGCTAGTGCTGAACAGTCGTGCTAACTACGGGAAACATAGCGGTCGGTTGGGCACGGCATTAACGCAGATTTAAAGATTTGTCTGTATTGGCTGAATATAGCAAATTAAAACCTTATTAACGAAGGTAGCGGTCATTTTATTTCCCTTAATTCAGTGTGATTGATGATGAAGGTCCTGATAAAAGCTAAGCTCGCTAGCTAACGCTATTGATTCATCACAACACACGTTTTCTGACATAAGCTGTTTCTGTTGTTGCCCTGTATAAGTATTTGCTAATAACTTCTTAGAAACACCCCAAATTATCATTCTAGTAAAACGCTAACGTGAATAGCAGCTGTATATTGTGAATGTAGCACTCCATATAGCGTCTACGTCGGTGTTCATCTTGGATTTTTGCGCGGGCTCATTTGTAAAAGTTAGCCGTTAGCTATATTGAGCTACATTAGCTGTATTTACCTAAGCTTGTAGTCACATACATGAATAGCTCGAGGCTCATTTTAAAACTGTCAGTTTTTACTTTGAAACGAAGTACCACAATTAATGATTATTTTTACCAAATTTGAAAGTAGTTAGCTTATGCAGCTAGGTAATTTGAGTAGCTAACGCTAGCTAGCTAGCTAGTTTATTTTTTTTTATACAGCTGCAGAAGCTACAGCTGTGTTTCTAGATGTTGGTAGGGAGGGGAAATGTGGCAGTCATTCTGATGCTTCGTTCATTAGCTTTGGCTACACAAGTTGAAATCATTAGTGAGGTTTTATTAGACAATGAAATGTCCTATCAGAGATCAGTTACTGAATTAACTGTAGCTGACTGTCATCTTTTGCAAACAGATAGCTTATTTGTTTCAGAAGCTGACTGGATTTGTCTGTGTGCCACAACAACATACTGGCAGTGGTCAAATAATGTGCACAAGTTAAAAAAGTAAGTATTATCGCAAACAGAATAGAACGTAATGTGTTAACAATTTATGTACCGGTTTTCTGGTTATCAGTTGCCACACTCATTTTATGACTAAGAACCTATTTAAAGGAATGGTTCAGCAAAATATAAAATTTAAACAATTTTCTGCTTACCCCCAATGTAGTCTTTTGGCCAAGACATAATTGGTGTCCAAAGTTTGTGTCTTTAGTTTAGCAATGGAGCTGTGAAGCTAACATTTCTAACAAACACTAGAAGTCAGTATTCACGTAAATCATTTCATGTCTTCATTAAGGTGGCGCAGACTTCTCAGTGTGGTGTGCAACACAATATGACATACTGTGGGCTATAAAAGTGAACAAAACGTCATCACAGAGTAAGTGCCGTGGGTGACCTCTCTGTCTCAGGAGTAGGATTGCTGAGCTAGAATAGTTTTTTATGGAAATGAGTCATAATTATTGATCCAACATCAGTGCTGTGCAGCCTTTGTGTTGCCTAAAATGGCCGTAGTGGTGAGGTTTTGTTCATTTCTATAGTTCAAAGTAAGTCATTCTGTGTCCTACACTACACTGACAAGTCTGCTGACTCTAATGGAGACCTAGATGAGGTTTGAGAGAAGTTTTAGGGATGTATTTATGGAAAAACATCTGGGTTAATATTGTCTAGTGTTTGAGCAATGTTACACTTAACACCAATACTAAACTAAAGAAGCAGAATCATTAATTGTAGTCATTTCAGTCAAATTTGATATTGGAATTTGTAAGGCATATAAAAAAGTCAAATAATAATACTGAGCTTTTCTGTGATGCTTCCTATGTTATATAGCTGCATTCTGTACTATTTACTACCCAGTTCGTTCTTTGGGCTGTGCTTTATTCTTTTAACAAATAAACACTGACCAAAATAAGAGAAAGGCTTTTCAGTTCCCAGCAGTCTAGTACAGAGTTTAGAAATCTCATGGGTCTTAGGAGAATATATAAAATTAGAGACAGTATATAAAATTAGACAAGCTCAAGCCCTTTGCATTTAAAAGAACATATCACAACATCACTACTTTGCAGTTGTTTAGAAGCCCACTGAAATAAACATTTAAAAATAACTAAAAAATAGATTTGTAATTATCAGTTGTCTCCTTATTGGCTACATTGCAGACAGGAAAATATTATGTATATTATATGGAAACATATTTCAGATTTGAAAGGTTTAAATATATGTGAAAAGCTGTCAAAGGCATTGTGACTATTAATTGATAAGTAAGACTAAATAAGTAATAAGTATGATGTTAGAATGGCTTTCACCTTCCACTGATCTGTCTGTTTTTGTCAAGAGATTTTAATGCTTTGTGTGTGCATTAATTGTAACAGTCTTGTTTGTGTTTTATGTTAGCTGCAGTTCTGAAGTGGAACAACAAAGCCACAGCTCATGAGATGGATTCTGCTGTGGCCGATCACCTCAAGCATGCCCCCTGCAGAGCTTTTAACTTTTTTTTTCTTTTCTTGTTTGACTTCTCAGAAACTAAAATGCAAGATTTTGTCTTGTTAAATAATCACCTTGATTTCCTTTACATTAAAACATTGAAAATCATGTACAATACTGACACAGCTTATGGTTCAAAGGTTTGAAAATTCTTTCTGAATTGATGCATAGGATCTTTGTCTTAGTCCTAACGAAGTTCATGGTCCAGTTTTATGTTCCACAAATGAAATTAATAATAACTACACATTTTCAATAAAGTTTCCATTTAACAAAGTTTGTTTTATGTTTACATTGGAGTCAAAATTGTTAGTTAACTACAGGAAGTTTTTTGCATGGTAAAAAGGTTCTTCACATTGACAGATAATGCGTTGTATGTGGTTCTATATAGAAAAATTCTATATAGCACCAAAAAAGGTTCTTCTATTGTACAGTGTATTAAGCATGAAATGGTTCTATATAGGATTCATGGTAAAGTGTTATCTTTTTTGAGAGTGTACTAGTGGAAATTAATTTTGGATGACTTTTCAATGCCTTTTAATTTATAATTGATAATTTTTTCCAAGGCCTTAGAACACCTTAAAATGACGTTTTTACTGTGACTTTTTGGTCGTCTTTTCAACAGCTAAGCTTGAACGTCTTTTCAACTTTCATTTTCAACCATAAGAAAACTTAAATTAAACAGCAGTTATGTACGTGATTTCAACGTTAAATCAACGGCCTTAAAATTACGTCTTTAATGTGACTATTTTGGCCGTTTTTTCAACGGCTAAGTTTAGACGTCTTTTCAACTTTCATTTTGAACCTTAATAAAGCGTAGTTTAAACGGCAGTCAGATACGTGATTTCAACGTTGTTTCAACGGCCAAATGTTTACTGGGTCAGCTTCGTCTGTTTAAGCTAAACCCGCTCAGTGCATAAAAACAACACTAAATGATAAAAACAAATATTTGAGAAACTTCAGTAACTGTACTGAAGCAAGTAAAGTGATTTTAGAAGCTTTGGGTGATAAAATGAATCTCCTGGCTTTGATCGCTCGGATGCTGCTGAAGCAGAGAGTTTAGCTTGATGCTGTTTTCTCTCAACTTGGTGAACATGAACCTTGACTAATGGTAAAGGGGAATTCCACCAGCTTTTTTAAATGTCACAATATCTGAGTGTAAACAGAATGATTCTGAGAGGTTTGGTGTGAAGTGGTTCAGATATCTTTACAGTACAGTTTTTTTTTTCCAGGGGTCATATTATAGAAACTTCTCAAGTCTAAAATCTTATCTGCTTAGTCACCATGACGACTTCAGTACGGACTGAATTTAGGACAGAAACTATTACAAAATAACTTTCTGACTTCATAATCTTATCATTAACTCTAGATAAGAAAACAGTATTAAACAAACATCTTAACTAGACTAAACCTCCTAAATACTGTCCTAACTTTAGGATAAACCCCAACAGTGTCCTAACTTCAGTTTAAGCGTTCGTTTCTGTCGTTTTTAGGCAGCTGTGTCAGCAGCATAGTTCACTACTAACATAATGACGCTACATTTGTTTATACTGTAAAACGCTGCTTTCACTGTGAGACGTTTTTCTTTTCGAACTCTGCGTTTTAAAAATCTCCACCGTCCCTCTGATTACCTTTGTGTGTTAATGTTGATGATGAAATATTACAGTGATGATGGTGAATAATGAGGAGACAGAGCTGAACGCGTGTCTGTTTATTAGGAGGAATAGATATACACACCTAGATGCTGCGTTGGGTCCAGCCAGGCACGTCAACGGCGCCGCCGTCACTGCTGGACTGCATTCAGTACCATTACAGAGTGGCAGTTTAAGAAAGATACTGTCCAAAATTATACTATTTCAAGAATATTACACTCAGAAAGTGGGACAGGATTATATAACAGAGGGAACGCAGCGATCCACACTCATGTTTGTGTGATGCTTATGTGTAGATATGGCCGTGTGGTTGGTGAAGCACAGAGAACCTGTTGATGTGATTGTTTTTTCTCCGGTTTTATATTAAGCTTATTTCATGTAATAGTCTATTCAGGGGATCTTAACGTTATGTAATAGTTATTTATTTACAATGATGGTTAAAGCTTTGTAGCTCGGTAAGTTAACATTCCTTATTCCGTGTAGATATTCGTAATAGATTAACGTTAGCACCTTCTTACACGAAGCTCTTATTTGCCAGGTTCTTGTTCGAATTGTCTCATTCCACCTTAAATGGTGCAGCTTCAGGCGCCACAAAGTGACTGCTGCACCATTTAAGGTGGAATGGGAAAACTCGAAGAAGAAGTTGGCGAATAGGAAGAGAGAGAGCAACAGGCAACGCGGCATCCAGGAATGTATATCTCCGGGAATAACATTAGCGCGCTTGGCTAAAGTTTGGGAAATGGAGCCTGAAACCGGGTAGCGGCGACGCTCTAATAAACAGCAGTAGTTTTATTTACTGTCCAAAACCACCAGTGAACCTACGCGTTTTGTCTGAGTTTTATATGGAATGTTGATGGTAAAAAAGTTTTCTCTGGGGACATGTCAGCCAGTGCATTTCATGTAGTAAGGTGAGGGAGCTTTTAGAGGTGGACGTCTGATTCCTGTCCCCACCACTGTGAACAATTCTGACTTGGTAAGTTTTTCTAGAACAGAGCATTTCACACCAAACCACTCTGAACAACTCTGTTTACATCTTAACTGTTTAATTATGCAGAAAGTTTGAGAGCTCTGTGGAAAAGTTCAGTGTTGTTCAGACAGCGACAGTGTAGTGGACAGAGTTTAAGCTCATCTTTCAGCTTCTCCAGGTTTATAAATGAGGCTCCTGGTGTGTTGAGTTATGAGAACCGTATTCTGTACAGCAGCTCTGCAAACTCAGCCGTACAGACTGTGGATTTCTTTCAGCTTGAAGTTTCTCAGTAAGAAGTCGCCTTATCACTCAGTGAAAGTCCCTCAATCCTGGGCAGCGTCTGTCAGAAAGCCCTCAGATCTGCCCGACTCGTGACTTGATATTAGAGAGCTCTCGCATTAGTTCTGTTTTCCTCTTTGAAAATATGAGTTTCTCCTTTTTTTCTGTTGTGATTTGGAGAATTGTGAATGCGTTTGAAGAGAATACCTTCATCTCTCGCTCTCTCCGCCTTCTGCTTTCTCTGCTTTTCTTTCTGCTCTTTTTTTTTCTTCTTTCTGCTTGCTTTTCTCGTCTCTTCTCTAAGAGTGAGGTTTGATTTTTCTCTTCCTCTCTGCGGTGGCTCTCGTGGGGTCAGTGATGTTAGAGACGTATCCAGGGATGATTATTAAAGTGGTGTGTAAGTTATGGTTTAATAGGTGTGTCACAAAATCTATAGTGTGGTGCGATACGATACGGTAGAGCCTCAATTCGATTAATATTATTGCCAGGGGTGTTGGCTGGACCTTTATATATCTGGGGCTCTGCCCAGTTCACTGTAGAATAGTTTTGGCCCTCAGCCTCAACAGTTTGCGCAAAATGTGCATTGATTCAGCAATGTTTATTGTTTTATTATAGACAGTCATTAATAAATGCTGTTGTACTTCAAATAACAAGTAGACCAAAAGTAACACACACTGTTCTGTTAACTTACTATTGCATGTTGTGCAATAATCAACGTGGATTTGGGACAATGTTGATATGCACATCCTGTTTATAAATTACTAGAAAATAGGCATAATAAACCCAAAAAAAACTCCTCTGCCAAAACTGCATGTAAACACTGGCTCCATTAGAAGTAAAAGTAGGCAAAATAGAAAAAAAACAAGCCTACTAACATCAGGTCCAGAAGCGTGCTGAGCCCCCCTTAAAACTGCTGTTTACATTTTTTCTGCTTTGTTTCGTTGCAGTTTTAATCTTTTTGTTGTTGATATGCAATGGATTAATTAATTAATAATGCTTCTGTTGCTTAGTCTGTGTGGCAAGACTTTTATAGGCCTTTCAGTTTGCTGTCAATGGACCTCTTGTCCAGCAGAGGGCGCCTTTGCATCATAAAAAAATTTGAATTGACGCTCAGTTTGTGATCGATATGGTCAGGAATGCAAGAAGAAAACAGTTTAATCTCCCTCCGCATCTTCCTGTCTTCTGTGGGGAAGATCTTTGCACTTTATGATATTTTTTACAGTTTATTTACGATGCTGCTTATGTAATGTGCCTGCTGTGAATATCAATGCAGGTCTTATTGACTTGCAGAAGAGCATTTCTGTCAGTGTTGTAGTTTTCAGAATCATATAAACTAGAGCTTTTTCCTTTAGATAATGTATTACATAATAATATGTTACAGTTTGCTTTTCTGAGCATATTGTGGATATTGTTTTTGCTTGAAACAAAAGTTTTATTACACAGAGCGCAGAATTAGTCATGTTTAATTGGGTTTAATGCAGCGCAGTGTGTAACATTGAATATTAATCTGGATTCATAGTGTTTGATAGTATTTTTTGAAAATGTTGGACTGCTTTGTCTGTTTCAGCTTATCAAATGACAGGAAGAATAAATATTCTTGAAAAACTTATTACATTTTTGCCATTTTGACGCACTCTAGTTTGGAGAGGTTCTGTTTATACTGGTCTCTGAATATTTTTTATTTATTTTTATTCCATTCTCTTTTCCTGTTTGCTCATAAATCATATGAAAATCTTCAAGGACGGACATATCTCGTAAACAAAAATGTGTTAAAGCGCCGATATCCTACATTTTAACATGTATTTAACTTTTTTCCCATGAAGTGCACCTGATGACACACAACACCAGTTTGTGTGGTTTGATGTTCAGAAAGTTGTAATTAATTTTTACATGGTCTTTTTTTTTTCCAGCCTCCATTAGAATTAGGGCTGCACAATATTGACATAAAATGCGATGTTCGATAAAACCGATATCACGATGACGATATAAGGAGCGATAAATTACTATTAAATAATGTGTCTCTGGCTGGATGTAACAGAAGAAAACAGTTTTTGGGGATGTGTAAACAAATATAACCTCTCTTCAAACTCCTGTAAAAACTGTATGTAAATGAGGTCTGTTGTGATTGGCTGATATGTTGTGCCTCAGTTCTGAAGTAATCTGGTTAAAAAGCACTTTTCAGCATAAAAGATGTGGAGCTAAACTGCTGAAGGCTAAATTGCACGCTTAATGACGGTTCTTCATGGGTTCTTTAGTAAAGAAAATGATTCTATATAGAAACATGAGCACTCGAAGAACCCTTTGCATGATTGAAAGGTTCTTCAAATTGATGGAGAATATGTTGTAGATGGTTCTACATGGAACCTTTTTAAAGTGTT